TGGATCAATTCGTGAATGTTCGTATGTGGCCAACTAAAACTGTCCATATCATATAAACGTCAATGTTTAATGATATTTCGATAAAATCTAAAAAAAAAACAAAGGAACTTAGATATTGCTTTTCTAACTTGTCGTAACGCACTATTTTCTTCAACAAACATGGTGCATGACATAAACAAAACGATACCATTAACTTAACACATCTCAAATTCGTCTGATCCCAAACTAGGCAGAGCCTGTGCTATGGTAACCAGACTGCTGATAAACATACTTATATAGTTCTAAATACATACATATCGATACCTCCTAAGTATACTGAGTCATCTAACAAATTTAGGTATTTTAATATTTTTACATAAACGGACATACTAAACCATGATCTTGATGTTAGTGTTAAAAATAAATAAAAAAGAACAATAATTACCGAGATATTTTCACGTATACTAAATCAATTACAACATCAGTTAAAATCGTACATTGTATACTGATCCAAATGATGTCGTACCAGTGTACGCCGGACGTGTGGGGGGACGCATTGATACAAGTTTATTGTGGCTCAATATACGATGAATGGCAGCATGTGTACACGTAATTTTACTTAAAATTTTGCTTTATAAAAATAGTGAATAAAGTAAATGTGGATGTATTTGTCTTATATTGTTTTTTTATTAATTTATATTAGTAACAGAATGTAGTCAAACAGGGCGCGATTTTTTTTTAATTTACTCAACGACAATGTGAATAATACCAATAAAACAATAAAACAACTCCGGAATCGGTGATACAATGCAAAATAGGGATGAAAATGGTAAGTTATCTTTATTTTACGTGTATTAGTGTGATTTTGTAATTTTTGTTTGATAATTGTTGTTCATGTTGCTTAGTACGCCGTATACTGATACAACTTTAGTTACACCAGTATGCGGCGAAATAACGTTATAAAGAAGACACTTGACTCATCTGGCTATAATTATATACTAATTAAACTTTTGATATTTTTGTATTAATTGTGTTATGATACATATTTTTTTATCTGTTATATATTTTGTTACTTGTTATTGGCATGTTCAACACAAAAATATGAATTATTGTGTTTTTAATTTAAATTATTGTTTGTTTTAGAGTTTCCTTTGCCACCTGATACAAATTTTACGGAAGAGGAGTTTTACTGTCAATACTGATGAAATTGATTTGAATGATAGCATAGATGTATTGTAGAATATCCCTTCTAACGCTTCCATAATATTATTCCCTGATTATAATATTCCTTGCTCGTTTATCGAAATTCAAAAAGAAGTTCGATTGCCATCAGTCATAGAAAATGCTCTAGGTGATTAATACGTAATTAATAAAGAACGTCATACGTTGAAGGCGGATTTCAATTGTTAAAAAAAGATAAAGGAAAGCTAAGGGAACTTTTTATAAAATGGTAGGATCGGGAGAGGAAATATAATGTTAATAGAGGGTTGGAAGATGTCAGAAGAAACGGAAGAGTACATGGTATAAGAGTTATAAAAACTTCTTGCACCGTAAATTGTTGGCAAAAATGTAATGGGAAATTAATAGAAGATATTCGGCAAAGAATTTTGACATGTTTTGGAGTATTGGATACCAAACAAGACAATTTTTTGGCAAGGTATGCTGTAAGAGCTAAAAAGAAAGATAAGCACTGGATAAAGATAATTCAAAACGTCCTCACGCTATTTTTATTACCCTTCAAGCAGTCAAGGGGATAATATTGAGAGTACAAAAATATAATAATATTTGCAAAACTATGTTCTTCATCAACAGCCTTTATCAGTTCACTGCTGGACATAGGCCTCTCCTTAGAAATGAGGTTTTGGCCTACTATACCTCGCTGGCGAGACAGGTTGGTATAGGGTTTGTTTCAAGTTTTCCTTCTTTTTGCAGTACTGTTGTCCTGCGTAGTTGAACTATGTTCTTAAGAACCCTTTTTAATGGTTTTAATTTTGTTGATACGGCTTTAGGATAGTCCGATAAAGGAGATAGATTTATTGAAACAGATCAGCGTGGTAGGCGAATTAATTATCTAAAGCTTATCAATGAAGATATCGTTCCCAGTGTTGTAGATCACGTTGAGGATTACACAGTAGGATCACATTACACTCTCCAAAAATCAAGTAAAAAATATCTTGAGAGCAACAAAGAGGACAACAAAGAGAGGTGCAAAAGAAGTTTCCAGCTGTGTTTTTCAGTTTATAGATGATACGGTGGGTGAAGGCGTCAAAGATTACCGATTCTGATCAGACAACTGTGGAGGCCAAACTAGAAACAGAATTGTTTTCTTAATGTTTATGTTAGCTAGTTCAAAGTTAAGTAGATACGTTATTAGAAATCGCTTTCTGCTAGTGGGTCACACTCAAAACTAAGCGAGAGTATGCGCGCTTTAATTGAAATGCAGACAAAAGATAAAATGCTTTGTACGACTGATCAATTGTATACCAAATCCGATGAAAAGCCATACAAATTCAATAGAAGTGTATCAGCATTTAATAAAATACTTCCAATCGAAGCTAATACCTATAAACAACTGGACAACTACTAATGATGGATCTAAAATGCCTTGGAATAAAGTAACGGAAGTAGTAGTTAAAGCAGAAAATCCATTTCAAGTAGATAGGTTATGTAAAGAAACCTAAAGCTACACGAAATCGATGAGAGTTGTATATTGATATAGATAATATTTCTTTATCTTATCAGACACCCATTCCTATTGACCAAATAAGCACAAAGACTTGATGGGTCTTTGTAAGATGCTAGTCTATCATTATCTAGGAGTATCTTTTATTTTTAAATAATTTGATTTTAACTAACCCTAATGGCTCTCACACAGCTGATGACAGCGACTCAGACAGTGACTTTTAATTTATTAAACCTTTAAGATTTTCATTTATTTTGTTAAACCTTACAGCTGTTTATTGAGCATTAGAAGTGACTAGGAACGAATCTAAAATCTAAAAGATATTTATGTTATTCGTTCCTATTCCTGGTATGAATATTGTTTAACGTAAGTTACTATATTTAGTTGAAGTACCTACATTAGTTTCTTATTTTATTGATTGTTTGTTGTTTCTTTTTCTGTAAATTTAATGAGACAAGATTAATAATTGGTTTTTGTTGATTTGTTCTTGTATCTTTTACTAAGGCTAAATAATGTTCAAAATATGTTCCGACCTAATTGTAGCGAAGAAAAATACATTGTATTTATATAAAAAGAGTTGTTTGTGTTTATGATTCTTCTGCTTCTTTCTAGCCTTTATTGATTCCACATTTCGTAAGGTCGGCCGCTGGTCTAACTGGTTATTAGCTGAATATCATTTTTCTACGGATCGACTGCCATCTGACCTACGTAACCCAAAGGGATACCGATATTCGTATGGTTAGACCAGTTGTCAGGATATTAGATAGAAGACACTGTCTTCCCAATAACGACGCCCAGGGATGAAACTCACGACATGGCAGTCGAACGTTCTACCACCAGGCTATAATCGTCACCTCACCTTGTTTTTGATTATACTTATATATTGAAGTTGAATAATCCCATAATTTTTATGTATAGATATTATAATAGAAATCAAATGAGTAATTAAAAAGTCTCGGTGAATTATGTTAGTCCAGTATACGTTGAGGTTTCAAATGCTAACATAGTTAAGTACTTTCCTAGTATAATGAGTCAAGTGATGTAATTTCAACATTTTATTATTAAGTGAGACAGAAAATACCGAAAACAACCAAAAGTAGGATGACGTTATCAAAATGACAATCATATTTCATAATATATTGGGGTAAGCCATAGATTTTGATGTACAACGTACATGAATATAACTGGTAGTTAAACCATTTTACTGTTGAGTCCCGTCGGCGTATACCCAGTCAAGTACATAAAATATCATTTAAAAACAAAAATCAGCAAAATCATTTTATACCAAAGGAAGAGCTTCCATTCCTTATTAAAAAAACATTTAGTTTATTACGAACAGGTTTAATTTCATTAAAATATATAACGATTTGCCTTCAAATCGCTCTCCTGTAAAATTACTACAATGTCAGTTGACTCATTATACTTAGGAGGTGTCGATATTATAGACTAGCTGACTAACGCAACTTCTTTTGCGTCTCTCAATAGTAATAAATTTTCTCCGTTTTTGAAACATTCTTCATTAGTGCTCCGCTCCTATTGGTCTTAGCGTGATGATATATAGCCTATAGCCTTCCTCGATAAATGGGCTATCTAACACTGCAAGAATTTTGTCAAATCGGACCAGTAGTTCCTGAGATTAGCGCGTTCAAACAAACAAACAAACTCTTTAGTTTACAATATTAGTATAGATAAATCAAACCCAGACGCAGAACAAATAACCGTGCTCATTACACAATTATTTGTCCTGGGTGGGAATCGAACCAAGGACTTCTGGCTCAGAAGTCGGAGTCACTAATCACTTATAGGTCCGTCATGAAATAAAACAACAAAATCACTTAGAGACGCTGTAGAGACCACCTCACGAAGTGATCAATGCTATGTTCAGTCACGATATATAAACATGCATTGACACACAAACACGAGTACAACAATTAAAAATATTAAACATGTCTAAAAATAACACTTATACTAAATTATATTAAAGATTGCAGGGGGTATGGTTTCAGTTTCATATTATAAGTCGTGTTTTTAATGGGTATTATAAAGGTGGGAAATGTTTGGAATGGTGGGAAATATAAAAGGATTACACTTCTTTTAAATACATACGTACACTCACCCTTGTATCACCGAATGGAATGGCAGATGCGTATATTAAACACCTCTGTATTATGGCAACTGTTATTTGGTCCCACTCGTGTAAAAGGGGGCTCATGATTTTAGTGAACACGCTAGTTTTTAAATATACACTAAAATTATATATAAACATATAAAAACTAGCCTTAGTACTGACTTAGTAATATTATACTTATTTGTAGGCGAGAATTTCTAAAATTTTATGTTAAGAATGATAAATGCTACACAAAATTGCAAACATGACCCGGCGCGGAGTGATTTGTCCACTCATGTATGTCTGAGGCGGTATACACGCCCCCTGCTCGTCAATGGCACAGTGAAAAGCAAATGCTGCTCCGAGTTTAATCGAGTAATCGTCCACAGGAATGTTGGTGAGCCACTTTGTAGGCTCGTCCACTTTATAATCAATCGTTTGGACAAGCTGAGCTAGGGACCCCATACCGTGAGAAAGATCGAAATCCACGTTGTGACCTTTCTTCTCATCCAAAGTCAAGACTATCCTTTTAAAAGTACGACAATCGTTTGCATCCCATTTTATAGCATAACAGCCATTACGGGTTGTGACCCAGAAGTTAAAAGATTCCGTGGTGATTCTAACCCTCGTCGACCCCCCTCCGGCTCCGGGGGTCGTATTTGGAAATTCTTCCCAATTTAACATAGGCAAGCCCAGCTCACGAGCACGCCGATATAGCGGTCCATTTAAAGGCACTCCAAATCGTAATTGTTTAAAAAGGGACAGCATAAGGCTGGGAGCCCCAGAGAGTAGAACGTTTTGAGGATGATCGACGACAACCGGAGTGATCAGTTGATCACCATTGTTAGTATTGCCGATGCATTCCAAATATGCCGCCAGAGGCAATGGAAGTTTTGAAGCCATTTCTTTCAAATTCAATAGCTCTTCGTCAGTAAACACTTTTCGACTACGCAACTCTTCATTTGGTGTATGAGATATGGATTTTTGGGCGTATGCAACTTTAGCCTCCGCTAAAAGTAACGCCCCTTTCTGGAAAATGGCTTTATTATGCTCATGGTCAAGTTTGTCATATGTCAACATCATACTATCCCAAATCCAGGCTGTGTAGTAGTTGAGGGTTTTGAATGAGATTCGAACAGTGAATCTTGGAACTACTTTAGTCAGATGCATTGGCGACAGTGCGATCTTCAAACGTTCGAAAATATCAGACTTGTACGTGTCCCGGCTATTTGCCAGCTGTTCTTCTTCACTCGTTTTACTAGTATGGGGCTGTGGTGATGAGTTTTCATTTGATGTAATCATAGCTTTATCATCCACTTTAGTGAAGGTGATATTGGTTAACCTGAAATTTAATGGCAACATTATATACCGTGGTAATGCTTCGGCAAAAATGGGCGAGCTCGACTGGCGTAACCGGTGTTAAACAATTCTGTAATGGCTTTTTACAGAACAAAAGCACTGCAAAGACGGAAAACTTGACACAAACCCTATACCAACCCGTCTGGCAAGCGTGGTATAGTAGGCCAAAACCTCCTTTCTAAGGATAGGCCTATATTCAGCAGTGGACTATTGAAGGCTTTTGATGATAATGATGAAACAATACATAGGCGCGAGAGTCGTTCTTTTTTTTAAAAAGTCGGAGATTTTTTAGAATAAAATAAATACTAGACTTACTCTTTTTGCTCGTATGGGAGTTGCACTTCCATGACGCCTTGCTTCACGAGGATGGACAGCCGGATGTCCTTTAAAACCTCGCTTGTAGAGTTTAGGTCAACCGCAGGAACAGGTTCAGTGACTGGATTGGGTGATGTGCTTGTCGATTTCTCGACAACTTCTAAAAGAAAATAAAAATGTCCTTTAAAATCATAACAGACTGCAATGCGTGTTTTAAAAATACTTTTATTTTTATACGTATGCTCAAAATATAAAAAAAATGGAATACTCCACTTCTTTTTTTATGAATTATATTTAGCTATTAATTCCGAACAATTTCTTTTTTGCTTAGACAGGCAGAGGTCTGTGTTAGTTAGCTACCTCGAATCGGAAAGAACCCAGACAACTCGCCCGTTAGGTAATTCACACGACTTTTCTTCCTTGCAATCTTAAAGGGCCTCTATTCCCATGCGTTATGGTATAAGGTGTTTTATACCTAATGAACGTTTGTGTCGGAATGTCATGTTAGACAACTGCTAATTAAAAAAAACCCGACACACGTCTTGGCTTTGAAAATTGTCATAGTGTATATTATTCTACTAGTCAAGCTCTTTCATTTGATACCCTTATTGAGGGAGTTGTGAAAAAATATGTAATCCGGCATTATGTGGCGGCGGCCATCTTGGACCGATTGTCATTAAACATAGCTCCACTAGCACACTCCCGACTTATTCACCTTTTAAACAAGAAAAACAAAATCAAAATCGGTTCATCCGTTCGGTAGCTACGATGCTAGAGACAGACATACACAGACACTTCAAACTTATAACACCTCGTCGTTTTTGCGTGGGGCGTTAATAAAGTGTACGTAAAGAGGCATTTCCTCTTCCTTTGCTCGAAATGCACGTTGAAGAAATAAACCACTTTCTATCTTTTCAGAGATGTATAGACAAAAGTAGTGTTTTGGCACTAACTGACCTTCATTTAAGCGTATACGATATGTATTAAGTAAATACATATACATACATACGTAAACATAGTACTTATACTAATTGGAAATGCCTGACGTTTCTAATAAGCTGTAATCAGTTGTGTATCTTGAAATGTAGAAGAAATTAGAATTAAAACAAGAAACTTACCCTTAATATTATAATTCAACGTCTTATTCGGACAGGCTTCTGCAGCTCTGTCCTGTGTACATGTCTTGAACGGAGATGAACTACAAGATGAAGTCGGATCTTTTTTACTATCACTGAATATAAACACTTTTGAACTATCTATATTGTCGAACCATTTCTCAGTATTGAAAGTGAGAGACTGCTTTTTATTTTCTGAAGCATCAGTAGCTCTGGGGGTTAAGTCAGATTGTTTTTTGTTTTTTGTAAACTTGTAACGGGTGAACTTTACAGTAGGTAGATGTACGTTTTGTGACGGTGGAGTAAAATTAAATGCTTGTACTTCCTTCTTCTCTTGTTCCTTCTCAATCACTTCTATAGGATAGATTCTGGGTTTATGTACAATGTCTAACGGTGTAGCAAGACTATTACCCTGATCCTCATTCATCGTCTGTAAATCTCTGTTAGTTTCTGTTATATTGACAGGTTTTTCTTTATCACCAGACGTATCACTGTCATTATTCAAGGCTAAATCGGTTTTTTTAGTTTCTTTTAAAGAATCGCTTGTGGGTTTCTGTAAATTTTGAAAAAGTGACCAACTATTTCCCTGAACTCCATTAATATTCTGTAAATCCTTGTTAGTCTCTATTATATTCACAGATTTTTCAACCGAAGCTTTGGCATTATTTGGTTTTGTACCTGTCTGGGCCAGGAATTCTGGTTGTTCTGGGGTTGCAAGAGTTGTATTTGATAGTGCTCTGTTCAACTTGTCTAGTTCTTTGTTAGTGTCTAATGTAGTGACACCTGATTTCGTTCTCTTCTACAAAGTCGCTTGTGAGCTTCCGTAAATTTGGAAATAGTGGTAGGAAGGGAGGTTTATAAGCCTGGACGCTGTTCAATTTGTCTAAATCTTCGTTGGCCTGTGTTATATTGGTTGATTTGGTTTTAGTAGGGGAAGCATCAACAGTATTCTTTGAGGTAAGCTCAGATTTATTTTCTTCTTCTAGAGGCTTGCTTATAGATTCTAGAGACTTAATGTGATCAGTATCTTCGTCGCGAAGATTTTCATGTTTCTGAGATGAGAATCCTGATAATGGTAGTGAACTATCTCGATCTGTATTCATGCTGAGTATATGACGCAGGAGTTCATTCACATCTAGCAACATAGAAAAAATGTTAGTACATACTTACCCGTTATGTCATGAGATAATAGTTGTACCCCTAAATGACAAGGGTGAAACACCCCTAATTTTTTTATCAATATTTCCTAGAAATAATGTATGTGGCAAAACAACGTTTGCCGGGTCAGTTAGTATTATATATATAGATTCAGGCACGGCTGATTTTTGGTGGAGTCAGAATCGCCGAAAATTACGTTTAAACAACTTTAATAGAGTAATTATGTATTAGAAATATGCATTAATAAGTGACAGTGTAGGTTGGATAACTTATTAGTATTAAACCTCTTCCACAAGACAGTTTTTTTTTTGCGTGTAGAAACCCCCTCGGGCTCTCAGCCACCGGGGTTTGCGGCGGGGTGGTGTGTCGGAATCGGACCTACTAAAACCACACGGTGTGCCACTTGGCCCTGAAAATAGGAGGGATTCGGGTACTGCGGTTTTAAGTATTTGTTTTGGTTATTATTCACCCATTCCCTAATTCTGATGGGGGGGTACTTATGGCTTGAGTTGCAAATTTCAATGGGTAACGGTCGTCACTGACACTAACGTCTGCTCCCTATTCCATAAAAAAAATACCGCCACTTGTTTGATGCAGGTGACATTCTTCAAAAAGATAAACTAACCATTCTTAGAAATCTCTTTCCATCACAGAAAATAAAATGTTATGGATGCATATAAGAATTAACGCTATATATCTCCAACGTATACATAATTAGATATTATGGAAGAGACCTTTAGCAGGTAGGCAAGCGGACATATTATGACGAAGTGACAAGTTTTTATTCTATTCACGCTATTAATAATAAAGGCCCTCTCATCTAAACTTGCAGAACTTGGCCAAATTAATCGCGAAACTGATTAGAACTAAAAATGTGTCGTGTGGAAGGGATTTTCATAAATTGAGTAATACTGCAGGCATTATAAGTAATTCTTTTTTTCCAGAACCGTCTCGAAGGTTCTCAATTATTTTATTATTTGTATAATCATCGACAGCCTTTAGTACTCCACTGGCCGGACATAGGCGTCTCCTTAGAAAACTGGTTTAAAATTTCTGTACCACCTAAAGGTTGACTGGAAGAGAATGCCTTGGGCATTAAGACCGCCGATGTATAGAAGTGCATATTTATGTAAATAAAATAAATAGATATATTATCATAAACTCTGTACGTAAGCTAAAAATGTCGAAAAGTGGGTACATACCAAAATCAGTAAGTCCCGGGCAACGCAACAAGGGTTCGGAAACGCGCGGATGCCGCGACAGCTGTGAAGCCCTCATGCATTTACGAACCACCGCGTATGATAGTATCTGTAGGCGTGGAGGACATGTCCACTCTGTTGGATAACATAATTTTAAATGTAATAAAATACAATAAAACAAAAACATACTACAGTGCCATCTAACGAAGACGCACCGAACTACGGAGTCACTAATAATCCCGCATCGCACTATCAAAGTCCTTGTGCCCACTTTCCCACCGTTAACTGTTGGGACAGCGGACCACGCCCACCAGGCATGATCGACAAAACTGATCGCAGGATTCACCCCTTTGTGGTAACATGGAGGGCATGACACCAGTTCCTCCACAATAGAAAGTTTGATGAAGAAGTAAAAGCTAGCAGTAGGAAACAGCGAGGTGACCGTTGAAAACACTCCGCGATCCGTGCAGTCATTGACCATCCTTAGGATATGTTTCTTCTGAACAACAAACTTTGTACCTAATCACTAGTTTGACCTAATCACCAATAAATGATCTTTATAGATTTTTACCACTTCAATATTTTTTACTGACCAATAAACTAAACTTTAAGTCGTGAGTGTTCGTCATTAATTGTTATACTCGTAGTACAAAAATTGTTTACGTATCGAAATAATTTCCAACCAAAATTTCGAAACAAAAATGGTGAAGCCAACTACGCGGTTACCACTTATGCCTCACACTGTGTAATGGGCTGTGATCCGGAAAGCGAAGCTCTCTTATATACTGTCAAACATTTTTATTTTATTTATAATAAACAAACAGTTATATGTTATAATGGTAACAGTAAATCTTAAGTTCTAGAATCAGTAAACATGTGGCCCACACTATTGTTAGCGGATTACCAATGCAAACTAAGAAGGTGTGCGAGTGTGAAACTCAAGCAATAATAATTAATTAATTTAAAAGACAAACAAAAGTTCGATGAGCCGATTTTTGAATTGCTGGTTAAAAAGAACAAAAATGACGTAAGACGAAGAGGTGCACAGATGGCTTAGTGCGAGTTTGTGTACCTCAACTCACTTTCGACGGCGAGCGCGTTCGGGTTTGCGATTGGTGAATATTTCAGTGCGGGCCAATCGCAACGCCAAACGCGGTCACCGTGCCGATCAAGTGGATGTGAAATAAACTCACGCTAGGCCCTCAGATCCCTGCGTTCGTTTTGCAGGGTACTTGTAACAGTCAATGTACGCGCACCATTGTGGGAACTGTATAACATAATTTACTGTTAAAGACAAGGCAATCGAATCTATTGTTACGTAAACCATGCAGCATCATGGCATCCCTAATTTTGAAATATTATATTTCGTGAACAACTGATCATAATAAATTCTTGATCGATAACACTTATAATTTATGGTACGCTAATTTTGAGTATATTTAGCATAGAGGGAATTCCAGATTGAAGTCGCATATGCCAGTTGAGACCGAATCAACTTTTTGTACAAATCACGAGTAGACCTCATGACAAAACCATACATACGATAAACTTTACTTTTTATACTATCTATGTACTGATCAAAATGCAAGGACTAATCTAATAATTCAGTTTAATCGCGACCCAAGCTTACTTTATTCAAAACCATATTATCAATATAGTAGTCAAAACGAGTTTGTTTCTATTTTTCATAAAGATCTCCTATTTGACATTTGGGGAGACAAGACAAGAAGAGAAGACAAGAAGAGTTTATTTACTGACAGTAGTTGTAAATACTGTTGCAGACTTAAGACTCTCCGTTAAAATTAGTCACAGGTCCGTTTAACATAAGGATTGATTTAATTTTTTTTTTTTTTTTTAAAGACATCTCCCGCTTTCGGATTAAGTATATTCTGTGTCGCGGGGGACTTTACAAACATACATTAAACGGACACAAAGAAGACTCAGAACAACAATTTGTGGATCACACAAAGTGTAGTCCCATGTTTGGATCGGACCCATAGCACTTAGCGTAGTAGTAAGCGTCGTGGCGACCGCTTAAACCACTACGCCATCCGTGCAGTCAGTCAGTAAATTACATAAAGGTATTTGATTATTAAACAAATAATAAATATTAAATCAACAAAAAAATAAGAATATTAGAGCGATCCCTCGACAATATGACTCGAAAAAAAAGTTCTAATTACATATCAATGAATAGACGCCGCAATAGAAGTAGTCTCTCTGATCTATGAGGAAAATAATGAATATTATTATCATGCCGTACATGTACTGAGACTGAGACATTCATGTTTTATTTACAGTTTTTAAATTAAGCGATAACAGAAAGATAACGTATTAACAACCTAACAACAGCAAGTATTTATGTAAGTACGTGCTCGATCATAGCCTGCTCTTTGTGTTGTAGTGAGCGAAACGAAAGCCACAGACGTCGTATGGATGTTTGTGTGGCAACCGGCATACATATTTCTTATAAATCTATACTAATATTATAAAGCTGAAGAGTTTGTTTGTTTGTTTGTTTGAACGCGCTAATCTCAGGAACTACTGGTACGATTTGAAAAATTCTTTCAGTTTTAGATAGCCCATTTATCGAGAAAAGCTATAGGCTATATATCATCACGCTAAGACCAATAGGAGCGGAGCACCAATGAAGAATGTTTCAAAACGGAGAAAATTTATTACTATTGAGAGACGCAGACGAAGTTGCGCGGGTCAGCTAGTATTCCTTAAAACCGCATCAACAATAAATACATAAAATAATTTTAAATGTGTATGAAATTAACAATATAAATGAAATGTATGATTCAATATATTAATAAATAAAAGACAGTGTAATACGACTAAATATGATAGAATAAATATAATACTGTATTAGGTACCTTGGTGATTTTAAAATGCGAGAGCTCTGGGATGAAACATGTGACTCCTGCAGAAAAGAAAAATTAAGAAAAAAAAAGTATAAAATGAAAGGGTTACAAAATAATAAACTAATTTTGATAATAAAAAATCCCATATACTTTTGTACATATATACTAAGGATGATGATGAAATATAAATAAACGTTTTCACAATAGCTAGATATGACGTCACGACTTAGCATTTCATACTTTTTTTTAATTAGATATTTTTTAAACAACCTCTTATAGACCTTGGATATCATGTATCACCAAGACAAAACAAATGAGCCCAAACTCGATGGGTTTATCTTCTCTGGTTAAGAAGTTCCTACGGCAGCCTTCCAGCTCCATCATCAGAACAGCTCTATAGTACCATATTAGTGTATAGTCACTGAAGATACATAGATACACCATGTTCGAGCCCAATCGGACATCGGAAAGTGGTTCTTATTTAGCTTTCAAGTTTCGTGCCGAACACACATACATACAAGCAAACATTGCAAGGTATATAAACGCTAGTAAAAAGCGCCAGATTTCCGTTGAGAATATTAACTACGTGACAAAAACCTAAACCCTCCTCTCTGAACTATATCTTTTTTATCATGTGGCTAACCCCCATATTAATTGGCCATACTGTAACTAATAATCACATAATTAGATTAAACATAGAAGATACTTACCAATGGTAAAGTGCGTTAAACTTTCTTCAATAGTGGGCAACTGAAGGGAAGAAAAGGCAACATTCATGTAGGATACAGTAGTCCAGGTGTATTCGGTTGTGCGTTCAATCCGCAACAGTCTGTTGTCGCTGGGCAACACCAAAACACCACCAATCTGTTCAAAGGTTCATTACAATTTAAATATGTAATGTAACATTTACACGTAGCATCCATTAATTACGTGATCCAATAAACATTACATGATTGAAAAGGGTTTTATTAAAATGAATAAAATCCTTTGACACTATAGAGTAACGTGAGGATTTGTATCAAATCTCATTATATTCGAGATGAAATAAAATGTAAATACCCACATGCGTATTATGAGTTACCCAGCCAAAAAAAAAAATGCGAAGCGATCTACTGCGTCGTTGTCAGGTGCCACACGCTAACGCAAGGATTCTCGTAAGAGGCCAAATCAGCGGGGAATCCCCGAATAACAGATATCGTATACATTTTTACAAATGTGATTGTGAACATCACTTATGAAGGTTGCTGATACTTTGTGTCTATGACCGTATTTATAGTTAATAGTTTGTGTTATCTTTGATGGCGATCCGGCGTGCTTTGGCTATGGTGAATGCGTAAGAAATAAACAATCGTAGTGCTTCCATTAAAAAAGTGTTTTATTTTAACATCCCATCACCTTGAACACTATGTACTTTAGAAAACAATGGTTAACTGACACTGACACAAACTGAAGTGGGTTAAGTTCACGACTAAACCACCCCTGATTAGGCTTGCCAGATAGCCGGGAAGTACGGGAAAGTCCCGAAATTTCGCTTCTTGTCCCGTGTCTAGTAATGGGACCTTATTATTGTGCGAAAACGTTATACGAAAATCTTCTAGTTTTTCCAATAAAATATACTAGCAATTTTATATATTAAAAACATTTAAACACGTCTTTAGTCTTTCCGCTATATAAAAAATAATCATGTATTTGAAGTGCAATGACCTTACCTTAATGAGCTTCTTAAAGACATTAAGAAATTCTTCAGGGCAATCGGCCCCACAATAAACGCGGTCGTAGGGCTTTTGGTCAGCAGACAGACACAGTGCATTACCTAAACAATACAAAACTTATGTTAGATAATTACTTTGCAGCTTGCTCAATATGATTAACTATTCTCTTAATTATGTTACTATAATAAAGTATTTCTTATGCTGTATAAATTAATATTTACACACTATATATGCTACGATAAGGCAGTAAACCAAAATAAAATATAACAAAACCCAAAATATTTGACTTCAAAACCCTTTAGTATGGGGGCACCATAATTGGTGATAAACGAGAAGGTTTGAATACATGTTTGTTGTGAACCACGCCATAGCGTACATTGAAGTGATACTTTTTTCAAAGTTATTTTTTGTCAATGGAGCGCCATAGTCATAATTGTGGCTAAGCTCCGTAAATAACGATTAAAAAACAAATTGTGAAGGAAAAGGTGATTGACAGAATTGACATTAACTCGAGCAAAGCCGTGATCAAAATATAATCTATACTATTATTATTATTATTCTATACTGCCCGTGTGTTGACAGATAAAGAATACGGTGTCACCATCCCTACCACCATCCCTGGGAGTCGTAAGAACCGACCAAGGGAGCAAACTACGCAGTAGATCAGCACTGCAAAGAAAAGGAAAACTTGAAACAAACCCTATACCAACCCGTCTGGCCAGCGTGGTATAGTAGGCCAAAACCTCCTTTCTAAGGAGAGGCCTATGTCCAACAGTGAACTATTAAAGGTGTTGATGAATATTCGAACATACGGGTCACCTGATGGAAAGTGATTGTAAATCTTAATAGTATGTTTGGTTGAACGAACTAATCTTCTTTTAGTATTGGAATTGTTTTTTCCTTTTTTATTCCTTTTTAAAAGAGGCAGACGAACTTGCGGGGGTCAGCTAATAAGATCATACATACAAATTCATATCTTTTTGTTTAAAAATCGAGTGTATTGTATGTACGTATTATGCCATTTTGAGCGCGATCTCAGTACAGAACGTTATCTCAATATATAGGTTCGTATGTACATACATATGAATATTTTATACAACTGTTATGTTTTTCCCTGTCAAACATTAATAGCCAAAAAGGGAGCAAAAAAGATATGTATAGCTTCCTGACGAGTGCATCATCGTCTATATTTATTCCAGTTACGTAGTTGAATATTTGACAATCCGAAGGTCAAGTGACGTCACGAGCAGCACAGCGAATTTATTTAGTTTGTCAAGTTGATTTGGAGCTTTTAATAATTATAATATTAAAACAAATTACTTGGTGGTTTTCCCTTCATATTTTTATTTGTAGTTTATTTGCTATTTTTGTTCGATTGTTTCGGAATTGGGTTCAAACAAGGGAAATTTTTTTTGGGTTTTTATTTATTATGGATCACTTAACAGCAAAAAATGAGGCTAAAAAGTTTTGCCGCAAATTACGTACGAATTTATGCTGCCATAATATGCTAATATATTACACACTAGTTTATATCCGCAATTTTTCCAGAATAAAAGTAGCCTAAGTCCTATCCCAGATTATTATAATCTATGTCTGTACCTTCATGTCAATCCCGGTCAGAAGTTCTGACGCGAATGAGTAACTAACATACATCAATTTATATTCCTAAAGGTAGCTCTGAGTACATATATAAAAAGTTTTAGTAGACTGCATATTGACTCCGAGTTAATGACACAAGAACAAATAGAAAAAAATAATTAGCAGACAACCAGTAGTTCATTCGCGTTAAGAACGGAACGATAATTTTTTCGAACCTCATTGTCAGAGACCGCTCCCTGACCAATGAGGTCATGCGTCACTATTTTCTTAATGCGAAAGGACTATAATGACTTACCACAATGGAACTTAGGTACACAGAAATCAAACTCGTCCAAAGCCGGGGAGTTCTTTAAGAATTGTTCGAGTTTTTCATTAGCGTAATCCACTACTTGAGAATGAACCTCCACGCCATGGTTAATTCCAATACAGCCGAGGATCAGGCCCACCAACGTGTTGAGGTATCCTGTTCCGGAGCCGATGTTGAGGAACGATTGCCCCGGTCTTAAGTGCAGTGCCTCGAGTACCTCGCTAGTTGGACATGAAAAAACAATATTGATTATTTGTTGTATAACACAAAACTGTAAAATTACACGTTCTATACTTCTAATCCTAAAACCGAAACATCTTTGTCAGAAAGTTTTGTGCTATATATATGTCCAGAAACATATTTATTTCTTGGTATAAGGGGGCAAACGAGCCAACGGGTCACCTGATGGTAAGCAACTACCTCCGCCCATGGACACCTGCAACTCAAAAGTCACAAGTGCGTTGCTGCCCTTGGAGTCCCTCCCGCTCGATTCAGCGGGAGGGGGGATTTGGGCTCCGGTAACCTCCCTCACTCTGTGAAAGGCAACGAAAGAATTGCTTAACACCGGTTTTCTGTGACGCCCTGGTATCACTCCGTTCGAGCCGGCCCATTTCAAGACTTCCTCATTATTTAAGACTTGCAACAAGTATCACATGATGTTCTGGTATTGAGTATAAAGGTCCCCGAAACTCGGTAGATTGAGTAGTTTTACCGATTCCTGTAATTACAATTGTATATTTGTCATTGAGGAACGTAAAAAGTTGTGCAGTGTAGTGAAGGAAAATCTGATATGTATATCTTAAGTTGCTCTAATAAGGAGAGTTCTGAAAGACTTCCAGTCTCCATACCAAGGTAACCTGTCTACTGATGGTGCTGTGACCTGGGCGAAACACGACTCAGAATTTAGGAGTTTTTTTTAGTTTTGAAAGTTTGATGGAAAAAGGCAATATGGAAAATAAATACTGAGGATTCAGGGTACGTTTTTTTGAGGGCATGGTAAATGATATTTATTTCTGTAAGTAAATATTTTCAGATATTTTTACAAGTCGGACTTTATAGCTAGAAGGAGCCGGCATTTCCTAAGACTCACTCTGGGAAGAAACGCCGAAACAAACCACAGAGGTGTCCTTTTTTTTTTAAGTCCGTAAACAAAGTTAAATAAAACTGTCGAGTACAGTATAGGGTCTGGGTAGGCCTTTTGAGGAAAGGACCATAGTTTTGAGTCAGCCTGTCAATACAGACGGCATACAGGCTCCAGCCATCGTGTAGCCTAACTAATATTGGTCAAGATGGCTGATCTTAGCCTCTTTTCAAGGCTGAGAACATGCCTAATTTTTTATTTATTTTTATGTTAGAGGGGGCAGAAGCAGACGGGTCACCTGATGGAAAGTGACTATCGCCGACCATGAACGTCTGCAACTCAGGAGTCACAAACGCGTTTCCGGCCTTTTAGGAAGGTAATATAATAAGATAAGTTAAGAAAACAGTTTTATATATATAATATATAACATCACTGCAAAGAGAAGAAAAACTTGTAACAATACCTATACCAACCCGTCCGGCCAGCATGGCCAAAACCTCCTTTCTAAGGAAAGGCCTATGTCTAGCAGTGGACTATTAAAGACTGTTGATGATGATAACTCATCAAGAAACAGTTCTTCTTAATACACACTCTCTCTCACACATAAATTTCTGACTTCATCCTAATTTCAGATCATCCCATTCCTGTACACTTGGCTAAGGCCCGTGTGTTAGGTTTCGGTACCTCTTTATAATAAAAGGTAAAACGAAATAGATAAATAATAATAATAAATTCTTAATCCTATACCAACCCGTCTGGCCAGCGTGGTATAGTAGGCCAAAACCTCCTTTCTAAGGGGAGGCCTATGTCCAGCAGTGGACTATTAAAGGCTGTTGATGGTGAATAAATTCTTAGGGAGTGTACATTAATAATGTGAAACGGTTATTAGGAGCGACATTGAGGGGAAACAAAAATGGAATAAGTTATTTGGTAATTCAAATTAAATATATAAATAGCATAGCATTAAAATGTGTAAATCATAACATCTGATTTGACATTTATTTACATTTTTATTTATTCACATAATATATACATTCTTCTACTATCTTAACAGTTTGCCCCAATGCAATAATGGGCTTACTAAAATGAACTCTAACATAAAGCAACAACCCTTTTTTTGGTTCACTAATGTTTGAATCAAATTACACTGATATTTTTATTATTATATGGATGCAAATAAGCAGACAGGTCATTTGATGGTAAATGCTTACCGCTACGCAAGGAAGTGCTTTAGCTGGCAATTTAATTGCTCATAATGTTTTTATGTTGTGTTTTCAGTAAGGTTGTTGTATCTATTATTTAACTAGAAATTAATGTATTATTTTAAAAGCATGGCCAGAATAAATTTATGCTGCTTTTATTTTACATTGACTGCCTCGTTGATGCAGTGGTAGCTTATGCGACTGCTGAGGTCTTGGGTTTGATTCCCGATTCAGACCAAATGTGTGTATGATCTGCAAATATTTCAGTTTGGGTGTTTCCTATGAATAATATGTATGTATTTGCAAAAATTTACGTATTCTATCAGTCAATGTAGCTTCCATATTACAAGCTCGGCTTAGTTTAAAACTAGATGGCGTGGTGTCAGATGTACCAAAATATTTATTTATTTGTATGTGTTACTATCAAGTAACAATTGATATACAGTACATACCCATATATACAGGGTGCAGACAAGTGCAGGCGCCCACTACGCCATGGTTGTTGCATGTAGGCTAGATATCTGTCATCAGGAGTCACATAATCACCTCTGTCAACTGCACGGAAAACTTTTTCTACCGTATTAGTGCGTATGCGATTTATATTTTTTAAAGTGTTCACCATAGCATTGTTTTCGCGCCCATATAGCGATCTGCTATCCATCTTGTTTCAACGCGGTTTCAAGCACACCAGCCCAATTTAGAGCAATCAAAACAGCACAATTATCACTCGTAACATTTTATTCGAAAAGATTTTTTTATAGAAGTTCCTATTCATTAGTTCATAATAAAAACGATAAGTAATAATTATTTTTATAATAATTAATTTTTAGTAATATTGAACTAAGAAACTATTGTTTTGTCCTATTGAAAAACACACTTCTTTACGATAGATAAATGAATCAGTTCTAGAATAAATACTCTTTAATATATTTTCCAATACAAAAAATGCAAATAATAATTGTAAACTTTAATTGTACTGAAATACACAAAGCACAAAAGTCGTATCAATTTGCATAGATTTCCTCAGCAATTCAATTTTAATTCGGATGAAACAATAATAGTTGCTGCCGAACACGACCACAACACAGAAAAACAACAAAACCAAAAATTTGACAATGACAGCAACTGACATTACATTTTTCAATGTCAAATAAATTGTCAAATAGATGGAACTTTAACTTTCAAGGTTGGGGCAGACATCGAACGGGGCGGAACCGTGAAGCACTGGTATAATTTTTTACCTAAAAATTACCTACATTCCATCTAATCAAGCTATAAAATCTAATCCTTATCCGTGAGCTTAACCGATTAACTCATATAAAATAACATAAATTAAATTTAATTTAGAACCAATTTTAAGCCCCTTTAAAAAGGCTGATATTTACGTAATTTACGCAGAACAGTACAGTTTTACAATATAATATTAATTGTGTAAACGTTTCGCCAGGCTGGAGTTAAGCTTTAGATAGACAAAACATTTGGTTAACAATGTACAAAATTATATATTATGATCTTAATGAAAATATTTTTAATTGTTTGAAATATTTTAAAACACAATTTTAATTATCTATAACTTAATTATTGCATCATAATTTTGTTTGATACAGTCTCGGAGAATTAAACAACATTAGCCACGTCGAATTCGTCAAAAACTAAAGAATTGTGACAGATCTCTATGTCTTCAGTCTCTGGCTCAAAAAAAAATGACAGATCATCAAACCACGGGATTGGGGATGTGATTTATTTATTTTTAAAACTTTCTGTGTGAATAAACTGGGTATCATTTCAAATTTAACAGTGTCAGGTGATTTTCTATTTGTTCTTATTAAGAATGTTGGACTGTTTCATATTACAACGAGTTTTGCAAAGTATTGTCGTGTCACACTAGGAACGTCATTTTAGTAGTGATAAGGCTCGGCGTTTAATATTTATCATTATCGTGTTTAGTGGACGGCTATTTTTTTTAAACAGAGCGATGGCCGAGACGAGTGAAGCGCGGGCGAGTGCGTCAGCGCCGGGTGGTGACGCTGGCGGTGAAGAAGACAAACACGATGAACGTATGTTGGAGTGCAACATCTGCCTTGACACGGCTCGCGACGCCGTCGTCAGCATGTGTGGACACCTATTCTGGTATGGCACCTCAATGATGACCATAACCTATTGCGAAGAACATAAATCAAGTATAAAGTAGAACTTCAATTGTATGCTAATTAAGTGCGAAATGCTAATGCTGAAAATTTTGTGTTTCTAAATGACCGTAAGTAACAAACTGCTTTGAATTATTGGGATGTTTACACAGTAAAGATAACAGTTCCAACTAGATATCAATTAGCTATCACAACATATAAACAAGATAAAATATGTGTAATGGATATAATATGTAAAGGATGAGTTAGGCAGTGCAGGTTCAAATAGATGTGGTGACAAGAATTGTGAGTTCGATGTAGTGTGGCTATATTGAAAAGATGAGCGAATACTAAGTATAAGAAATAAAAAAAAACTAAAGTGAAAAAAAACTTAATATACTTACTGACCAGATCAATAGTATACTGAATTAGTATCTGCACTAATTCAGCATACCGTCGATCTAGTCAGTATGGCGTGAGCTCTATGTCAGGATCATGGCACTTTTGTTTTCTATCATCTCTGCTTACCCCAGATATGTATAAGATGTTAGTTAAGTACATATTTATTAGAATAAGCATACACAAGACTTTTTAAGGTGAATGTCGAGGTTATCAATTGTTTCTATCTTTAAACAATTATCTACAAACATAATTAACATAACGTAGTGGCACCAATGATCGACACTTTAAGGAGATAGTGGGCTTCTTTATAAAATTAAAGGTCATTTAGTCATCATTAAACCAAAAGTAACGATTGAGTACGGTAAGGTATATTCTTGAGATAAGAATAGGATGTATTATTTTTGTTAACTATACACGGACTAGAAAAAAAACCCAAAAAAGGAAAAAGTGTATAAATCTCCAATCGTCGACACCGAATCTCCAGTAATCAACACCCAGTCATCAACAGTTACCAGTTACCGACACCCAGTTATCGACTATTACCTATAATCTGTATCTGCCAAACCCCCCCCCCCTAGTGGGTCATTAAAATAAAATTAACTGTTTAATATGTATTAATTTAGTCCTGTCCACAGTACAATGTCCATATTTTGCTTTGTAAAGTGTATTAATCATACAAATACACACATACACACTTTTGTAACTATAATAAAAAAGGTCAATATAAGTAACAAACAATTGTCAAAAAGTTTAAATTGCAATAATCAACAATATTTACAGTAAAGTTATTCTTACTTAACTAATTATTAAATATTTATTAGTAATCAAATCAGTCTTTCAGTTCGTAATCAAATATCTATTTGGAAACAATATTTCCTAACCAGTTTCGTAATAATTATGAATTTTTATAACTATATAACAATCAGTCATACCTAGTAGTAACTAGGTAACTACCTTGTACTAATATAATTTCTGCAGTCTATCTTAAATTGTAGTAGGTAAATTCAATTAAAAACATAACAGACAACGTAAATGAGATCTTTTTTCAATTTCTAAGTAGCTTTTGCGCATATACCTACGAGATCTTTTTGTAGTAAATATTATTTAGTTAGTTTTTATTAATTATAAGAGATCCTTTTGTAAAGATTAACTACCTAAGTACCTATTATATGAGATCTGTTTTAAAAGCCATACATATTTGGCAAATATTTATCCATTTCTGGAATTCTATAAAACCCTCTCTTGTTTAAACATATAGGTTCCCTTATCACTTCCATTATTTCCTTGGGCTTATAGAAAATTTTATCGGGCGGGTTAGGCCATTTAAAAGAATTTCCAGTAGTCAATGTCATTGTACTTATTTCGTACTCGTTCTTTCTCAAGCTTTCTATCTTACCAGGCAAATACTCCCCTTCATACTTAATTATTACGAAATTTCCTATCGAAAACTTCCTGTTTTTATTTGGTTTAGTTGCATTTGAAGATGCAATTTTACTTAAGGGCAAATTTTCTAAATCCGAGTCTATAGAATCACAGTCTATTTCATTCTTTGTTTTTGTTATTTTTTCTCTTTCTGGTTGTTTCTCTTCGTCATCTTCGAAATTATAACTAATATCACTTTCAGCGTATGAAATCTCCACATCTGACTCTTCTGAAGTCGAATCTTCTTGAAAAGTTTTCTTAGTTTTCTTAATCTTGCTTTTATTGTTCTTTTCATTGGTTAACTGTTCTTTTAATTTCTTTTTTTCTATTCTCTGTCTAGCTCTTTCGTCTTTTTCTTGCTGTTTTTTATTTTTCTCAGTTTCCTTTTTCTCGTGATATTCTTTCCAAGCTTTACTAGTTACTGTTGACGGAATTTTCTCTCGTTTCATTCTCTTCTTATTACTATCCATCCAATTTTCCGGCCAAAACAAACTCCTCTTAAAAGGAGATGGGACAATCACTCCCAAAACTTTTTCCAAAGACTTTTGTGGTGTTGTGTACTGCGGTTCCATAGTACTAATGATAGATTGTTGAGATAGGTTATTTCCTATTACTTCAGGGAAACTAGATGAAGATGAAGGATTCGGTGGTGGAAGTGCTTGATCGAGTAATGTATTAACTGTGGAGTTATTATCAGGTTGTTGCTTTTGAGAATCTCCTGTTACTTCAGCTGAACTGATGGGTGAAGTAAGTTCCGGTATTAAAACATGTTGGTTAGTAACAGTATCAGTCTTGGGGCTATTGTTAGGTTGTTGCATTAGAGGATCTTTAGATAAATCAGTTGGTAAAGAACGTTCCGGCGGTGGAAGCGGTTGGGTAACAGCATCATGCCTGACGTTATAGTTTAGTTGTTGAGGAAGATATTCTACTATTACTTTAGGCAAATTGGTTGATGATATGGACTCAGATGGAAATGTTTCATCATCAGTGGTGACTGTTTTTGCTATAGGCAAACTGTGAGTCACGCCAATGTTATCATCTACTGACTTCTTCGAGATATGTGCTGCTGAATAAGTTTCTATTAAGTCATTGGAGTTGCTATCTTTTGGTGGATTTTCCGTCCGCATGCTGTTGAAGTGCATTTCTTCAGTTTCTGTAGGCACAGAGTCACCGGCATCTGATGGTATAACCATTGCTTCATCGGTTACAACAACATCGTTCGTTTGAGCAGTGGTTACATCATTTGACGGATACCTCGCCTGTTCCAATGTGTCTGACGTTGTTGGAGCATCCGCCGAACTTGAATGGCACAACGCGTCTTCAGATTTGTTTTTGGCCCAAATTAAATACAAAGCCTCGTCTTCATCAGGGATTTCTCTTTCCAGTGTCTTTCTATTTTCAAAGTATAATTTATTGAATTGCTGTAACTTTTTTTGCGAGTACACGACCAGGTTTAGGTGACAAAAAGAACGCGGTCTCGTCTGCGTTGAATATTCTGTGTGGGTCGTTTAAAATAGTTTTAAAGTTATTTTCATCCAAATAACTTTCAATCTCCGTAAACCAAGTCCTGATGTTATTTTCAGACACATTATCTCGAGCTCTTGACAAGTTGTCTGGCACTCTTTGTGTCAAGTTTGGATGTCTCTTCATGAACGACTGAAACCACTTCTTGCTGGGCCTATTGTTTGTAAAAGGATTTGGTCTGTTTTGATCAATTATTATTTTTTGCACACTGTCTAGTAGCGAATCTTTTGTCAGTGGAATATGTCTTTCAGATAACGCTAATATCCACTTTTCCAAAATGTCTTCTTCCCCTTTAGTTAAAACCGTGCTCGGCCCCATTTTTTTTTTTTTTTTTTTTTTTTTTTTTTTAACGTGTGGAAATCCCCTCGGACCGTCACCCCTCCCCTGCGGCGGGGTGGTGTGTCGGACTCGGACCGACTAAAACCACACGGTGTGCCACTCTGCGCCTGTAACAGGAGGGATCCGGGAACAGCTGTTGTTAAGACATCCGGACCCCTCCTAGCGCCAGCCCGCTCCTGGTGCGGGCTCCGTCTCACTGTTGATGTTCCTCTCTTTAGGCGACGTCCGGCACACGCGGACGCCGCCCCCTCGCGGCTGGCCAAACTAATGCGGGTGGAGGGGAAACCCACCCCGTCCACCCGCGGCCACACTCAGGGCGGCATGAGGCTGTGGTAGGCGGGCCTCCGCCGCCCGGTTCGCCGGCGGCGGATCGGGTCCGAGTGGAGGTCGTCCTCCCGGGCCCTCTCCGCCGCCTCCTTCCGCGAGATTACTACCTCGCAGAAGGTTGCGACCGCGGTAAAACAACTGTCGCTACCGGCCATGGAGCGTACTACGGCCGGTAGCGAGAGATCCACTCCGATGAGTGCAGTGAGGGCCCGGCGCTGCGCCGCCCATGCGGGGCAGACCGCCAGCGTGTGCTGGGCCGAGTCCTCACTGCAGTCGCAGTGGTGGCAGGCGGGACTCAGTTCCCTCCTAGCGACCGTGTGCAGGTACCTTCCGAAGCAACCGTGCCCGGAAAGCACCTGCGTCAGTCGGAAGGAAAGGGTCCCGTGCTGCCGCCCTGCCCACTCGGCGATGACCGGCTGGAGAGCCTCCACGGCGGCGAAGCCAGCGCGTGGAGTCTCCAGCCGGAACGACCAACGAGCCATCGTGGCTCGGCGAGCTGCTTCGCGCCACTCGCGCACATCCTCGGGCGGAGGGCGAAATCCGCTCTCCGCCCGGAAGTCAGCCACTCGCCGATAAACTTCGGCGAGCACTTCCGCCTCCAAATCCCACGGGGGAGTTCCGGCCAACGCGCACGCCACCTCCGTCGAGACGGTGCGGTAACCGCGTATGGCTCTGACCGCCATTACCCTCTGAGGGCGCCAGAGGCGTACCCTATTCTGGGCGGTCAGAGCCGCCGCCCACACCGGTGCACCGTACAGCGCCATTGACCGGACAACCCCCGTGTACAGCCGTCTTGTCGCGACGCTGGGTCCACCCATATTGGGCAAGAGTCGCCCTAGGGCAGACGCAGCGCCGACCAGCTTTGGAGCAAGCTGTCGGAAGTGCTCGTCGAAGAGCCACCTCCCGTCGAGGATCAGGCCCAGATATTTCATCTGGGCCCGAACCGGTACGAGGACCGAGTTGACCACGATTGAGGCGCCAGGGGGTGGACCACGACGGGGCCCATGGAATAACAGGGCCTCCGTCTTATCTAGGGCCACCCGTAAGCCCAGCGCCTCAATGCGCCCGACCACCAGGGAGACTCCCCCTGTGGCCAGGCGCGCCGCCTCTTGGAAGTTTGCCCCCCGGGCTGTCACGAGGGTATCGTCTGCGTAACAGATTACACCCAGCCCGGGGTGCTCGGCCCCATAGCGCAACCCATAGTTGTTTTTCCCGAAATTTTATCATGGAGCGTAATCCTAGGTACTCCGAAACGTTTCGCAGCAACTGCAATCTTTTCGCCATTTTTTATAGCTTCTACGGCTTTTTCTAACTGGTCGGGCGTATAATTTTTTCTCGGAGCCATCTGTAAGAACCAATCATCGACACATATTATTCCCCAATAATCGTCACTTGTCGATTACTGGTAGCTCGGCTTTGATTAGTTTACTTCAAATATCTACGAAATACGCAAAGTAAGAAGAACTATATTCGCTTGTCAAATGAAAAATGTTTCAAAAAATTATTATCGACACGTGTCGATTATTGGAAAAGTCAGTTTGTGAAAACCAGTGATCGACACCAACATTTTACTAATATCAAAATAAACTTAAACTTTCGTTATAACAAAAATCAATCCTATAGTTCTTATAATAACCCGTGAAAACCATAAAGGTCAAATAAGTTACAATTAATTAGTATAATTAACAAAAAAATGTACTCACTTCCTTAAGGATTTCGCTAAGAAATGTTGTTACTTTCACCGGTACTCCAGCCGCAATCAGTTGTCACACCGTCATTTTCAAAACCAAATGGCGGATTTCGCTCAAATGTCAATGGGAGCCAGTCAAAAGTGTGCTATCTATGTTACAGTGTTGCCATATTAAGAAATCGGTTTCCTACTCTTATTTCATTGAATCAAAAAATAAAGTGTCGGTTAGTGGTTCTTGTCGGTCATTGGTGCCACTACGTTACTACATTGTCATTTATTGCATACGCTGAATGTCAACAGTGAATCTCAAATTACCAAGATTAGAGAGATAGAGAGGAAACAGTGTTGTGCAGAATTGAATCCACAAATACTTGACAAAACAGAGATTGTTCCTATTGTGTGTGTTGATCTATAACCTTAGAGTCTACAGTTGTAAGAGATGCTTTCAAACAATTTTAAAAACTTCATGAAATAACGATATTTTGACTTTATTAATGTCAATTAACTGTCCCGTATTATCTGCATTCATAATTGTCATTTAAGCAGCTAAATAAATTCAATCATTTACATAGCTGCAGTTAAAAATTCTTAATCTTATTAAATACCAGTATTCTTTCAAAATAGATCATAAACACCAATTGTTTTCAATAGTTCAGCATCAATATTGGAATATGAGCTTTGTGAATGAGATCATTTATGCACAAAACGGACTATTTATTGTACATTGCTCTAATGCCATCATATTAACCTTAAACAATCAGTTTGTATTCTACATTGCACTCTTCAATCTTCAAATTCCAATGAATCTTTTCATGTATGTAAACATTAGTTAATATACGGAAGTAGTAAATGCGCACCGCACGCTACATATTACTTTATAGTATAGTCCATCTAAAGGTTGCCTGGAAGAGATCGCAGGCTGCGATCGCCCATTGTATCACTGTTTTTTTCTGTATGTATCATCGCATGTATCCTATTTATGGTGTGCAATAAAGAGTACCTATCTATCTATCTTTTATATTCCACAAAGCAAAAAAGCTTCTTAGTAAACACTTTGATATAGCTAATAGCTCTAAAAAATCGATCTAAGTAGCGTGCAAGCAGAGAGGCCTATGTCCAGCAGTGGACTGCGATAGGCTAATGATGAGTGTGTGAGTGAATATCTCATTTCATCTCTAATTTTTTTTAAGATACATTTTCAAAACGTATCCTTCAAATATTACTTTCCGAATTAAAGCACTAAAGAGGTGTAATTCATGATGCAATAAGATTTATTTTTGTATTACCTGTAGTTTTAATCTTTTTTATGTCTGTACTGTTCTATGTTATAAAAACATGTTATACAGCAAATAACCTCCCTCAAATGACTGACAGATAGATGGTGTTGAGCTTTTTTTAAGTGGTCACCACTATCAATCCCAATGGGACAATACTTTGTGCGCTCGACAAATTGTTGTTCTGAGTCTCTGAATCCTTTATGTCCATTTCATATAAGTTTGTAAAAGTCCCCCGTGACACAGGATACATTCCTAGTGCAGAAGTCCTTAAAAAAATATTACTACAATTAAAGTTCCAGATATTTATGTTTTAACGAAATAAACAAATAACTCTTCAGCTTTATGATATTAATATACGTATCTTTCTACTATTCATCATCATCAACAGCCTTAAGTAATCCACTGCTGGCTAGACGTGTTGGGTTCATTCAAGTTTTCCTTCTATTTGCAGTGTTGTTATCCTGCATAGTTTGTTCCCTTAGTCGGCTCTTATGACACCTACGGCATGAATAGGGGTGGTGACACACTATTAAAAATTATGTTTGTTAGTCAATGATACCTGGTATGGCTAAACAGACCTATATTTTCTATAGGTATAGAGATTACTATATAGATATAGTTTGGAATAGTACATGTAAGCTACTTTTCATTTGTAAAAAAATATTGTTAAATAACATTATCGGCAAAACAATTATCAAAATATTACCCTCCCTACTCGATTATGGTTTATAAATCAGTGTTTAGCCATTGTGGCTGTTTCATATGATTCTTTTGGTGTTAGGGGGAATAAAACGAGAGTGGTCTGTATAAATAATAATTAAAAACACTGGTTCAGTACAGGGTAAACTCGCAAATATCATCATCAACAGCGTTTAATAGTCCACTGCTGGACATAAGCCTCTCCTTAGAAAGGAGGTTTTGGCCCACTATACATATGGTATAGGGTTTGTTTCAAGTTTTCCTTCTCTCTGCAGTGCTATTTTTCTGCTTAGTTTTCTCTCTACGACGGGATGAATAGGGACGGTGACACTGTATTCTTAATCCATCACCACACGGACAAATATATATGATTACAATTATTTACAGCTGGCCCTGTTTACATCAATGGTTAGAGACGCGGCCGTCGCGACAAGTATGCCCCGTCTGCAAGGCAGCTATCAGCAGAGACAAAGTTATTCCACTCTACGGCAGAGGCAACACTAAACAAGAAGACCCTAGAAATAAGGTATAAGATTTCTGCATGCACAGCTTGATTGATTTATATAACAGCTTTTGACCGCGGCTCCGCCCTCGTGACGGTAAAAAATTCACCTATGTGACTCGCTGATAATGTAGCTTTCCATTGGTGAAAAAATATTTAAAATTGGTGTAGTGGTTTAGGCGTGAAAGTGTAACAAACGAACAAACTCACTTTCACATTATAAGTCCGGATGCATATGGATGTGTCTATTCATGCTGAAATTGCTTAACCGTATTTATTAATGCAAGTAAATATGTCGAGAATATCATTAGGTTGCAAATAATTAGATAGATAGATAGATAGATAACTCTTTATTGTACAAAAAACATAATAAAAAAGAAGAAATCAGTTTGTATACATTGTGTGTCTTATATCTAAAGTTAAATTATTGTAACATGGAGAGTAAAGTATTAAAATTTGTACAATTGGCGGCCTTATCGCGTTTTGCGATCTCTTCCAGGCAACCACTGGATGGAGAAGGAGAATAGGAGTGAGATAGGGGGTTGCAGTTTGTAGATCGGAGTTTTTGTAAATTAAGACTATTTGATTATACAAACTAATTCAAACATATACACTAAACACATACACACATCACTACACAATAAATTCATTACACAAAATATACATTTAACAGAGACTATAGAAGTAACAGACATAAATATAAGATTTCTGACTGAGTGAGGGGACCCTCGCTTAGCAGCTTCGGAAATGCTCCTTCAGCAACCTTTTGAAACAAGGCAGTGTTTGTGCTCGTCTGATGGGCAGTGGCAATGCATTCCATAAGCGTATAGACTGCACTGTAAATGACTTGTCCATAAAAGTCGAGGTGTGCTTCGGCATTTCCAAAGTCAAGCTCTCTGACGATCTTAAGGACTTTGAATGCGTATCACGTAGGAATCTGAAGCGTTCCTTTAAATAAAGGGGAGTGTTGGGATTAAAGAGAATATTGTATAATAGTGAAAGGATATGAATATTCCGGCGAAGACGAATGGGTAACCAGTTAAGCTTATTCCGAAATTCAGAAATATGGTCAAATTTGCGCAATCCAAAGATGAACCTTATGCAAAAGTTTTGGAGCCGCTCAACCTTATTAAGTTGGTCTTCGGTGAGATCGGGATAGCTGGTATCTGCGTAGTCAAGGATTGGGAGAAGAAGGGATTCTGCAAGCGCAATTTTGGTCGTAATTGGTAAAAAGTTACGCAGCCTTCTCAGAGATCCAGCAGAAGCAAACAGTTTCCTACTGACTTCTTGTAGTTGCGGACCCCAGGACAAGTTTTTATCGAGGTGAATTCCCAGATTTTTTATGGTGTTCGAGATCGGAACTAAGGCCCCATCGCAGTATATTTGGGGCTGATGTGACCAATCGACTTTTGATAATGTCCTAGTGCCACCGATAATGATTGCCTGTGTTTTAGATGGATTCACTATTAACCCGTGTTGCCTGCTCCACGTACAAATCTGCTCTATATCCCGGTTAATAATCGAGATCGCTGCTCCTAGTTGTTCCACGGGTGCTTGAGCATAGATCTGCAAATCGTCTGCATAAAGGTGGTAAGATGAAGCTAAGCTATTGGAAATAGAGTTTACAAAAACCGCGAAGAGCAAGGGAGATAAAACGCCACCCTGTGGTACGCCGGCAGTTGTAGTGCACCAACCAGAGAGTCTTTCATCGATTCGAATACGCTGCCGACGCCCGAACAGGTAGTTACGAAACCAGTCAACAACCGTCGGAGATATGTTAAGAGAGCACATTATGGCAAGCAAGACGTCGAAGTCAACAGTGTTAAAGGCGTTACTAAAGTCTAGCAGCGCCAGCACAGTTAGCTTGCCATCCTCAAAGCCTGACCGTATATCGTCCGTGATATGAACCAGTGCGGTGGTGGTGCTATGTCCAGGACGAAAACCAGATTGGAGGGAATTTAGAAGGGAATTTTTACAAAGATAGGGATTAATTTGGTTGTAGACAAGACGTTCGAGAGTTTTAGATAGGAAGGGTAGGATAGAAATCGGACGGATTTGATTTCTTAGGTAATGGAGTTACTAATGCTTCTTTCCAAGCAGTTGGAAAGTTTCCGGTTGCCATGGAGAAGTTAAATATGTGAACAAGGACAGGAATGATTTCCTCTAGGATAGGCAGGATCATATCACGGCTGATACCATCGCTACCAACTGCGTTGGAGTTAATAGAGAGTATGCTCTTCCTAACATCACAATCGGAAAATTGACTAAAGACAAATGTAGGAGAGTCTAGAGTTGGGAGAGAAGAAAGATATTGTATCGTGTTATTTTTTATTGTCCCGTCAAAAGGAGACGATGTGGAGAAGTGTTGATTCATCAATTCGATATTTACGTTTTTGGAAGCCGTATGTTGCCGTGACTTCCCAACTCCTAGTGATCGAAGAAACTGCCAGACCTTGGCCGGATCCCCATGTTCAACAGAGGTATGGATAAATTGGCGTTGTGCATTCCTACACACCTTGTTGCAGCGATTCCGAATTGCGACGTATTTCTCCCAATTTGTACTAGTTGGACAGCGCTTAAATCGGAACTTAACTGCGGATTTCTTAGACAAGAGGAGTTTTATATCTGCAGTAAGCCAAGGAGATGGCAGATGCTTGACTTTTATTTTGCGCAGTGGAGCGTGTATGTTGTATAGACTGATCAGAGTATTATTGAAAAAGTCTACTTTTTGGTCAATGGAACCCAATTCATATAAACGACCCCAGTCAATACTGCTTGCATCCATGCAGAGCTTGGTTACATTTATGGCTTAATATGGCATAATTAATACCTTAATAGACAGCAATTCTAATTTACGGAATAATAATAATATTCTACCACATCCACACAACGCCATCTAGTCCCAAACTAAGCAAAGCTTGTACTATGGCTACTAGACAACTGATATAAATACATATATACTTTTTTTTGTAAATACATACTTATTATACATAGAAACACCCAGAATAAATCAAACATTACATGTTCATGAACCCGCGACCTTTGGAATAGCAGTCCGTTACACAAACCAATACGCCATTGTGTCCCATATATTAGTAAGTAGCTGCAATGGTGGGCTCTGCCAGCTTTCAAACATCATCGGAGAAGCACCCAAAGAACGAAGACCTATAGTATTTTTAATTTTGTCAGAAATATTAGTTAGTTGTTTGTCATCTTAGTTAATAAAGAAGCATTCTTGTGGTTTGAGTTACGTGTTTTATTCGTTTAAAAATCAATCACATTTGTAAAGAGTATTTCTTAAGAATATAAGTCTTTTATCATTATATATCACGACACGTACGTTTTATTTTTTTTGTTAAGTAACTAAACCAAGTCTAAGTGTTTAAATAATTTGTTCAGATAGGTCACAAAGTATAACCAGGTGTTACATAAATTATTTATATTTAACCACACGTGTCAGAATAGTATTGTGTAGTAAAATATCACGCTCATACGAATATCGGGGAACGATCTTCTGTAGATCGTCGTCACCAAAACGATTACGAATGCAAAATAAATATTTAAATAGACACAAAAGTAAATACGCGATTTGTCATTTACATAAGATATGCAAAGGGGATGGATCAAGTTTGCCGATTTACGCATAATTTCAGCTCTACTACGTGATACTCCTGCCCGTTCTTACTTTTATAGTTTGACTGCACGGATGGCGTAGTGGTTTAAGCGGTCGCCACGCCGCTTTCCACTACGCCGAGTGTTGTGGGTTCAAACCCCACACGGGACGACACATTGTGTGATCCACAAATTGTTATTCTGAGTCTGGGTGTTCTTTGTGTCTGTTTCATGTATGTTTGTAAAGTACCCCGCGACACAAGATATATTCCTAATGCGGGAGTTGTCTTAAAAAAAAAAGAAGTTATTTAAACTTCGATAGTATTGCTGAGCTATGCCTGTGTGTAGGCTTGTTATGTACTTATAATGATGTACTAGCTGACCGCTCAATTTCGTCTACGTCTCTCAAAAGGAAGAATATATATATATATTGTATATATATTTTCGGAAATTGACACACAACGCCATCTAGTTTCAAACTAAGCAGAGCTTGTACTATGAAAGCTAGACTGACTGATAAAATACTTTTTGTTTCGTAAATACATACATATTATACATATAAGAGCACCCAAATTTCGAAACAAATATTTGCAGACCATACAAACATTTGGTCCGAATCAGGAACCCAAACCGAGACCTCAGCACAGAAATACCGGGGCAGTAATTTTTTTTCCCGTTTTGGCAAAATTTCTCCTTGATACTCGGCTTCTTTTGGTCATAGCGTGATGTTATACGACCTTCCTTATGTAGCCTTCCTTGTTAAAAGGATTCCAACAACTTTTTTTTTAAATTCGTGCCAGTAGTGTCTGAGTTTAGTTCAACCAAACAAACAAATAAACTCCTCTGCTTTATAATATTACCCGTCCTCATCCCCACAATGGCCAAATTTGTACAAATCGTAGTAAAGAACAAAGACAAAGACATTTTTATTTCTTAAAACACGAGTATACATACGGAGGCATGTAAGATGTTTAATAAATTAGATTATAGACAGATATGTTTAGCCATTGTGGCTGTTTCATATGATTCCTTTGGTGTTAGGGGGAATAAAACGAGAGTGGACTGTATAAATAAGAATTAAAAACACTGGTTCAGTACAGGGTTGTCGTTGCCGGGCAAAGAGTGTAAAAAAAAATGTATGTGTCTATTCGTGTCGATCAGCTGAGTGCTGCGCTTTTGGCGGGCGCCTCTCGTCGCGTCCGATGTCCTCTCTTACTCTCCCGCTGCCGATGTCCTTGAGCTCGTGTTGAATGCAAGATTCAACAGTTGCGTTCAAATATATTAGGATCAAATACAACTTGCTTAATATTAGATCTCGATAACCTGTGATTGTTTATACACAACGTGCTATATGCCGTATGCTTACTCCAGGTCGATTAGCTCTGGCACCAGGGCCTTCCTTTCTAGGGTATACCTGGTTCCCCGGCTATTAGTACCCGGCGAAGGCGTGCGGTTTTAGTCGGTTCGAGTCCGACATGCCACCGACAGGTGGTATCCGAGGGGATTTCCGCACGAAAAAAAAAAAAAAAAAAAAAAAAAAGGTCGATTAGCTCACTAGTTGATTATGGATCATCATCACATCAACAGCCTTTAATAGTCAACTGCTGGACATAGGCCTCTCCTTAGAAATGAGGTTTTGGTCTACTATACCACGCTGGCCAGACGGGTTGGTATAGGGTTTGTGTCAAGTTTTCCTTCTCTCTGCAGTGCTGTTGTCCTGCGTAGTTTTCTCCCATAGTCGGCTCTTACGACACCCACGGGATGAATAGGGGTGGTGACACTCTGTATTCTCAATCCGTCACCACACGGACAATTATTATGGATGATGTTGGTTAAAGTTTATTTTGACTTTAGCAAGTGCCCCCGCGACCGGCGGGGCAGCGCACGGAGCCTGAGAACACCAGCGGGTTCCCCGGCTTTGGCTTCGGCGAGGGCTTCCACATGTCCTTCGGCATTGGCGCCTTCCCATTCGGCGTGTTCACATCCACTTTCAACTTCGGTGATCCTAGACCGAGTGCTGGTATGTATTTAGATATACCAGTTCATTTGTGTGGAAGTTGACGGTTATAAAACTCTTGGGGGATGAAACTCAAACCCAAATATTTTTTATTGAGTAGGCACTTCACGTGAGTAGTATACAAATATTAATTATATTAAAAAATAAACAAACACTTGAATAGTAGAGATGAGATGACTTAAGTGAAAGGTTATAAGAATCACTTATATACATTTGTATCTCCATTGCGAGGCCAGTAGATCCAGTCTGCCATCACCAGGCTTGTTGTCAAAGCCATGCAAGTTTACTAACTTGCATGGCTTTGCACGCGACCCATGGATCGTGCGTGGATCGTGTGAAAGAATGGAATAATCAGGATATTTATGAGTTTTAAAGATTACCCGGCACAAACAGGCTGACAAAAAAAAAATTGGTTTTTAAGCATAGGTACCGTACAAAATAACCTTGTGAGGAGGGAAATAACTATTATTTTGACATTACAAACAGACACTTCAATTTTATTTATTTTACTACTAAGTATTATTATTCTTAAATACATGAAGTGTGTAAAACATCTCGTTATAATTGTTCCAGCGCCCCGCGGCACGGCTCAGTACGAGGAAGAGCAATTCCTGTCCAAAATTTTCTTATGGGTGGCCATTCTGTTCGTGCTGTGGCTGATCTTCGCATGACCGCGCCCCTTGAACCTCACCTGACTTGCCTGCAGTGCGCTTCGATATGTTTACATATCTCGCCCTTTTACAATTTTTCTCCCCTCTTGTATAAGATGATACTATTTATTTATATAACTAAAAACGGTAAAGGATAAGGAAAGTGAACAGGAGATAACAAGAGAAGTGTCTAAGAGGTCCGATGGTACTTTGAGCAGAAATAATGAAGCTGTATATTTTCTTGTACGCTTTATTTGAGCGATGCTCCTGTCGACAATACACGAATTGTTCATTAGGTGTACCTATAGGTAGAGTCGGGATTTGTGTGTGTATAATTGAACCGGGTGTATGTCCCTTGTATAAGCACGAGTGGAATGCGATATCGGCAGTCATAATGTTAGGAAATGGCGTAAGTACTGAATATGGCGACTACCCGGCTGTGACGTCAGTGTCGTGTAGTTTTGTGTTACATTAATACAATATGTTGTTCATACTATCAAATCAATACTATTCGTTAAACTATTGATAACAAAATGTTTTTTAATTTGATCACAGGTTTTTTTTAAGATTATCTGTGCCATCTTTCATGTGTTCTTTTTTATTCATGTATTGTTATGTAATTTAATCTGTTTAAACGAGAATGTCTACACAATTAAATATGTATCGTCGTATATTAAATGAATAATAAAATTTCACTGATTAAAATTAGAACAGAAAGCTCAAAACAACGAAATGTCGGAAACCTAAAAAAAGGCAAAAAAAAAATAGTTTCACTTAAATGTATAAAAACTGTAATTATTAAAAAACATAAACAATTTCATCACTTTCCAATTGTAAACATATCGAAACACATTTATCTCAGAAACACTGCCTTTACTAGCCAAGGTCGAGTCGATATATCGATGACGAGAGGCGATATTCTTCGGTACACTGGTTGGCACTTTTGCCTGAGTAATGTCCAACGACAATAAACTCAACTGTTTATGGAATATCGGTAGAAAATGTTGCGATTTATCGAGGCCGCGCTAGATGAATTCTATTCTATGCTCGTTAATGTCAAATATGAAATCAATCGCTGTATAGAGTATGGTACAACAAATATTTGACCGCATTTTAAGATTGAATCAACTAGACCAATCGATAAATGGCTGAAACAATATCTTTATCGGAAATGTTTAGATTAATTACAAATATCATTCCTTTACACAAATCGTTCGATTCAATGGGCTTCGTTACTTCACACAGAGTTATTGCACTGACACAATGTGGACTTCTCTGTAATTATTTAAATTTCACATCGATATAAATATTCGACGCCATCGATAAAAGCGTTTTGTTTACGCGATATAACTAAATAGTCGAGTTTCGTTGTGTGCGTTAATATATAAGTTCAAAAATATCGACTATTTAATAATGACGATGAATAACTGACAATATTCCTACTTTAATTTAATCGATCGAATTTTGGTAAGCACATTACATTTATGTATGCGAACATTTTTTTTCTTGTTGAAGATAAAGAGATGCATTTATATTAAAGGCATTATTCTACTAGACGCACCGGTGGAATATTTAGAATAAAGTCCTGTGAAAAGAGACATTTATTTAGCTAATTTGAATATCCTAAATAACGTACAGAAGCAATAAAAAATCTTATTTATTTGTAATGGACGTTCAAAAAGGTTTTCAATTCGGCTGCATTTTTTATGCTCTATATACTTTCTCTGTTTTATGTACTCAAGACTCCCTCATTTATAAACAGATAAGCTATTGCCGTGTATGTCGGTTATGGCGATATGAAGTAGCCTATGTCCTTGGTCAAAAATCAGACCATCTCCATACCAAATTTCATAATTTCATCGGAATAGGTTCAGCGGTTATTGATTAACCCCTTTGAAGGACGATTTCTGCGATTAAAACTATCCTATGTCTTTTCCCGGGATTCGAACTATATCTATAATAAAAAATAACAGAGTTCCTGACGGAGATGGTTAAAGATTTTATTAATTTTAACTAAAATTGATTGATTGATTTTATTAATTTTAAGTAAAATTTAATCTAAAGTTGTAATAAAAAGTGATAATATTTTTTTAACACTGGAAGTTACAAAGCAATTTATACAAAAACCCGAGTACCTAATCCCTTAGTGTGCTCCTTAGAATGTTGATTGTTGTTATATTTACTTGTACTTCCAAATTATAACACAGTATAAGGTTACCACCTTGACCCTTGACTTTTCCACCACAGCTATTCCGTATTAAGCTTCTATTGAGAAATTATTCAGAAGCATACATATATAAATGTAATGTGCAAATACATAATACAACAAAAGGTATAGCGGAATTGCATGTTTCGCACTTGGTCTCTGCGTATGTGTACCAAGCCTGCACTTGGGAGCGCATTCATCGCTCCATTGGTTGCTGTCCTCAATGACTTCTGTAGTGGGTTTTTATAAAGAGAGCTCTGTTAAGCTATTTGTATATAAAATTTAATTGTTCAAGGGGCCTTCTTGTTATAAGTTCGCTTGTATGCTATACTAGTACTAACAACGTAGTTTTTGTGTACAAAATGCATAAATAGAGTAATCATACAAATCTGAAACTAATCTGCAGATTAAGTTAGCGAACATGCTCGTTCAAAGTACACATATGTTGTGATAATTCATACCAACAACATTTTCTGGAAAATAATTCTGTTTTTGTATATGCCATACAATCAACAAAATATAGTATATTTTATCCAATATTTATATAGAATTTTTCCTTACCAGATAAATGTTGCCTGTCTCATTTTTGCTTGTTAATACTGTTGAAGAATTTCAAGATAAGGCTGTGCCCAAATAAATATTAAACTGGACATAAACACCTTGAAACAGTTCTGTTAACTTTGGTGTGGTAGTAGAATGCCAAGGAATTCCCATAAGAAAATTTACAAATTGTGTGGGTTTAAGAGAAGTGCCCTATTTATTTATTTTGTACACAGAAAGTTGGTTGAATTGCATGAAAAACGGTGAGGCGAACATATAACTGTCTCGAAAGAAAGTAAATTGTGTTTAGATTGGAGGCGTGATATATTATGTATAATATGGGTGTGCAATGTGTTGCTGACATACGGAAAGATATCACGAATTGGTAGATTTTATGTTAATATTCCTGTAATAATAAGTGTATATATAATTGTATATCAAAAGAAATACGTTGTGATGGGAGGGTTTGTTTTAATTGTAAATTTGAAAATAAAGATATATAATGCTGATTGAATTGTTTTTGTTAAATTTAATCCCTGCTTATCTAATTAGGATACAGGATGGTATGACCATGGTATGTCATTTTTGCTAGGGGTCCTCCTCATCAATACATAACGGAAGGTTGAAACAATGACAAAGAAAATATATAATTTTATATTTATTTATTGCTATTTAATATTTAATCAAAATACAAACAGTTGGAAATGTCATCCTTTGTTGGAACAATTTGTATTGGTTCCTTAATTATAACAAAGTTCAAAAGTAGCAGTTGGCCTGACGTTTTCTATTGGTAAATCACTTTGATTTTATAGACATGTCATCTATTTTTATAATGGCACATACGTAAATAGTTTTGTTGTTATGTATAATGTATGTATCATTATCTTTTCATTAATTTATCGTTGATAAAAACAAATGTCCTTTCCCAGACTATATCTGTATCTGTTCAGTGCTTCTGGCATGATTGACTAACAAACATCCATCTTCACAAAATTTCGCGTTTGTAATATTAATGGGTTAAAAGACTAGGTCATTCAGAAAATACATCATGAAAAATGATTTCAGACCTTCAAAGGTTAATTTTCTAACAGATATAATGCTCACAAACACTTAACATACTTAACCCACTTAACTCTTAGGACGTCGCGGCGCGCGGATGACCTATGACCCGTTACTGTCGCGCCCTTGAACTAGTGACCCAGTCACAGCTGAGCGAAGTCATTATTACCTCAATATCTACGTTATTTTATAATTATATTCAATGAAATAAACATATTTGGAATCCCTGATATATATTCTTCTAAATGTTGTGACAGAGACGCTACCGCGTAAAAATTTGGTGTCACAACTGTTGTGACGGCGACGCGTCGGAGGTTAAAGGGTTTAGCAATTTATAACAGTATAAGGATATAATATTTACAAACTGCATCTATTTTATAACCTGTGTCTTTAAAATCTCTACAAAGAACAGAGTTCAGTTTCAGACAAAATAATTCAGAATCTTTGGAGTGGTTTAAATTTATACCTATCCAAGTTCCATCACATAATACCATTTTGATTCTTCATTGTTTGTTGCCCTTCTTTACTTTAATAGTTGTTTAAGGTTAATAATACCACTAATAGTAATCAGTCAAAACTTTTAGCATCTTGATTTTTACTAATCCCAATCTGTTACAAAATTACATCTAAACTGCTACTTTTGAACTCCAATGGAAAGTCAACTTAAATACCCTACAGATATAACACAATATCGACTAGCACTAACCTATTCTATCCCATACAACTTGAGCGTCCGGTCCATACTGGTGGAAGCGATGTACTGGGCGTTCTTACCGAAGCGCACGCCCGTGGCGGACGCCGTGTGGTCGTTGAACACCTTCAGCTCCTGCCACTGCCGGCACAGGTATACTCGCACGTCCGTACCGGCGATGGCCAAGTATGTACCGCTCTGATCGAAGCACAGCTCCTTGATAGCGTAACCTTCCTCCAGTTGGATTGTTTTGAAGTTCTTCAGCTTACGCAAGTCCCATAGTTTCACACACGCATCCTCAGCTGCCGTCGCTAAATAGTAACCGTTCTCAGAGAAGGATATAGACGTTACCGGTCCTACGTGTCCAGGGAAGTTGGCCACGTTGCTCTGTTCCTTCAAATCCCAGATTTTCACTTGCGAGTTCTCTGTGCCGGTACCGAAGATAAGACCGTCGGGATGGAATTGTGCCGTGGTGAGACTGACGCCTGAGAAGTCGCTCACTTTAGTTAGCAGTGTGCCGGTGCGTATGTCTGAGAAAGCCCAGTGTTGGTCCGTGGATGTGGAAAGCACATAGTCACCAGTTGGGTGAAGAGACAATCCTGTCACAGGACCCTCGTGGGAACGGAGAATTACCGTTGTTTGAGACCTGACAGACAGAAAAAAGAGTTAATAATCAACAAAGTGATAAGTTTCATATGTATAATCACCTAAACGTCATAACAAATACACTATACAGGTTATTATCCTCTCGACAGTGTCTCGTCCGCTAAGCGGACTTTGCACATTAGTGCGCTTCCGTGTCGAGTCCGCTACGGGGATCAGCCGTAGAGATGTATGTATACTCTGTTTTGTCGATTACTACAGTTCTCGCTCTATGGTACTTATTAATAATCAACTAAGAATGAACAGGTTCTCCCTATCACATAAAAGTTGTTTGGTCTGTGGTACAAATTTTTTTGACGATCGTTTGTTTAAACTGTGACCATTTCAGTCAGTGTTTCCCGCGAACTTTTCGGTTTGTGCAACAACAAATAGTGTAATAACTTTGGTTTATTGGTCATTTGATTTTTATTTTATCGAGTACCCATTTAATATTACAAAAAATATATAATTTGGATGTATCCAGCAAGGTCTTTATTTTTTATTAATTGTAAAATAAAAGATAAGTTTTAGGTGACCCATTTGTTTTCTCATAGAATAGTTGCAATGCAATTCAAAGTCAAGTGTAGTGTAAGAAATTACACAAAGAAATGTAATTCGAATATAAATTATTAATGGTTTTATTATATTTATTAATGGATTTAGAGAAAATCAGGTTTTTTAAACCTATACCCTAAAAATACGTTGTCTGTGTAAAGTCTGTTCATGGGACTCCACAGACGTGAATATTTTACATTTTGACATGTCACTGGCGAGAGGTTATGTGAAAATAATTTAAACCATCGGAAGTATATGACTGACGCACGTATAAAGGTTTACTAGTGAGCTGGGTTGCCTGACTTTTTTTCAAAAGTAATGTATGACAATGACTGTACTGAATACTGAAATGATGATGAATATTTATTTGATTCTTGGGATGCCATTGTGAATTAAACTTTCACTTTAAAAAAATATGTTCTATAACAATTTGAAAAATACTATTTAAATATTTATAATATTTTCCAATATCTGACACAACGCCATCTAGTTTCAAACTTAGCAGAGCTTGTACTATGAAAGCTAGACTGACTGATAGAATACTTATCTACTTTTTTTCGTTAATACCATATATTTTACATAGAAAATACCCAAAATCCGAAAGAAATATTTGCAGATCATACGAACATTTGGTACCGGGAATCGAACCCGAGACCTCAGCACAGCAGTTGCATACGCTACCACTGCACCACCGAGGCAGTCAAATTTATTAACTTCCCTTTTACTGTCAAAATAAAACCCAAGCTGATCTGCATGTGAAAGCTAGTAAATAAAACTACTTACGTGGGCACATTCCACACACGAATAGTATGATCAGGTGATGCTGTAATAACTGTGTCCTCATCCGGATGGTATATGACCCTAGTGACCTTCTTGCTGTGGCCTTTGAGAATAGCCACCACCTGTTCTGTGTCCTTGTTGAAGACAGTTGCATTGCGGTCATTACCACCGGTCAATAACTTGCTGTGGTCCGATGGGTTGATGTCCAAAGCCAATATACCAGGTACACTGGCAGAGTGTAAACCCTAGAAAAGTGGAAGATTGATGTAAAGTACATGGTATACAAAAGTGTAATAGGCTTTTGTCCACTAATAACAAATTGCTTGGTTTATAGCTTCAAATTATAAATGAAGAGACATAGATATGAAAAAAACAGTCTATTTTTCATAAAAGTTAAAGATTATTAATATTTAAAAAAAAAAATCGTACAAAATAGGCATTAAGTCACGTAACAGCGAACACCAATCAGAAAGTGTTACGTCACGCCACGCAAGACATCATTGTTGTTGTTGACGTTTTCATACAACACACACACAGACGTAAAGAGTTTTTTTCGCAGACTATGACGTCATTCAAAGACGCCATGATGCCATTCAACGTTTTAGAAGGAAATTTAAATTGTTTTTCTAAAATACAAAATACGTAATATAAATATTGCTTTTTCTTTGAAGTATAGGTTTTTTGGGATAAAATAGATTTTAAAGTATATAATTAACCAAGTTTTCAAATGGAGTCAACATCACATTAGTAAAAAAAAGTTATAAAGATCTCTATATTTAAAATCGAACACTTCACCGCTGGTCTCTTAAGCACCTGATGTAACACCAAACGTGGATCGTTTTCGGTGTTAAAAGTACGTGCACGCACGCGATCCAAAAAATGTTAAAAACCAGTGGTCTAGTCCACTTCTTACTAAAGTGATAGTCTCTCAGGTGCAACACTAGTGAGGTGAGGGATACTCACAGGATGCGAGGCGAGGGTGAGGAAGGCCCGCAGCTGGTCGGGCGCGAGCAGCCCCTCGGGCACGGTGCGGCCGCGCCGCTTGCGCTCCTGCGTGAGCGCCGTGGCGCGCTCCTGCAGGCGCGCCACCACCTCCCCGGACATGCCCACCGGCGCCGCGCCGCCGCCGGCAGCTCCTGCCTCCGCCTGCAATTCATTTTATTTTATTTTTACAGTAAAACTCCATCGATGATATTAAAAATCTTTCTTTTTTGGAGTTTGCTCCTTAAGAATCGATTTTCATATAAGGCGTCCGGCATGAAAAAAATATGAAGAATAAAATTTTGTGATCGTATTTCGTACACCTTTCACATGTGTGTGTATAACTTGTGTACTTGTGTGCAGCCGAATCGTTCTTAAGGAGTAAACTCCAGTCGTGAGTCAGAGCTGACATATACACTTTTTTATTGAACTATTGTCAACAAATTAAAATAAGATTATAGATACCAATTTCGGTAGAAAGGCACAGAACTGTTTCTGTGGCTAATTAAAATAAAGAAAAGACTATCAGTACAAATACCTTGTGTATCACACAGGGTATTGCATACCTGGTGTGTAGGCTGTGGTGCGACAATACCAGCTTGAGGCTTAAGCGTAGCCAGCGCTTCACGTGCCGCCGTCACCTCTTTAGTGAGGCGAGCGATTACACGACACGCCGCATCGTGCTGGTACAAGGCGTGACTTAACTCCTGTAAAATAAATGCGCTTCAGTACTATACAACACATCAATTGAATCATATAATGTAGAAATATTGAATTTACACACGGGCCAACATTTCTTGCCTATCTTTTTGTAACATAAGCAAGATATATGTATATAAATATATCTAAAAGTATATCTATTCTAATGCATGTACACTTAAGAAGGTTTCAACAGCCATTCAGATATTTTTGACTGTTTGGGCTAGCCCACGTCTTCTTGCACTCCATGACAATGTGGGTTTTTGTTTCCTCCACATAGAGACATTCATTTAGAGGGTTTTGATTCATTTCGGTGTTGTTCTAGTGCTAAATGAATCCTACAAGTATTCTTATATCAAATTAGAAAAAACTCAGCATTATGCACAGCCCAATATTAAACTGCAGTGACCGTTATATGCATGAGTGTTGTGAGTTCTTCATGAGTAGAATTGGTTATTGGTAAATTTTGCAGTAATGATTCTATATTTTGGAATAGATACCATCTCACTTAAAACATCTAAACTAATGTGAACTGATTAAAAAAGAGGCAACAGTGCAGTAACAATAATTCATACCTGTCTTGCAGTTTGTAGCTGTTGGCGCTGTGTAAATGCATGTAACATGAGCGCATCCCACTCATCCTGCATACTCTTTAATGTGGCCGGAATGGATGTGGCACTGGGAGGCTTTGGCTTTACTATTGGTGGTGCTGAAATATTTGTTTACAGAAAAACTTTATTTTAATTTCTATAAACAAACAATCTCTTCTGAGTGAAAATATTGTCAAGCACAAAGTTTTTTCTAGAAAATTTATTATTCCTATAAAAAAATATATGTAAACCTGTTAGGAAAAGTAATTGAGAATGTATAAGTAAGGCATTTCATTCCGGTTCCGGCGACGAAAGTGTAAACACGTACAAGAGTGAGCTCTGCAAATATTATTAATTTCCAGTGCAAAAAGTGGCAAAATCAACATAAAATACATTTAAGTTTTCGGGAAATAAAACTAAAATAGTGCTCAAGAAAAATTTAAAGTGAAACAACTACCTAAAATTGTGATTATTCTCAAACAATTAAGTTAAGTTAGTTCATTTATTATACCTCCTACTACCCACAAAATTGATAACACTAAGATTGCAAGTAGTACCAACCAAACCAATCAAACTGTCAGTGACATTGACAGTCATAGACAACCACCGAAAGTGTTGCACTGAAACAATAGAAAAATTCTACCACTATACAAAAGTGTTTCCACCATACAACACTAAATTTACCCAACACCAAAATGGAAAAACAAATGGCAATCTTACTCTCCAAAATAAATGAAAAGTTTAATGAACAAACAACAATATTAACAACAGAAATAACGAAAAACGTCATGGAAGCCTTAGATAAAAAGATGAAAATGCTGAAAGAAGAAAATGACAACCTTAAAACCAAAGTCACAAATTTGGAAAAAAAAAAAAATAACTTTCTTAGAAAAGGAAAAACGCATGAGTAATTTGGTTATTTTTGGCATCGAAGAAAAGGGAAAGTCAGAAATAGAGTTGGTCGATTATGTAAAAGAAATCATAGCGGAATCAGGAACGCATTTAGATAGCCAAGAAATAAGTTATATCAAAAGAATTGGAACACAATCTGACAAAAATCGTCCAGTCAAAATATCTCTAACGACAACTTGGAAGAAACATCTTATTTTCAGAAATAAGCGTAACCTTCCTGCAAATGTATATATCAAAGAGGACTTCCCCAAAGAGATTCTCGAAATACGCAAACAGTTACAACCAAAATTGCAAGAAGAAAGAGAAAATGGAAACATAGCGTTCATAAAATACGACAAGTTAATTGTGAAAAAACCAGGGACCACCTACCGGGAAAAAAGGAAGAGAGAATTTTCAGGATCGCCAACCACTCCATCACAGAAAAAACTAAGCATGAAAAATACTGCAAATGGAAAGACATCCCAAAGTGCAACAAGGGAAGTAATCAAACCAAGCATCCTTTCATATGTAGCACGAGAAAGATCTGCCTCGACGTCAGAGCTGCCAAAAAACAAGTAAAGGCCCTCTCCAACCGGAACCAAAATATAGACACAACAACACATAGCATAGCAAGAAAAACTTTAATAAATCGCCCCCCAAGCCGGCCGGTCACCGTGGGGGAAGTCGACCACCACCCTCCAACAAATCAGCCAACTGAATCCAGTACTAAAAAAACGATACAAAAAGGAAATAGTCTATACCTATGTACGCTAAACACACGAACCTTGAGAACACCGGAAAGCTTGCAAGAGTTAGAATTAGCTATTAAAAGCATCAAGTGGGACATTTTGGGCATAAGCGAGATGCGAAGGTTGGGGGAAGGGATAGAAGAGAGAAGCAACTTTATCATGTATCACAAAGGCGAAATCGCCGGTCAAAGAGGAGTAGGATTTTTGGTAAAGCTAAACCTCAAAAGCCAGATCATTGGATTTGAAGGGATATCAGATAGAATAGCCGCGATTCATATAAATTTACAAAATCCTACGAAAAAATGGACAGTAATCCAAGTCTACTCGCCGACAGAAAAAGCATCAAAAAAGGACATTGACAATTTCTACTATAAACTACGTGAAGTTACTGAAAAATATTCGGCAAACAATATAGTAGTCATGGGTGATTTCAATGCTCAAGTCGGTGCTAAACTAGCTGGGGAAGAACATATAATAGGGAAATACGGAAGTGGGAAGAGAAGCAAAAACGGAGAGATGTTGGTAGAATTCCTGCTTGAGAAAAACTTAACACTTCTAAATTCCATGTTCCGCAAAAAGCCCAAAAACAAATGGACTTGGATATCTCCAGATGGAAAGACCAGAAACGAAATTGATTACATAATAACCAATAAAGTTAGGTGTTTTAGTGATACGGGAATAGTACAAAACCTAAACTTCAATACAAATCATCGTATGGTACGCAGCTGTCTAAATGAAAATGCAACAAAAAAACCAAGACCAAAAGCAATTCAAATGAACTTCTTACAAGCAATTAGAGAAAAGAGTAACCCAAACGATACCACAGAAGACCTAATGGAAGTAGTTACCTCAGACATGGACCTAAACAAAAAATATAAAATAATAGAAAACAAACTCAGGGAACAGGCAAGAATACAAATAAACAAAAGTCTAAAGTCCCATCATAGCGAAAAAACTTTAAAACTTATTGAAGACAGAAGAAATCTAAAAATGGAAAAGGATAAGAAAGAAAACCAAAAAGAAATCAACAACCTTAGTAAACAGATTCGCAAAAGCATGAGGAAGGACAGGAAATATAGAAGGATCCAAACCCTAGAGAATCACATTGGCAGAACGGGGGGCACGAGGAAAGCGCTCAAGGAACTCCGAGAACAGGGAAAAGAATGGATACCAAAGTTAACAGATAAAAATATGTCATCCACTTCTCGCAGGAAAATCCAAAATATAGCAACAAACTACTACCGCTTACTGTACAAAGAACACAGTGCAAATCAGCCAAAAATACAATTGCCGGATAGAGAATCTAATAGTACACAAAACTGTATGATGGAGGACGCAGAAGTTATACCTGAAATATTAGTATCGGAAGTGGAAAAATCTATAAAAAGTCAAAAAATGGAAAAAGCCTCCGGTCCAGATGAAATCACAAACGAACTCATGAGAGGGACAATTAAAGACCTAAGCCCAATACTAACAAAGCTCTTCAACGAGAGTCTATATACCGGCAGCATTCCAACCCAATGGGCAGAATCTCATATAATACTTCTACACAAGAAAGGTCCAAAAGACGACATAGGAAACTATAGACCCATTTCTCTCATTTCAAATGTATATAAAGTTTTCGCTAAAGTGATTCTGGACAGAATATCAGTCACACTTGACGAAAATCAACCTGTGGAACAGGCAGGGTTTAGAAAAGACTTCAATACAATTGATCATATACATGCAATCAAACAGCTCATACAAAAGTACAATGAATATAACAAAACCATTTACCTGGCCTTTATAGATTATTCCAAGGCTTTCGATAGCCTTAAACATGAATCTGTGTGGCAAAGTCTTAAAGAGCAGGGGATTCAAAACGCCTACATTAATATCATCAGAAATATTTACTGTGAAAGCAAAGCTAGAATCAGGCTAGAATCTACAGGGGATGTTTTTCCGATTAATAGGGGCGTCAGACAAGGTGACCCACTCTCACCAAAGCTCTTTTCAGCAGTGCTTGAACAAATGTTCAGAAAAATGGAATGGGGACATCTGGGGCTAAACATAAACGGAGCACGATTAAATCATCTAAGATTTGCAGACGACCTGTTTATATTGGAAGAGGACCCACTGACACTGCAATCCATGATACAAACCCTAGTAGACAGAAGCAGAGAAGTAGGACTAGAAACTAACACAAGCAAAACTAAAATGATGACCAACTCAATACCTATAGACATAACCATAAACGGACAGAAACTTGAATATGTAGAGGAATACGTGTATCTAGGCCAGATAATATCGATAACAGACCAAATGTCCAAAGAAATAGACAAAAGAATTGCGACTGGGTGGAAAAAGTATTGGGCATTGAAAGAAATCATGAAAAGCAAAGAACTGGGCATGAAGATCAAGAAGAAGACTTTTGACACCTGTATCCTACCATGCATTACATACGGCTGTGAAACCTGGGCTTTGACGAAACGTCATAGGGACAAATTAGCAAGATGTCAGAGAAGCATGGAAAGAAGTATGCTAGGTTTGAAACTAATAGACAAAGTTACAAGCAAAGACATCAGGCGCCAAACAAAACTAACTGACATACTATCACGTATTGATCAACTCAAATGGAGATGGACTGGACATATGCTCCGCTGCAAGAAGGAAAAGTGGAGCAAACAGGTGACAGTCTGGTACCCAAGGGATGGCACTAGGAGCCGAGGTCGTAAAGCAATAAGATGGGAGGATGACCTAAAAATGACCTTAGGACCACTTTGGATGAGAGTAGCGGCAGACAGAATGCAATGGAGAGACTTGGAGGAGGCCTTTGCCGTAAGGCAAACCGAACCAAGAGACATCTTATAATGAAAGTGTAGTTTTAGTTTATAAGTTTTACTTTCTTTTATAAACTCTTTTTAAATACTTTTATTTCAATTTTTTACTAAGACACGAAAATATGTAACATGAAATTATTTCGGAAATAAAGGCTTTATTATTATTATTATTATTATAAGTAAGGCATTTAGGAGGGGGCTCATGGCTTAGTGGTAACACAACAGGCAACACATTGCAAAGTAGCCATCCTAGCCAGGCCTATCGGTCTTGGTTGCCTTACAAACATCTGTGGCAATCGTTTCAGGTTGTTGTCGGAGCCCAAAATAACCCAACAAGTCTTTCTACAGAACTTATATTGCCTAGTACTTGGGTTGTGGAGGTCTGACAGCAGTCACTAAATGTAAAAAAATTATAGTTTAAAAAAACTAAAAAACACACTTTCTATAGAAAACCTAACTAAAAAAATAGAAAATAAATTTGAAAAAAGCGTTGGGTGCTTGTTGTCAATAGTAAAAAGCACCCCAAGCACATTAGTGTATTGTCATCGGTCCTCAATATATCTATAAAGTTTGAACAAATTCTGACCGTTTAAAGTGAGTCAAAATCAAGCCCAAAGGAGTCGGCCACAAACATACAAACAAACATAACAGTAAAGCTAATATGAAGCGTGTAAAAATCAAAGTTCAGCCGTATTGTAGTAGACTTAAGCCAACCCCTACCTAGTTTAGAGAATATAGAAGTGGGAATTTATAAATGTTAAGGCTCAAAGAGGTGTGCCAGAACAGCCGAAGATGCAGCTACAATTAATTACAGCACCAACTTGGCAGTTCTTTTAGCAGCTTGTGATTATATATCTTATGGTGATGATTACCATAATCGCTTTTTGTAATACTTAATATAGTTCTTTTTATTTAAATATTTACATATATATGACATTATCAGTTTATAGATTTTAAAATGTAATGGCTCCAAAAATCGTTAACTACAGAATATTATCGATTAGAAATGAGGGACAACCTGATGTGAATAGATACAAACCATCTTTGAAGTGGTTTGCATATAGTGTCAAAATTAGAAGCGGTGCAGAACTTTTGGAGTTTTTGAGTATACAAACCAACTTATCATTTTTTAATAGATAATTATTTATATTTAATTTATGTGAATCTATTAACTTTATTAGAACTATGTTGTATAGAAATGTCTCAATCCACAACTGCTCAAAATTGAAGTATTGACGGTGAAATAAGACCCTATTTAGAAAAACAATCTTCATCATATAAATAGATAACATTGGACAATTAATTGACATCGTTAATTTGACCAGTTTGAGGACTGAACACCTTCGGCTCAACATGGTTTAATAGTCATGTTATACTCACTTTTGATCTCAATAAGATCCTCAACTCGCAAATCCTTGCCATTGATAGGGTCCACCCCATTTTCTATAATGTATTTCTCAATTACTCGCTTTTCAAATACAGCTCCCGACGCAGGAGACACCACGGGGATTTCAGGCACTTCATTCGATACTACAAGTTCAAAGTTAGGTTATAAATATAATTTGATCTATTTAAACACAGTAATGCTGACACTGTAAATAACAAGAATTTAAAACTAACAAAACATTTTAATGTGATAAATTCCGGGAACAAATGGAAAATCTAGGAAAAAATAAAAGATTCATTTTCGACACAACCGGCAGTTGCCCGCGCATGAATAATGTTTGTATATTTGAGGGATTTTTGAGATAAAACTATATACTATTGCTTACTTGCACAATATAACGCCATTGTATGAAATTATATTCCTTATTTATCTAGAAATACTTGATAACTCTGAAAATTAAATTGTCAGCCAAACAAAATTGTTACGAAGCCACAGATAACTATATACTATATACTAGTGCCATGCACAGATCAATCAACAATACCATACCACAGCCAAAAATTAATTTGACTTACCTACAACTTAAACTGCAGAAATAAATTCGAATGGAAATTATCGAATAAGTTGTGTACATCTCAGCGCGAGATTAAAAGCTTCTGTTTGCTGAGCACATGGGACGGATTACTGTTATTAGTGTCTGGCTGTTCTTTTTGTCCTTTTCATGTATGTTTGTAAAATACCCCGCGATACAGGGTATATTCCTAGTGCGCCGCGTGAGTTGTATATTTAGAAAAAAAAAAATGAATACGTAAATACGTCTCAAACGTCTGCTTGTTTACAAACCGACACTAGTCTAGATCGACTTGTGTTTGTGAAAATTTGTCGAGACTTGCCAAGCACCTACCAAAACGTAGCATTAAAATATATCTTCTCAATTATGATTCCCAATTAAATCTTGGTGCAAAATTGCGACTAAACTCGGAAAAGAAGTGGTCTTTGCTAGGTGCCCTAGTTTTCGGGATATGAATATGGCCAAGTCTGGGCGATTTTCCCCAGGTCAGTCACCCAAAAACGGTTATAACTTTTGAACCAGTGACTGACAGATTCTGATATTGCCCGACTGATCCCGATTAATTGACTAAATTTGGGAGAAATCATCGCTAGGTGCCCTAGTTTTTGAGATATAGACAGAGTCGGATTAAGTATCAAGAGCGCCCTAGGCAAGCATCTCATCGGCGCCCCCTTGCATTTCCCTATCGCCCATACAATTTTTCTAATAACTACTAGTTGATATTACAAACTGTGTGATAGTTATAACTCCTAATTGGCAATTCTTTACTGCAACTTTTTTATTATGAATGGAACTCCCTATGGGCTGTCACCCCAGTTCACCGCACCGGGGTTTGCGGTGGGGCAGTGGTATCGAAATCAAACCGATTAAAAAAACACACGGTATGCAAACTGCGCATGAAATAGGAGTGATCCGATAGCAGCCTTTATTAAGACGTCCGGACCTTTCCTTTTTTTGATGACAGATAGCATCACCTGATCAGGAGAGTTCTAATCCTCTTCAGGTCCCGCTTCATCCTCTAATTCTCGAGCGTAACTTGCTCGCACAAAGAGATGGCGGAGTTCTGGAGTTCTGGTCGGGCTCGTATTGGTGGTATTGTGCAGTGACCGCCCGTCTGTTTCGTTTAAGGTGCTTTAAGATACTCACCGAAGCAACCGTTCCCGGTGAGTATGAGTCAATCTATAGGTGACACAGTCGTTCCTTCCTACCCACGCTTCAAAACTCGGCCGAGCTGCTAGCATAGCGCGTGGGTTAGCATAGCTCTGAATTTTACATGAGTCCAAGATAGTACGTGGAGCCTCCAACCGGGTTAGGTTCATCGTGGTTAGGCAAGAGGCCTTACGAAACTCATTTCCCCCTCTAAATACCACGGTGCGCCTTATTCTAGGCTATTTCTGATAACGTCATTTTAACCCACAGATTACCCCCAAACGGATGCCTCATTATCGAATATTTGTTCCGATTCGAGTTCACCAAATTTCCGGTGTGCGAGGGTTGCGGGGGACGTGTCAAATGAGCTGTGATTGGATATTTCAAAGGCAAACATAAGTTGCACCAAACCATAGTGATGGGACAGGGTTGGGACGTTGATCGATAAAATGGTTTGATGATGTGAATTATTTATATACTGTAAAGTAAAAACTTTACAGTAGAACAAAAACAAGATTCAAAAATTCTAATTCACGATCTAAGCGCGTTAGGTTAAATTTAAGCACCTTCTTTTGTAGATAAAAACATTCACTTTCAGTGTTCATTTCAATTTTTATTGTAAATATTATATATACTTTTAAAATTAATTCTTGAAAAACCTGAAACTTAAACCTTTTCATTTCTAATTATTGCTAAAATTATGTTATAAATCAAAGTAAGTAGTAACAAGTAAAGTTAAATTATGTTGCACCTATAAGCTGTCTACCTGTAAGTTAATTTTTATTAAGGACAAATATCTAATAACTCAATAGAATATATTTGTAGCGCAAAGGACAATGGCAGGTCCCCATACATAATTTTATTTAAAGTGAAATGACAGCGTTTAAATATCAAAAATGCCTATAACCCTTGAGAATTTATTCTTGAATATTCTCATAAAAAAATTACTAGCGAAAGAAGTCTAGGAAAAAAGATATTGGATTTTGAATGTTTCGAGGTTAAGTACTAAAATATTGTCAATGTTTTATTTGAAACTAGATGGCGTTGTGTGTCATATATTCAAAAATATTATTCATCATTATTATTACTTATAAGCAACCCTATTTTGCTGTAGAATGTGTTAGCCGACTCTCTAAATGGGTAAAGGAAGGAAGGGTATTTGCTTGGCATGCATTGGTAAATAATAGAAAAAAATCTTCGCTTACATAGCAGGTGTAATACTAGCTATAAATACATAAAATATTAATAATAATTTGAATAAATGTACTTCAATACACTTTTACACAAGGCGGAAGTATTTATTTATTTATTTAGTTATTCAACAGTCAGTAGGTGTGACATTATTTACTAAAATCTAAAGCAAGCATCCATTATATTGAGATTAATGCACAACATTTTAAGGCATCACATCATGCATATTGAAGTAACACTATATGTAATTAAAATTAAAATAAACATATATGAGAGTTTAATACTAAACAAAAGTAAAACAACCAAACAAACTACAATTGCCTTGTGAGAAATGGTATGTAAGTCATGCGTGTTAGTGTCAAACGACAAGACTAGTAAGTGCGACGACGAGACGTATCGACATTTTAAAAATATCGATGTATGTATATTTATGTTCCGTTATAAACCTAAAATGTCTTTTTCTCATCTAGTGTGATGAGAAAGAGACATTAGCAGTATATTGTTTTAGTATTTTTCTTTAGGAAAATAACATAACTATATTCTATTTATTTTGGTGTAGCAAAAATCTTCAAAAAGAGTCAAAAATATTCTGAATTATTTCGAATTAGGTTGATTTAGTCACTACAGTACTAGTTACGGTAGCGTATGAGTAAACCCGTGGGCAGAAGCAAATTCATAATCATAACAGGTGAACCTTCGATAGATATCGATTATCGATAAAACGTTCCATAATATAATAATATCATCACGCATCCCTAGTCAGTTCGTGATGGCGATTCTGACATTACGTACTTAGGTCAAATAAAATCTTTAAAAATATCCAATCTCTTATTAGACTTATACAGCACATGACGGTATTCGTAAAGCCGGTAAAGATAAATATGGTTACTGTGAGTTATCCTTAGGAGATAGACATATACCTACCATCGCGGACTTTATTGTAAATCTTTTTGAGATATACAATTCCGTAGTAGATTTTTTTGGTCTTTCTCACAAAAACATGCTTTTTTAAGGCAAAACTTTGAATTTCTTGGCTTTTCTGTCCTATAATATGCATGTATTATAAATATAAACCTTCCTCTTGAATCACTCTTTTTATTGGTGAAAACCGCATTAAAATCCGGTGCTTAGTTTAAATGATCTAAGCGTACAACACAAAAAGCGACTTTATTTTATACTATGTAACAATGTATTTAAATCAGTATGTTTTAAAGATTAAGAAAGTGAACGAGTTACTTCTAAACTCGAAAGGCCGTCGATCCTGCCTTGACTCTAAATGAGCATGTCTTCACCCTTAATCTATACTAATATTATAAAGCTGAAGAGTTTGTTTGTTTGTTTGTTTGTTTGAACGCGCTAATCTCAGGAACTACTGGTCCGATTTGAAAAATTCTTTCAGTGTTAGATAGCCCATTTATCGAGGAAGGCTATAGGCTATATATCATCACGCTAAGACCAATAGGAGCGGAGCACCAATGAAGAATGTTTCCAAAACGGAGAAAATTTACTACTATTGAGAGACGCAGACGAAGTTGCGCGGTTCAGCTAGTGATGAGATAAGTAACGTTGAGCTGAAAATGACTGCAATAAAAGATGAGCTCGGACCGGGTAGTAACTACTGAATAAAAAAAAAATAGTTTTATAATTTTTATTAAATTACAGAGTAACAGTAAAATATTTGGTGCCAACTGAAATGGCACTAGTACTATTTAGTCGTCATGTAAAAACTTACATAGTACATTGCGTTATGTACATACACGGCTACTATAAAAATACTCCAGCAGCCTACATACAGTCAATATTTACAGAATTCACTAAATAAGTAACAATTAATTGCTCATTTACTGACCACAGTTTAAACTTAACTTCAAAGCCTAACATTATTAGGCGAAAAAAACATGCAAAAGATCCCTCTTTTTACTTATGTTTTTATACCTCTATTTTGTGTCAGCAACTTTATACATGAACAAATTATTTTTATAGAATTTATACCTTTATACTTTAGCTCAAAGGCATTTTGCATGATATAAATTATAAGAAACAGAAACTGTGTCTTTTCACGAAATAATATTTTATAATATCTTCTTAGCTTTAAACATTCAAGAGATACAAAGTAAACCCAAAGGAAATTGTACAAAATATACTAGGATGTCACTCAACAATTGAAATAATTTGACTAATAAATTGATGACCAATTGATCTATTTCAAAAGTAAAGTGACAAATATATGTTTTTTTTTAAAACTAAATTGCACAAAATTTGTCTATGTTGCTACATAGTATTATTTACAAAGTTGGGATTTTCACAAACTCAAACCAATGTTAAATTATTATTCCATATTTATTTAGCTAAGAAAAGTATAGTACAAGAACATAACATATGTCATGAGGTGATTTGGAATTGATATCCACAGATAACATCAAAGTAGGTAAGAAACAAGTGTCATACCATAACACATATTTAGAAAACCAATCTCTATGTTATTTACGAAACATAAATACAATTTACACACATTTTAAGGATTTTTTTGTACTCATTATACCCAATGTTTGTCCAAATTGTAAACAATATTTGATTAAAATATAATTTTGTAATACATAGATTTAGATTTCAGTGTTTTCATAATTACCTAGGAGCTCTCGAATCAAGATTGCATAATCACAACCGCCGTAATTAAAGCATGATTGGTATCTAAGTGCATTTGTGCTTCTTTAGTGTTACTCCATCCAACATTTACTTAAAGACATTGTCAGAGTCCATAACTGACCTTAAGTGTATTCATTAAAAATTTAAAACAGCAGAACTAGTTACAAAAATATATTCACATTAAATATAAAATTAAACTACAGTCTAATTTGGCCAATTTTGTTCTGATCACGATTTTATAAATAAAAAACCATGTCTTCTGAAGGTCATTTCTCGTAATAAAAGTTCAGTCACAATTCAGTTCTGATCAATTGTCGATCACATAACTGTCATAATAGGTATTTTCGCAATAAAGTGTTAAAGATCCAACGTTGACTGTAACATGATAATATAGTATTGTAACCGGAAAATATATCAGTAATATGCTAGACTTACTTTACTACGAAATATCTTTCATGACAGTTGTGGGATAGAGAGTTGAACGGAACTCAATTTTGACTAAACTTTTACTACGTGAATTGGCCTACAGGGTTCACTTTTGAAGAGTGCCAAAATCCATTATTATATAAACAAATTGTTGTACCATTGCACAGTGGTATTCAAATCCAAAAATGTCTATACTATTGTGTCCTAGAGAAGTGTAAAACCTCCCACTACTCATTTCATTGAGACATTTTACTTTTGCCGAGTAACGTAAACTTGACATGTCAACACAACACTTGGGTGATCGCACTAAATTGTTACTAGCTGCATATGTATAAGTCACAACTTATTTTAACACTTGTAGAAGTCTATGAGAGCTAGTCCACACAGTTTGAAAGGAAGATAAAGTCAACTAATATAACATGTTTCAATAAATTAGTTTTGCACACAAAAATTGTTCTCCATGTACGTATAACTTTAAAGGAATCTTTTAGAGCACTTTCAATAAAAAATTTAATCTCAACAGAATATTTGTAATCGTGAGCACCGATGCCATCCGAATCCGTATTTGAGCCACGGAATGTCTCAAACGTTCGGTTTAATCGATCCGATACGTTTAGCTGTGAGGCTGAAATGTGCTACTTCATGATTCGACTGTTCAGTCGTCATCGCACAGGGTCCACGGCGTCGTATATAGTACGTACAGTGGACGCTCGCACGGACCGAAGGCGGTACATACGGCCTGCCTGCAGGTGTCGTAGGGCGCTATTCTTAATATGTACAGGAGACACTCGCAAGCAGGGGCGGCGTCATGTGCAGCCGCTCCGCGGGTACTCGTCGGCGGGGGCGGCGGGGTAGGAGGGGGCGGGCGACGCGCGCGGCGAGGACCGACATCACGTGTAGCCGGCGCGCAGGTGGCGCACGGCGGTGTACACCTTGACGGCGGGCCCCAGGCGCAGGCGCAAGCAGTGCACGAGCTCGTCTCGCGAGGCCATCACCAGCTCGGCGCCCGACAGGCGCGCGGCCGCCACCGCCGTACCGGCGCCGACGCCCGCTATTCTCGTCACCAGGGCTGATACGTCACTCTGCAAACAGAACTTAATATTATCCATTGTCACTTTTTTCGTCAGTTCGGGTCGGTATCGATCGTTCGCGTTACACACCTGAGTCCAAAGAGTGGGGTCCTGCGGTAGCGCTAGGGCCGCGAGGTGCTTGACGAGCTGGTCGGTGCGCGCGGCGGGTGGAGTGAGGGGTGCGAGAGGGGCGGGCGCGACGAGCGCGGACGGGGTGGCGGAGGCCCTGCGCGAGTAGGTGCGCAAGCTGCGCGAGCACTCGGAGTGCGGCTGGGACGCGCGCTTCCCGCCACCGCTCGACAGTGATTCGTCGTCTGAAGCCTACATGGTCAACAAAGGATTGTTAATTTAGTCATGTTTAAAAGTAATATATGTACACAAAAAACAGAAAACCAATGTTAAGCAATTCTTTCGGTGCCTTTTACCGAGTGAGTTAGGTTACCTAGGTCCAAATCTCCTATTCCCCTGATGCTTCGGGGAAAAGGGGTCTCTATAGGAGGCAACGCACTAATGACTGTTAAATTGCTGTTGTCCATGGGTAGCAGTAATCAGTAGAGATGCCACAAATATTCGGAAACTATTCGATATTCGGCCATTTTTTCCACTATTCGGTTTTCGCCCGAATATACCCAACTATTCGGCCGAAATCCAAATAGTAAATCACAAAAAAGAATGCATAATATTATTCACGAAGATACTGAGACTTGAATTTTTTTCATAAATTATACCTGCTTCGGAAAATAACCGCTCACTGTATATAGACTGCTTCCAGAAGATGACAAATAAATCCTAACAAATTCTGTTAGGTTAGGATATTGTTTTGCGTTTGCTGATCATTTTACTGATTCAGATTTAAACCCGCGAAAGGTACTAAGTATTGAAGAATATTCGGCGCTTCAGCCAAGACACTAGCCGAATATTCGTGGCATCTCTAGTAATCAGTGACCCGTCTGCTAGTTTGCCACTTATGCCATAAAAAAGATGATAAACAATAAACATACCGGGTCATTCTTCACGACTTCCTCTATTCTCTTATGCTTGGGTGGTCTTCCTCGTAATGGTCTAAAACAATCAGAAATAGTTCATATTATTAACTAATAAACCAAGGTCACCGACAGACCCAGAGCTGAAGTGGCAGTGGGCTGGTCATATTAGCCGCAGAACCAAATACCGTTGGGGAAAACGAGTTCTTGAAGCGGGACCGCGTCTCGGCAAACGTAGTGTAGGACGTCTACAGGCCAGGTGGAGTGGCGATTTGCGCAAGATGGCTGGCAGGAGCTGGATGCGAGAAGCCCAAAATCGATCAAGTGGCGTGCTATGGGAGAGGCCTATGTCCAGCAGTAGGCTGCGATAGGCTGATGATGATGATTAACTAATAATATATAAAAAAAAATGAATTGTGATCACCATCATATGACCCACCTTGTTTGCCTCCAGCAGAAGACAAGAAAAGAAGCCACAATGACAGGGAGAGGTACTGAGCATTTGATGATACTCCATGAACTGAATTTCATTCAAATGCTTTTTAAAACGTATTTTGTTCAGAGTTTAATTTATTCTGACACTTGACACTTGCACATGTTAATTTTTCTTTTATCAAAATCATAAAAGGATTTTATTTATGAACATAACAACTAAATTATGTTTTTTTTTTACCTTTCTTTGACAACATCACTGGTCGGTGTACTCGTATGTACGGAGTTCGACTTGGCTTGTTTACCGAACACTCTGTAACGGTAAAAATATTTAAATTATTACAATCATAGAATGCGTGATAAGAAACATGTGTAGTGTAAAAATATGAAATGATTTTTGATGGGCCTGTTAACATTAATCACCTGAGTATTAATCGATTCTACAATCGATTAACAGGCCAGGTGTAATTTAGTATTTAGAGATTTACAAGTTCACTAGCAGTTCGATTACTACAGCACCGGCTCGGCTCTTTCTAGTTTGAGATCGTATGACACACACACACAAATTATAATAAACGTAATATATTTTCAAATTATAAGGAAATGATTTATTTATTTTTCCAAATATGGCAATCTTTTTGATATCACTACTGATGATGAAGACACCCTGCCATTCCATCACCACTGTAAAGACACTGAGTGAGTGTAGACTACCGATATTTATACCGATGGCAATGACCACTCGATGGCATCTCAATAGCGTGTCAGTGGTATGACAGTGGCTCGGCGTGAACATACAATAGCAGAATTGAGGTCCCGTTTACCATAGCACAGGCTCTGCCTAGTTTGGAATGTGTGTGAAGTTATTATTATTTTATTTAATAATTATCCAAATAAAAAGTTGGTATCCGTGTGGTGACGGATTAAGAATACGTAGTGTCACCACCCCTATTCATCCCGTGGGTGTCGTAAGAGGCGACTAATGGAACAAACTACACAGGAAACCAGAACTGCAAAGAGAAGGAAAACTTGAAAAAACCCTATACCAACCTGTCTGGCCAAAATCTCCTTATGCATATGTCCAGCACTGGACAAATTAAGGCTGGTGATGAAGAAGTACGAACACAGGTCGCTTGGCTGTTACCAAAGGTTGTAAAACAAGGGGTATTAAAGACATGTTATTGAGTATTAGTAATGAGTTTGATGCAGCCGTGAAGATCACGTACCTTCGTTCCCGTGGCAGCGCGTGGTGCGGTGGAGAGTCTTGCGGCGCGAGACGGTCGGGCGCGCGAGGAAGGCTGCGGTAGGGACACACGGACGCCGCCGAGTGATGCTTGTGCGACCCGCCGCGCACCGAGCCCAGCCCTCGGCACCCGCCCACGCCGCACGGACCGGGGGTGCGGACCTCTTCCGCTGCTAAAATAATATGTACATCATAGGTTAATCAACATTGTGATGATTTATGGGCTTGCAGAATGTTTGTGATGTTGTAATTTAATAAAACTCGGTGGAGAAAATAATCACGTTGTACTCTTTATTAGATTTCTTAACCGCATTAGACAATCATAGACATTTTACATAGACAAGAGATATTGTGTCAATGATAATAACTAATTTTTATATTTATTGGAGTCTACACTTCACAAACATAATCCTTGTTTGTAATAAATAAATCTTTACTAATTGAATTATCTCAGCCCAAGAACTAAAAAGAAACTGATAGCTCAATAATTGAAGAATTTTAGGGGCTATTTAATGTCACGATCACAACCGACCGAAATGGAGCAGTAAAGCTAACAGGACGGGTATTAGGATAGTGCTATTGTTAATAAATAATGGATAACGATTGAATGGACGTTCGACTAATTTCCGTGGGAAGGCCATGTTTCGGCATAAATGGTCCGGCTATGCTGGAGTGATACCACAGCTTTACAGAAAACTCGTGTTTAGCAGTACTCCTATTATTTATCACTGAGTGACTGGGGCAACTGGACCCCCCCCCCCACTTTGGGGTGTTAAGGGAGGGGAGGTTAAGACTCAAAAAGCTGCAATGCACTTGAGACTTTTAAGCAGTAGGTGTCCATTGGCGGTGGCACGTCTGCTCGTTCCCCCAATACCATAAAAAGAGCTACTAAAATATATTTTTTCTTGAAAAAGACAACTTCCGCACTAGGAACAGATTCAAAATAACAATTTGTGGATCACACAAAGTGACGTCCCACGTGGGGATCGAACCCACAACACTTACTGACCGTGACCGCTTAAACCACTACGCAATTCGTGCAGTCTAATACTCACTAAGGGGAGGTTCCAACGGATGTCCAGTCTTAAGACACCAGCCCACGGGGTGTATGTCAGGCGAGTCGTCCTCCAGCCAGCACGACAAGTCGTCCGGCCAGCCGTCGTATGACACACGTACCTGGTGGCCCTTCACCGCGGTTATTGTGGCCACACGGATGAGGAATGGTACCTGATGTATGAAATATACAACATTAGAACTTCTTATAGGGCTTGGGTTTTAAAACTGAGTTTTAAAGTTCGATATATGACCTTGACCTTTTGCTTGCGGTATTCCATCACTATCATCCTATATACTCTATTCCATTTGTTCTGTGGTGTAATTTATCCATTACTAGCTTTTATCCGCGGCTTCGCCCGCGTAAATGTCGGTTATCATCATCATCATCATCATCATCATCATCAGCCTATCGCAGTCCACTGCATGACATAGGCCTCTCCCATTGCATGTCGGTTATCGCGGTAACAAAAAAAAACTAATATCGGTATTAAGGTTGTCTGTAAGAGATCGCCGTGAGCGATAAGACCGCCGATTGTTACGTCTATATATTTGTAAGTAACTGTAGACAATAAAGATATATATAAATAATAATAAATAAAATAAAAGTCTTATGGGCCTGTCTTTCCTTAACAATATAAGTATCTCCATACCTTTCATATAAATTGATTCCCCATAGGAACTGCCACCCCTTTAACTTCTCGGACAAAAAAACTACGTAGTCATTTAAGATAAAAGAGATTGTTTCTTTTTTATCAATTAACAATAGCATAACTTTTTTTTGAAATTGATTTAAAAACTTTGTTCCAAGGGGGATTTATTTGTTCAAGTGTCTAGATGATACCATAATTCATTCAAATTTTTTAATTAATATATGTACCTAAAAAAATATATATATTTTATGTGGTACACTGTCTTTAGCGGGTGTGCGCCTATGTCGTTACGGCTGGGCGGAGTCCTACTTTCGGCGTTGAATTAAAATTATACGAGTAAATAATAGCGATATAGTTAAAGGAGACGGAACTTTTTTCTTGGAAAGTGCCTGTTCTTTAAGGTTTTCTTTTTCAAATTCCTTAAATGTTAAAAATTTATAAGTTATTAGTAGTTTTTTTCATCTTAATTTCGTAATAACAATTGCAATTTTTTATGTGCTAATACATACTTTCGATACGTTTTGCTAGACATAATTCATCAAGAAGGGCTTTATCAAGAATTAACACGTTTTTGAACTTGTAGACTAGCCTACACTAACGCCATCCGTTCAGTCTGAAGTCAGGCATTTAGTAATAAATTAAATAATAATATTTGGTTGTTTAAAACTTATTAGTATCTGTATCAGATTCTATACTAATATAATTTACCCGAAAAGTTTATGGTGTTGGTGCAGTAGTGTTAGTGATTCTGACTGCCTAGACAGAGGTCGTGGGACGATTCCCATCCAGGACAAATATTGCGTGATTTGTTCTGTCTGGGTGTAATTTATTTATAATATATACAGCGTGAATTGCAATTTGAGCATTATCTAGTAAGACGTAATAGTTTAGGTTATTTGCAACATTTTTGGGTATGGACTCTCTGTGCAATAAAAATATTTTTATTTTTAAAACTAGTTTCTTTTTAATAAAAATATTTTTATTAAAAAGAAACTAGTTTTTTTACGGTACCCAAAGGGTAAAACGGGACCCTATTACTACTAAGTCTCCGCTGTCCGTCCGTCCGTCTGTCTGTCTGTCCCTCTGTCACCCGGCTGTATCTCATGAACCGTGATAGTTGGACAATTGAAATTTTCAAAGATGATTTAATACTAAAAACAGAATAACATAAATATTTGAAGTAATTTTTTTTGCTCGATATTGATAACGGCAACAGATAGACGTTTGAAATATTCATAGAATATTTAGTTATACATTCACTTTAAAAATAAATAATTAAACCAAATATTTAAGGGGGGTTCCATAGAAGAAACATGATTTTTTTGTCGTTTTTATAGATAATGGTACGGAACTCTTCGTGCGCGAGTCCGACTCGCACTTAGCCGGTTTTTTTCCTTATTATTTAATATTTAAGGGCTAGTTATGTATCCAAATCATTAAGTGTACAATAATGGTATTATTTTAGACACAGTGCTCCCAAATTTAAGAAACATATTTTTTTTACTAGTTTTACAAACAAAGCTCATTTAACACCAAAAATTCACAATGACATTATGTTCTGCATATTGTAAAAAAAAATAGTACATTTCTGGAGCTTTCAAATGAGGAACACAAGTTTAACACAGATGGTCTAACGCCAAATATATTAGACAATAGATGGAGCAAGTAGAAAAATAAAGTATCAGAAACAATAAAAAAAGCCTTCATTTCCAATGAGATACCATAACTTTTACAAAAGTGGTTGCTAATTCCCGGAATGTATGGATGTATTAGAATTGAGACACTAATATATTTTTTGTCCTAACTGGAAAAGAATGCTTTATGCGTTAAGTCCGCCTCTGTAGACATTGTGCAGAAAGTAACACAAATTAGAAAATTGTAACACCCCCGATACCAGCATCAACCCAAGGTTGTGCTGCAACATCAGGTCAAGGTTACCATATCATGGAAATACCACTAAAGTAACAATACACCAAATATCAATCGGAGTTGTATCAGTATGAAATGAGCAATGATCTTCACAAATTATAGCTAAGAACCATCTCAATCATGTCAGCTTCTAAACAGAAAACCGCATCATAATCGGTCTACTCGTTTAGGGGCTATGATACTACAGACAGACATGTCAAACTTATAACACCCCTCTTTTTGCGTCGAGCGTTAATAAATAAATCTATAATATTAACATTTAACATCTATAATATAATAATAATAACTTCACACATCTCACACACGGCAGTCTGGTTCCAAACTAAGCTATGTGCTATGGTAATCAGACTGCTTATAAACATATTTATATATTTCTAAATACATTCATATTATAGATAAATTACACCCAGACACAGAACAAATGACCGTGCTCATTACACAATATTTGTCCTGGGTGGGCATCGAACCCACGATCCCCGGCTTAGCAGTCAGGGTCACTAACCACTAGACCAACAGGCCTGTCATCTATGGATGTTTAAAAAAAAAATAGATAAAAATGTTGCGCTTAATCGGTTATTTTCTACACAATAATAAAAATTAAAAACACTCACCCTCTTATCAACAACTTCCAGCTTCATCCCTGGTTTGAACCCGTGCGGTGGGCGCGTCTTGAAAGCTCGTGGGGGCGCCGACGAAGCGCCCGTCTCAGCCAGGTAATTCTCCCACGAAAACGTATCTGGGTCTTTGTAGACTGTAAACGACGGCATAACTTAAAACGGGTTCACTTAAATTATTTGCAAGTGACTTGAAGAGACGTAGTTAATTTCGCGACTACCTCGTTTAAGGGCACATATGCAACTGAAGAATATTGTAACATTTATGTTGACTAATAACATATATCAGAGATAAGGTGGGGGTACTATTTACGCCGTTTTGAATGTCTATTGTGACCGAGGCGCTTTTACAAAGAGAATATTTCTATCATTACTTTGAACGAAAACAATTGATCATTTCATAGATAAGATTATCTGGAAGAACGGGATCCTAATTTCAAAGGAAGGGTAAAATAAAACAAAGCAGAAGAATACAATAACATAACACCATTGTTATATTTTTATGGTCCGTGTATGGTAGTAATTGCTTATTTTTCACAAGAAATACTAAACAAAGACCTACTTAAAATGTTGTTTAGTACTGTTTCTACAGCAAAACGTCATAAAAAATACCACCCAGGCATTATTTAAAACGTTATTTTGATTATTAACGATAAGGATGGTGTGTTAACCGACGTGACGTTAAACAAAATAAAAAAGTGTTTGTTATTTTCTAAAAAAAAACATTAGGCAAATTATCAGCGTGTTCTAATGTATTTAACATTTTAGGATTAGTTTTAATATGGAATAATAAAGGTTTTTTATTTTATTTATTTATTTAATATGCGTTAACACATTAAGTGTTTATTAGTTCGTGCAAATTTTTTCATAATTATGGCGGATAATTTTAATATTGAACAGAAATGTATAATTGTCTATTAAAGGGTAATGGGTTGCAATGACAGAGGTTAAGTTGCTTAAGATTCTATAAGAGTATAGACGACCCGACCACGTAATTGTAAACGAACATTCGTGACGAATGTTCTTTTGTAATTCAAAACAACACCAGAACAGTGAGTCATACACTCCCGGTATTTTCGCCAAATCCTCTAACTTAAATACATAATTATAAATTTTAAAGACAGGCGGTAAAACATTATGGCGGTAAAATATAACGAACATTCGTGACGAATGTTCTTTTGTAATTGAAAACAATACCAGTACAGTGAGTCATACACTCCCGGTATTTTCGCCAAATCCTCTAACTTAAATACATAATTATAAATTTTAAAGACAGGCGGTAAAATATTATGGTAGGTTCTTAGGTTTTAGAAATAATATGTAATATCTCAATATATAGCCTGAATTTACCTACATTTTCATTTTGACGTTTTTATTATTTTCGAACTATATGGTAAAATAAATATTAAATATAAATCATTCGGCAATAGCTGGATATGACGTCACGCCATAGTTTACAAAAATGTACCGCGTCTACTGTTTTATGATTTAATAAAAAGATACCTATTAGACTTGACAGTTTTGTACCCCATTACTGATTTAGGATTACTGACCGTGACCACAGCTTGTGACCACATAAAGTGCAATCTGTCCAACACATCAGGCATGTCAAAGGAATGCAAAACACCTCATGTTAATTGCCGTGTTTTTTATATTTTCATCGTGGGAGAGCCATGATGAAAGTAAGTTTGTTTGCCCTTTATTCTCATAAGGCTCAACCCCTTATTCTTATACGGTGGTTGTAGATCGGCACATGCATACAATGAATTGGATTCATTTTGCTAAATATTTGACAGAACTCATAGTTGATATTGTGTGTTGTATAATCAACCACATTTTTAATATTTGCCTTATTTATGATTTTTTTACAGTTACTATTCGAAAATAGTTTCATTTAGAAAGTTATTATATTTTAAGTAACACCAAAAACCTTGTGCAAAATAAATCAAGGTTTTTTATTATACAACCGTGGTTTCCTTTCCGACCTAAAGTCTAACAATATTAAATTTATGCTAATAGCCAAGATATGGTAAGTGATTAGCATAGCTTATAGGAGCTGGTGAGAACCGTAAGACTCCTGAGTGAAGCGATACTTACATGTATTCTTGAGGCTTGTATTGTTTCTTACCTGTTCGTGAATTAGTTTAAACTTAAAATAATGTTTATCAACAGAATTTCTGTTTCCTAATGATGCTTCTATACTATTAGTTAAGTACCTAACTAGTGCGCTGATAAGAACTTAACGTACGTAACTATAATTCAATTTTAATACTATTTTCACTCACGAATTATAACTTAAACAATATGCGATACGTTCAACACATTTAATAGGTTATTTTCACTTATCAAATTGAGGACAACTCGAAAACATAAACACTTGAACAACGATTTATAAAAAATATTACCAAACTAAACTAGACACAAAACGGTACGGTGTTCCGTGTAATTATATTTAAACAATGATATAATATTTATAGATGTCGAGGATGGAAGTGATAAATGTTATTTTATATGTGAAAAATAATATATTGTTTAACAGACAATTGGTGTTTCGCTCACGGTGCGAACAACATGACTAATTTGTGATGTACACGGCGTGAGATAACGTCATTCGGCCGGTTATCCTTGTTACCAGACATTTATGTGTAGAATATTTAAATTATTAATTAATGTTCACTTAAAAATAACCTTTAAAACATGTTACATAATGTAGTATATTCAATTGTGAACGTAAGATGTTTACACTGCATGTATGTTGCTTAAAAATGCGGCCATTTATTACGTATTATAAATAGTTGTTTATATCTATGTTATATTTAAATCTTACAGATCTATTTTTTTTAAATTTTAAGGTAACATAGAAAACCAGAAAAGATTTGATTTTATAAGAGGTTCTATTGCGTACCTGGATTAAAGTATGGTGATTCCTGCATCATATAAGGACCTCGGCATAGACATAAAGAATTTTTATATGATACTCAAATGGCCTGGGGACGCTTAAGGAATGCCTGTCATGAACTGATAATACATTTTGGAATCTCATTATGGTTGTTTACTTTCATTATAAAAAAACTTTCGTTCAAAAAATTCTTAATGAGACTAAATATTTTTCTTGTTTTTCTATTAGTTACGTAATATTTTCGTCACTTGTGATCATATTTTAATTAATTCTTTATCCGACTGCGCCAGGAGGGTTTGTTTTTCAACTGTGTATGTACATTACATGTCTGAAATTTTTATGTACCATAATACCTGTAAAATGTGTGCAAATAAAGAGTTATCTATCTATCTATGTATGTATATCTCTTTGGCGCGCTCTGTAGCCTAAAGGTCTTGGTGGATTTTGGTGTTTGAGTTTGATTATTCCTAATTGTAAGAATGACTAGGTATAAAATAATTAAAACGTTGCTTTTTGGCGAAAAATTATGTTTTCAAATTTTTTTTCTTCAAAATCTATCGAGTGATATTCAAAATCTGCTCGTCTGAACCCCTCTAACATAAAAATCATGAACAGCCCCCAACAGTCCACTGCTGGACATAGGCCTTTCCTTACAATCCAATCTCTCCCAACTTATATATTTAAATGTAATTTGGAACGAGAAATGCTAAAACAGATGTAACAGAATATGTTTGTGAATTTGAGTAAGTATGCGATTTTCACGGTCGGGTTTTTTTCTTTCCAATAAGTAACTTGTTCATTGATTTTTTCCATTAAAAATATTTTTTCTATTTCAATTGCATTACTATATTTTAAGAATATTTTATTTCATCTCTAAGAGTGGAAAATAAAGGCACGAAGAATACAGCTTTATTAAAAAGTAAAAAAAAAAAAGAAATCTGTGAATTCGATTTTACTTTTTTAAAGTTGTTTACTGAAAACTGTTTTTCTTATATTTGCTTAGTAAATAAGTATGGGTACATGTTTATCAGCAAGATCCAGTTATGGCGTGCCGGGACTTCGATAAGGTGTTTTATCACAAGATCAAGATATTAAGGTGCTTGTTGAATGTGTATGTGGTTACCTGTATTGAACTGGGATCTTAACTGTAATATAATGAAAGTCAACCAATCGAATCTTGTACATATAATTATTAGGTTTTGAGATAAAAATATTGGCTCGCATAATTTTAGTGTGGGGATATTCGAGCACCGTGGTTGAGTGACGGAAGGACTGACAGATGAATGGATAGAGATAATTTATAATATAGATTACTAGATTTCATCCACAACTTTTTTTAAATAATAATTTGTTATAACATCACGTCACCACCAATAGCATAAATAATTTTTATTTAAAAAAACGGTGAAAAGTATTTCCTTTTGACAGATGCAGATGAATTCAATAATCAATTCAATAACAAGCAGTTGGTCAAATAGTTTCTTTGTTAAAGATACGACAAATTATTTGTTATAATATTCTCGTAAAACAAATTGACGAAATATTTAATTGTGAACGCTAGTGTCATTTCGTTCTCGTAAGAATCCGCTTATAAATGATTATTATCCCGGAATACTCCGTATTTTCAGTATGAACTAGAATGGAATGGCAAATGATATTGTTTTCCGTTGATTTAGTCTTTATCGATCGTTGTCCGTGTGGTGACGGATTAAGAATACGGAGTGTCACCACCCCTATTCATCCCGTGGGTGTCGTAAGAGCCCTCTAAGGGAACTAACTACGCAGGACAACAGCACTGCAAAGACAAAATAAATCTAAATCTTGAAACAAACTATACCAACCCGTCTGGCCACCATGGTATAGTAGGCCAAAACCTCTTTTCTAAAGAGAGGCCTATGTCCAGCAGTGGACTATTAAAGGTTGATGTTGATGTTATGTGTGATGTGATCGTTGATTTGGTCAATTTTCTACGTGATGAAAAATTTTTCTTCCCAGGAGGCAGTACAAAATGCTTTCACACAGTTTGTCGAATCTAGATCCCCAGAGTTCTATCGTAAAGGCATAAATTCTGTTTAGATGGCAGCAATGCATAGATAATGAGGGTAAATATTTTGATTCAATAAATATGTTACATCTTAGAAAAAAACGAGTTTTAATTTTTCAGTACAAATCAGCAATTTCATACTTTAACCCTTACTACTTTAGGGGGTTGTAGTGGTTATTATTACTAATAGATTTCACTATTAAAATAGCATTTCCCAAACCTTACAATTTTAAAGATATTGGACTTTTAAGATTTTTTTATAAAAATTGCCGAAAGCTTTTGCCTACTACAATTGTTTTTATAATATATCTTCTTTTCTTCCTTTTTTTACTGTCTTTGTATCGTTGATACATTGTTTTATAATTTTTATTACCAAAATTATAGTAAACTACAAACTGGGTCGAAGTATATAGTTATTCATAGCAGAAAGATTTTTTTCCACGAATATTAAAAAAAAACTACGACAATTTAAAAAAAAACATATACGTATTGTCAGCTTCTTAACAAGGTATAATAGTCTAGGATAGAATGACCGGAAGTATTAAGAATTAGCGTATAACCCGGTAGTACCTGGTAAAAAGCTTTGCTTGTATTCTTGGAATTTCCTTTTCTATTCGTGGCTAACTATTGCCAACTGGACTCTGATTTGTGCTTCTGATACTGTTGAAGACGATGACCTACATGAACGAGGAATGTGCTGCTATTCTGATTTTTTATGGATACTGCCAATGCGTATGTGTGTAAATCTCAAGCCTATTGTTATATTACTTCTGAATAAAATCTCTCTTTCTCTCTCTCACACACACACGTGCACAACATACACATCTACCCTCACACTCACCCGCACGCACACGTGCAAACACACACGCACACACATATCTTACACAAACAAGTTAATTTGTCTTACACCTATTGCCTGCATTGTACTTACAAAATCGTGTTTAAAATAAATACATTTATAGTATTTATAATATCTATTCTACTCTAATAGAACTGTAGAGTTGTAGAACTAAACCTGGAATGAAGGCCTGGTGATCTAACGCCTAGTTTAGGCACGAGTCTCCCACAAACATCTAGTGACATGTAAAACCCTAATTTATTCTGCAAATGTGATGAGAAGAGCGCTAAACTCTGGAAGTATTCCTAAGGTTGGAATAATACTTTGGGCTACAAGCTGGAAAATTAGAAGAAAGAAGAGTTTAAAAAAAGCACAAAAACATCAGGAACGTAATGAAAACCGTAGGAGAGACATTGACTGCACGGATGGCGTAGTGGTTTAAGCGGTTACCACGCCATTTTATGTATGTTTGTAAATTCCTTCGCGACACAGGATATATTCCTAGTCTGAGAGTTGTCCTTTTAAAATTAGAAAATAGAAAAATAAAATGGGTCGGCTCAAGTTACCAGTGTGATACTACGGCCTCAGAAAAAACCGGGGTTAAGCAATTCTTTCGTTGCTTTATACCGGAGTTGAGGTACCGGAGCCTAAACCTCCGTGATTCTGTGGACGGAACGACGACTCACAATTTGGACCCATGGCTGCAGCTGACCTATGGACATAGGCCGCTGCCTATGTCCATAGGTCAGCTGCACTTAGTCACTTACAATCAGATGACCCTCGTCTGCTCGTTTACCCCGCTATATCATATAAAAATTACACCAAAAATATGATGATAATTTCGAGGCACACAATTAGCAGAACTTGCAGCACCACTGAGTTCACTTTCTCTAGATATATTTTTTAGACCTCAAAAACAATATTCTGAGATTTATCATTTTAAGAATAAAAGTTAACTCACAGTTAGGTGGCGTCAACGGCACTCCATTCTCTTCCGCCCAGCCCACGGGGTGTATGTACGGCGAGGTGGGGTCGACCCAAAAGTCGTACATCTCGTCCCAGCTGTCAAAATTAATCAGCATCCTGTTCTCCAATACGTCAGCTATAGAAGCTACGCACACGAGCTCGTTCTTACGGTCTTCGGCTTCGAGTTTCATACCGATGCGGAAGCAATTTGGCTTGAACACCTATTTAAAAAAATATACCTTTAATAATATTGCAAAGGACGTACGACCAGTGACTGTGGATGTCTCTGACCTAGTAGCTTCCTCAAACGGCAGGAGAGATATAAAGATTACCGTGGGAGAGCCACGCCTTCATTGCCACAAATCCCACGTCTCCCCCTAATTCTGGGAGGTTTGTGACTCTTGAGTTGCAGTTGATGGACGGTAGTAGTCATATAACATCGACGACCTGGTTGCTCGTTTTCCTCCAATTCCATAAAAAAAAAGGAGTGGATCTTCGGGAGTACCGACAGAAGTGAACACTTGAAAATTTTTAAACCGACATTAATATATATCTATGTCGTATGAATGTACCTACACAATATATGTTTATATTATATATGAGAGATAAGAGATATTGCAGATATCTCCTACATATTAAAAATAACATCTGATGTATGATGAAGATTTAGTTTATTTAAAAGTTCTGGACAGTTTGACTGTCCAGAACTTTTCTTAATGCACCATCGAAACTTATAAGACACATACAACCCTTACATGTCCCTCAATGTTCTACCAATTATAGACAAAATTCCTTTATTCCGCGAGCAAGCGATGCCTTTAATGCTGTTGCAAGAAAATATGACTTCGACTTATTTGCTACAAGCGCCACGCTGGCGAGACACAAAATAAGCAATAATTTGTTCTCGTAGATTTATACCTTAATTTTGTTTTTTTTTTGTTATTTTGGTTTATTTTTGATTTAATTGAATTCCTACACTTGATCTGTTGTTACAAACAGAGATTAACGTGTTTCTAGTATTATAATTGTGTACCTATATAAACGTTGATTACTTATATTGTAAAGCGTGCTTTAAGCCGCTCAAAATATAAATTAACTATGTATTGAACTAAACGTGGGGATCAGTAATTGGCTTGCTGTTGCAAACCTCTGCGCTAAGCAAATTTGTCAAAGCTGTTGGTCCTCCAAGTTATAAATAAATAAATAAAATAACTCTCGTGTAAACAATATATGTAGATACTTATATACAGAGGTGTCGGTAACGGTAACAGTGTCACGAGTTCAATGGTTTTTCCCATCTCGAAAAATACATTCTTTTGTTTGTTTTTAAAAAATGCCCAACACGCCTAAAGAAGTTTTCACTACAAAAAATATTGGTACGCGACCCGACCTCTTAGAGTTACCGCCGTTGTTTGCGTCATACCTATCTGTCCGTTTTTCTTCTTTCTAACTAACCTTATTTTTATATTTTAGTTTTCCACTATACCAAAAGAAAAAAAATTACTCTACTTACTAAAAAAAATACAGAAAACATTTTTTAAACAATAAAACTTACCGTGGTTGTTACATGTGGGAAAAGATTCCTCGGAGCTGCAACAGCCTTCATTTGCTTCAAGTACAAAGGCCACGAGAAATTTGTAATGCTCATATTGGATGGGGGCCGCAAAGTACGGCCATTCTTCTCACACCATCCTGGAGGAAATATATCTAGACAGTCCGCATTTACCCAGTAGTCATAAAGTTCACTATACTCATCAAAATGAAGTCTCATCCTATAACCCTGCACTTCTGCTACAGACACGACACAAAACAAGGATGGGTGCTGGGGGTCTATCGCCTCCAAACGCATTCCCACTTTGAAGCCGTTCTTGTGATAGGGGAATGGAGACTCCCCAAATAACTTGACTGGAGCTGGTTTGGCTTTACAAATTTCGAGATATCGCATCCAAGAAAACCCATTTTTTCCACACATCCAAGGGTACTTCTCATTTTCTATCATATCCTCGCTCATTTTCAACAAGGCCGCTTCTGATATTTGACTGTCCGCCGGCATGGAATCATAGTGTTTAAGCAACGCTTTATCGTCTTTTGCCTCAGATAAAATAAGATCTGAATCAGACAGTTGTTTCTTCATCAACAATTTCTTCATTTTGTTCTTTTTCTTTACTAACTCGACACGTTCCTTATCTTTTTTCTTCTGTAATGCTTTCGTAACTTCACTTTGACACGCAGCGCTGCAGAAACTCGGCGTGATAAATTCAGCCGCCATGCCATGACAGCCGCAACACTCACACCTAAACAAGTCTTCGGGTGAATTAGGTTTCTTTTCTCTATGAATTCTGTCTATTTTATGTTTCGTGGGCGAGTGGTACTTTGCATCCTCCTGGTCACTGCTGTCTATGATATCTATAAGACCAAATTCATTAGTACGAAACTGTAGATTACTACCCTGTAATCTAGCAATGCCATTATTCCATATTAATCCTGGAGGATCTTCTTCTAGTAAGCCGTCAATTTTGACATTTTCGTTTCTGTTGAAATCATCTATTTTAGAATAGTACATTTCGTGAGTCGTGTTCTCGGAATTTGTTTTGCTTTTATGCTCTTTATAGTCCTCAGCATCTGAATCTAAGTGTTTAGCCTCTAAGTCTTTGTCTAGTTTTTCATCACAAAACAGTGACGGTACACGGTGGTCGTCATTCGTGTCAGCCTCTGGTGGTTCATCTAATTTCTCAATTTTTGTTGGTATTGAAAGTTTAATACTTTTGTTTGATAAGTTTTCTGTGCATAATGATATGCGTCTCTTCATGTTCGCATTTGCAGTCTTTCTGTCACTATTATCGGAGTTCGAACGCCTGAGTATCGCCGGAGCGGCGATCGTCGGTGCCCCTATATCGTTTCTATCTATGATATTCCTAAACCCAAATTCACTTCTATCTATTGAATTTCTATTTAATAGGCTTTTGCCTTTTTCAGGTATGGCTAATGTGAAGGACTTTTCTCTACTGTCGTCTTCATCGGCTATCGAAACTGTATAAATATCGTCATTCATTGACGCATTAGTTTCTGGTATTGATAGTGTATACTCTCCTTGTGCACCAGTGGGTTCAGCACGGGAGCCGGGAATAGATATTGTATAAGCTTTATCGCTTTTTGGACTTTGTGGCACATCTTTGCCATTTAACAGTTTAAGCGGTTGCAGGGGTGGCAAATCTTGTGCTTCCATTGCTGCTGTGTCACGCATCACTGTGATGTTACCCTGAGGATCATTTTGTATCTGACCATTTGCTATTTGAAGATTAATTATGGGACCTTTAGAGGCCATCGTCGCGGGTAGGGAAACAGGTAGAATAAACTTTGTGTTTTGAATCTTAGGCATGTTCATTGGCGTAATAAACAACTTTTGATTGCTGGTATTTACATTGGGTTGATTATTTGATATCAATATAGATTGGTTCTCCGTAATAGCCTTCTGATTGGGTTTCTTCATTGAGCCCAGATATGCGATAGCAGACTTGCCTTGGTTATTTGGTGCAATGCTGACTGGCACCATCATTTTGTCATTAGCTTTTGGTTTTTGTATGACTATCGGCTGACTAGCATTGACAGGAGCGATTATGGAAGACTTGTTAGGTGCTGGTGCAATGTTCTTTGGAGCGATATTAGGTTTTGTGTTCACATTGACATTTGATATAAGGTGAATGTTAGAGTTGCTGGTTACCTGTAAAAATACAAAATAAAATCAGTAAGCTTTGCTTAAGTAATTAACATCATATTAGTAGTGTAGCCAAGCAAGGACTTTTTGTAAGTGCATTAGTACTACTAAGTTAACATCCTATACATTAACCCTTTTATTTATTATGACAATAAGATAAGCGCATAAAACATTAAGAACAGAATTACTTTACTAAACAATGGCTACAGGGAAAAGATTTTTTTTTTTATTAATTCTGACAATCCTGGTTATGTTATTTAATGTAAACTCAATGATCGTTGAGATTACATTATTAATACATGGTTTTCACCAGTAAATTGTTATTCACGAAGTCAGGGATTCCCAAACTATTTTGGGCAAGAGACCCCTTTTCTAAAATGAACTGACCTCAAACCTCAATAGCCAAATTAATGCATGGTTATTGACTTGAGTTTTTTAAAAGTACAAGATTGAGATACTTCCTACTAAAACATTAGTCGTTATTATAACAATTTAGTACACATAACAACTAATACAGTTTTTTGAATGTTTTAAATGAGTTAATTAATAGGGGTCGATTTTTAGACCTCGTCGACCCCAAAAATTAGTTTTCATTTTTATGTTATCACTATCGGCCCCTGGGAAATCGATTATGACCACAAGGAGTCGATAACGACCAGTTTGGGAATCCCTGGTTTAGGTGGATAATGACCTATTTCTTAGCATTCCATGAATTCACCTGCGGGTGTCGGCTCCATCGCGTGATATATGGGGGCAACACAGGCGACTTCTACAGCACCTTTTTACTTTAATTACGTTTTAATTAGGAATACGATAATTGCTGAAGATTTTAGAAAAAAATAATGCTAACTGGGAGCTGTACTTGTGCGTACCGCTTAAACAATGTACTTACATAGAAATGCGAAATCTTCAAAAAGTAACTGACATTGTAGACAATTTTGTGTAAAAAGTTTTATAATAAACGTGAATAATTTATTTTTAAAGTTGCGTGTTGTGAAACATCAAAATTACTAGTCTTACTAAAAGCCTTTACTAGTCTGGACATACGCCTCTCCTTAGAAAGGAGGTTTTGGCCTACTACAAGCTGGCCAGATGCCATATGACATCCATGGTATGAATAGTACTGGTGACACTCCGTATTCTTAATCCGTGACCACCACTGGTGACACGGACAGTGTAGTTGTGTAGAAATAATGACATGTAGATTGTGTAGAAAAATTTGGCACCATTAAAATTATAATATTAATTTTTTTTTAAATGATGTGTAATTGTTTATTTTATATACACTTAGATTGATCACATCGACACAATTCTCTTAAATAGTTCGCCACACCAAGAGCCTGTCTGAATTCTCCGCATTAAATGTCTTACATCAAAATTTTTAGCATATACATATTATGTTCTGCATATTATATTACTATAAGACAGGGCAAGACGATAGTTACAAAATTTATACATATAAAGTTTGTTTATATCGCTTTGAACATTTATATGTAATTAGTAAACATTTATATGTAGTTTAAAGCTGAAAGCTTAGCCGAGCGTCACGAGAGAACTAAATATCGTTCATCTACATTAGGCGCGTGGCGTACCCGCGGCAAGGACTTGCACAGCGCTTTATCACTTGGTGTAAGTTCGACAAGCGCACAGTTTGTGGCGGACCGACACTTAGATCAAGACAATGTTGAAGCCAGACTGCCGCATACAATGCTGCCATGTGAATGCTTCCACAGTGCAGTCAACACAAGATACTTTTATTCTCAATGTAATATTCTTTAGAAATAGATAGCAGACCAACAATAGTTTGTTGTTTAATATTTTTAACATATATGTAAAGCCTCTACATTATCTGATTTGGGTTGCAAAATTTGCCTATTAATGTCAGTATTAAAATTAAGTGAAAATATGCAGATTTGGTGGATTTATATTAATTTTTTCATACAGAATTTAGTAAATCCATTTATTAAATAAATTTTTTTAGGACAAATAAAATAAAAACCCCTTATATCAGGCTATGAATGACAGATTCAAAATAATATATTAAAAAAATGGTACTTTTTCTGAAATCAGTACCTTTTTAATTTTACAAAGGATCTATTCTAAGAGTAAATATTTAAATATAAAATGTCCACACCTTTTAATTACATTGTATAAAAGAATAGTTATAATTAATAATGATCCCATCACCATGAATATTACTTAATATTAGATGAAACTAGTGCAAGCATCCATTTTATTGGCATTGGGACAATGTATTTTTTCTCTTAAATATCAATTAGTAAAAAATCTTATTGCATTTTGTAGAACCAAATTAGATTAGATTACTTCAAATAAAAAAGTAGTACAAACAGTATTATGCTGCTTTGTTGTTTTTATAGTCATAGATAAAATTTATTTTGATTTTTAATTAGATTGACTTCAATTCAAAGTCATATAAAGTTATTGGAATTAAATAAGATTGCTTCAGAAATAAATATTATTTAAATAAAGAACTGTTATAGGCAGTTCATAATATGTATAATAAATGGGACTAAAAGATTTAAGTTGTTCAATTTATAAATGCCTTAAAGATGCATGTTTTTGTTAATGGTGATGATTCACTTACTGGTCTCCTTACTATGATTTGTGGTGGGTTTCCGCTTGTACTTGCTTGTGTGATGACATCAGTACTTGTAACAGGTTTTAGCCCTGTAGGAGTTTGTATGTACACCACATGAGGCACTGGACGTGGCGCTCCTCGCAATTGTATGGAATTAGGATTGGGAGCATTCTGCATTTGGATTAAGGTATTATTGTGTCCAACTTGGACTTGAGGAAGAGGGTTGTTCACTTTAACTTGAGAACCAGAACTATCAGGTAGTTGAATTTGTGATGATGTGGATACAGTCATGTCTGATGCTCCATCCATATTTGGGACCCTTGGATTTGAACCCATGTGAACATGAATAATAGAACTGTGTAATGATTGGTTGGCGTTTTGTAACACTGGCATAGAGGGCAAAGCTTGTCCTGATAGCTGAATGTTCTGACTGCCAGAGGGTATTTGAAGAGGGACGTTTATAGTCTCACCAGCAGGTAATTGTACTGGCACATTTGTAGTACCAGAAACTTGGAGAGGTAAACTCACTGGTGTTATTTGTAATGGTACTGTGTTTGTAGGACCTGATAATTGTACAGGAACATTAATATTTGATGTAGAACCTGGTATCTGTACTGGGACATGAACAGTGGATAACTGTAAAGGATAAGGAGAGTTATTTGCATGAATCTTAACAGGAGCTATTGAATGGGTAACTAAATTGTGAGTTATAGGCAAGGAGCTTTGAGAAGCCTGCATCGAGGACACGATCATACTGCTCGATATTGGCGCCTGAAATTGACAAATACTTTTGATGATGTATATAATACAACAGCAATACGAAAAAAAAAACGTAAATAACTCACCCGTAATGTGTTCAGTAGTACATTTTGTTGCACACTATTTGGTGTAAGATTGGCATTTACTGACGTGTTTGCTGCTTTCAATAATCTTTTTTTCAAAATTTCTGTTTTGGGCTCATCAAAGTTTTGAAGTGAATTACAATGCTGTCTCTCCATTTCTCGGCAATAAAAACGTGAGCGAGCTCATTACAGATACTCGGTTATCTTTTACAATTCATTATTGATGACCTGCAATGCATTTAAAAATAAAATATCGAGAAATGAAATATCATTAAAACGTAGCAGCCGCATTTACCAATGCTTACGCAGTGATAAAAGTTTTTCTACGAAAACATTAAAAACAACACGTAAAATAACAATTACACCACTTATTAATTAATTAATACAAAATACGTTACGCACATTTTTCTTTAGCGAGTATCGCACTCTATCAATTGTGCAGCTACTTTTACAGAACCACAACCTTCTTCTACTAAAAAGTTCACGAAACAGTGAAACCGAACCCTAATACTTACATTTTAATGTTACAATAGAGAGATAAGTTCTTCATGTATCTTTCCAACTATTACAACATCGTTATCGTGGTGAAAACCATTAAAGAAAAATAAAATATCCTCAATAAAGCGACGATATTTACCTGCCTAGCACAACTGGTAATAAATCTGACAACATTGCCAAAATGTTGTAGGCGTTTGTTATGTTGGTACTAACAAAATTTCTGACCAATCACAGTTACGTATTTTTATGACGAAGCTTTCGCGCCCGATTATTCAGCTAAAAAAAGTCAACAGATAAGTTTATATTTATACAGTTTGGTATGCGAGAATGAGCGATAGATATTATGAAGGATCTAGCTGCAAATATTTTTTCTTTCAAACATTGAGACCACCAATCGATAGTTTGAAGTGTATAATTCTTTTATTGGATATTATTTATAGTTTATCTTTGACATTGTTGCTACGCAAAGAGGTACTCATTGTACTCGAGGCTGTCTTAGGGATGCGGTTAGTATATATCTTATGCTAATGGGTTTAGAGTACATTTTATGTTGTTGTGAACTTAGAAAAATCCTATTGATAGTTTTAAGTTATTATTTATTGCATGGGGAAAAAAAAGCATAGTGCAAAATTTTCTTATTAATATCTTTTAGTAATAGTGATAAAATAATTTGATTATAATATAAAAATAAATGATGACCGGAACCGGATGTTGAATTTTCTTTCACTCTTATATTACTTCCTCCATGCTTTGTGATAAATCGGATATGCATTTATTTAAGTTGAACAAATAAAACGATCTGTGTTTTTTTTCTTAGAATCACTGTCCACTGACAACAGTATACCTAAGTAAAAATAATTATAATGAGAATTATCAATATATTAGTTCATTATTTTTATAACTCTCTTTCTATAACTTTCTTTATTTATAACTGTAGGCAAAATACCATAAATTAAAAAAAAATGTTTATTCATTGGAAATCAAATCACATCCTTGATCAAATACACAATTGAAAAACTATTATTCGGTCTTGCTTTTCCCAACAAGCTTAAACAAAAAAGGATGTGTAATAAATGATCATTATTCAAAGATCATATTGGAAACGACAAAATTTCAAAATTTAATATACCTACATAATTAGAAACTTAGAAACAACAATATTTATTTTCTTTTATGTAACATTTAGAATTAAATGCAGTTGAACTAAATAGTGAGACATTTTAATTCTCACTAGTTCGACCGTCGAAGTAATGAGAAAAAAATTCTCACTAGTTTGACGATCGTACTGATGGATCCAACTAATGAGAACAAATCGTAAATAGTACAAGTATTTTTACCGAAGGAGTGAGAACTGCACATATAACTAAATATATACTAATAGTCAGAGAGACAACTGTGAGACTTTTAAATGTCACTCACAATATGAAATGTCGATGTTTTGTCTCTTTCATTAAAATTACGGTTTTCAATCAACAATGGTTAGGGACTAAATAAATTTTAATTTGATAATCCAGTAAGATATCTAAAAAAAATAGATATCTTTTTTATCGCCAGAAACAGTGTGTGAATGATTAACTTTTATTAAAATTTATCATTAACTACCGTTAACATAAATTCTTTATTTCTTACTTTTTCATCCTTGAACTGAACTAAGGTTAGTTCAAGTTAAGTTAATAAAATTAATATAGAATTATTAAAGTCATTCTACAAATGAATACAATAACGAGTAAGAGTTCGATTAAATTCAGTTAAATTAAGAACCTTATCCGCTATAAAGTTAGAAGCAAAGAGTTAGTATTGAATTACTTTAAATCTCTACTGGTCTAAGTGGAAATTCGTTGTTGTAGGTTGCTGTATTTTGTACTATATCACCCAGGTATAACGATCTGCTCGCATGCAATATAAAAGTGAATTCAATCATATTAGATTCATAGGTGTGTACATATCGTCATAAATGTGACAAAATACTGTATGTACTATTTTGTCACAACTTATAGATCATAGATAATTTCATGTGGTGACGGATTAAGAATACAGAGTCACAACCCCTATTCATCCGGTGGGTGTCATGAGAGCCGACTAAGGATGCAAAAAACTATAAAACTACGTAGGACAACAGCACTGTGAGGAGAAGAAAAACCTTATACCAACACGTCTGGCCTGCGTGTTATGGTAACCTAAAACCGACGGTCTGTTTAAGGCTGTTGATGATGATGAATATGATAGAAAAAAATTATTTAGAAAAAAAGAGACATCGCGGGACGTAATTGGCTGCAATCGTTATTGTTTTATAAAATATAATAAGTATAAAATGGTAGCTTGTGAAAGAATATATCGTGATGACGGATGCCATAGCGACGCGTCACCACACCAACAGTCAGTCCGACCCTCCACATTAGATGTTTCATATTAGGAGACAGCGTAGATGAAGCATTTAACATATTCCAATGCAACCTACTTGTTTGTTATGTACTAGGCGTCACGTAAACTGGATCATACATATCATACTAAAAACTTTTTACTATCAATTGTAATTTTATTTATTTGCATCATGTGGTTTTATTTTATTAATTAAATATTAATAAAACATGACAACATAATTTTTATACCTCAGTCTAAAAACAATATGCTAAAAAACTTGGTTTCCAAAAGTAGGAACTTTTACGAAACTACGAGTTAGTTAGAAAAAGGTGTCAAAACATTGATAAATGGTCAAAATAAATTTTACTTCTGCGATTTTGCAACTTAATCTCTCTTTTAGTTCGTTTTTATTTGATATCGGAGTGTTGTGGTTTCGAACTTTCAAGGCTTGAGTTGTTTTTCAATAAGTAAGTTCCCAAATGTTGTGTTGAAATATTTAAATATACAACTATGTAAGTAGAATACTTTCTGTAATACGACTGTAGTATTTAATTCTGTTAACATGTTGTAACCATCGTAATCACTGTCTCTTTCTTTTAATTTTCATAATTAATTTCAATGATAATCACTATAAACGTCAATGGTTCTAAATGATTGTAATGATGTTTTATTTACGTGAAATCTCATGACAATAAATCTTATTTCGCTATAAATTAGTAAGTAATAATTTCGCAAAAAAGTATTTAAAACTACTCCTATGCCCATTTATATTAAGAAATCTCTTTTTAAGTGTATCAAACTCAAAAGTAATTTATTTATTTGTTCTAGATCAAAACAATAGATTTATAAAAAAGTTTTGACATAAAAACATCTAAATATACCAGTTTCTAATAAATCTGATTACTTCTTACTGTTTTATGCCACAAAGCTGGTAAAACAATATAATTTATCTGATATTAAGTGTGGTGGTTATGTGTTGTGAGGGATTAAGAACATATGTATATATATGTCACCTCTCCTATTCATCCCATGGGTGTTGTCAGAGCTGACTAAGGGAGCAAACTTTGCAGAATAACAGCACTGCAAAGAGAAGGAAAACTTGAAACCCTATTATTATTATTTTTTTACTAATTTATGCACTCTAGTACATCGGTGGACTTAATGCTTAGGGCCAGTCAACCTTGATAATGGATGATGTAGAAATTGTTAGTGGCCCAACCCATCTGGCCAGTGTGGTATAGTACCCCAAAATCTCCTTTCAAAAGAGAGGCATAAATCTAGCAGTGGATTAGTGAAGGCTGTTGATGATGTGCTTAGTGGCATAGAGTACAAGTTTTGTTTTTGCATTATCCATTTTTGTATCTGTCTATCATCTTCCTTTATTTATAGAGTAGACTTTTAAAATATTGTGCATAATTTATTTTTTAATATACCCTTGTGTGTTATCTATATAGAAAAATTGTAAGTTGGTTGTGTATGTTTCAATAACCCAAAAATTCTGCATTGATTGAGTTCAAATTCTGATATGATATACAAATACCATCATCATGATATTTTTAAATCTTTTTTTGCTTTATTTTGTGAAGTGTGGCAGGTACATCTAGTAGTTCATACTTTCAAACCAATTAGTATTAGTATTTCAAACCGTTTGAAACTCAAATGATTTTTTGGTGAGTGTAATACATTGCTTGATGTGAATAGTTGACCTCTTTTCTAGTGTAGTATAGTTTTTTTTTTTTATAAAATTAAAAAAAGAATAAATTTTCTAATATCAATCACTCACTCACTCAGTGCCTATAAAATGTTTATTAGTTAACAAATTAAGTAACTTAAACCTTAAAATAGTCTTAAAGAAAAAGTCTCAAGACTATTTTAAGGTCTGAAGTCATTTGTATATGCAAATTCATATACGCAAAAATGACAATATCCAAAAATACGACATATCACCTTCATCCACTGACATCTTCAATTGATTCACTTATCTTTTTGCAGTACAACTAGTAAACATGAAAAAACAAAGCCAAGTTGCAATACTTGGCTTTGTTTTTTCATACATTACATTTCCAATTGGATAAAATACATGTAATGAATGCTCATGTGTGGGACTCCCATCTAATCTACGGATCCAGTTGAGTTTTGTCATTAAAGTTTTAAAATAGATGTTGCTTATATTTAGACATTATTTTTGACCCTAAAATGTTTATCACAGATATAAGTATAATTTTTTGTTATAGTTAACATTGTTTTAATAAGTAACTGTCTGAATGAAAGAAGAAAGAAAGAGGTCAGGTCATAGCAAGGTCATAGCATGATATTATATAGCCTGTAGACTTCCTCAACGATAACTGGGCTATTCAACACAAAAATATTTTTTTATTTGAACCAGTTTAGTTACTGAGATTATAATAATAATAATAATATTCTACCAAAGTCACAAAACGCCATCTAGTCCCAAACTAAGCAGAGCTTGTACTATGGGTACTAGACAACTGATATACTGAACCCGCAACCTTTGGAATAACAGTCTGTTACACAAACCACTACGCCATCCGGTCGTCACTGGTATTGAGATTAGTATGTTGAACCTAACAAAATCTTAAACTTTATAATATTAGTGTAAACTGTAACTGTAATATTAGTGTTCCCTACACATTGTGGTTGACATTGACAAGAAATGAGGAACAAAACTGATACAAGATAGATAAACAATTTTTGAAGCGGTTTGTACATTTTATCAAAATTTGGGCTCAATTGGTGCAGAACTTTTTGAGTTTTGAAGCATGTGAACTTAACATTTTTATACAAACATATATATATTAAAAACTAGCTGAGACCCGCGGTGTTACCCGCGTTTGTTGTTATAACCGCGGGCAACGCCGCGGGGCGAAGCTAGTCTAAAAAAAGTAGCCTAAGTTACTCCTTATGTCATCAGCTATCTGCCAGTGAAAGTCCCGTGGAAATCGGTCCAGCCGTTCAAACAGACAAAAATTGTAAAAAAATGTTATTTTGGCATATGTACCGTGTAAACATACATATGCATTAAGTAAAAAGCGGTTATTTTAATATTACAAACAGACACTCCAATTTTATTTATTTGTATAGATATATAATTAAAAAAAATATTATGGTTTTGTTTTAGAACATTGATGTAAGCTGTTGACAATGAGTAGCCAGCATCAGTACATGAGTGTTAGCAACACGACAAGTACACGAGTTGGCGACATTGAACACATCAGTAAGACATTTTTATTTTACCTACACTAGCTTTTTTGTAACACTAAATCTGTATAATACATGTTTTTTGATAATACATCGTACCTAGGAATTGGTATGCCTTGGGTGAGCCGCCAAGTTTCGACGCAAATCGGCCAGCTCGACCAGGCTGATACCATGGCCTCACAGAAAACCGTTGTGAAGCAGTATATCCGTTGCTTTTTACCAAGTGAGTGAGGTGACCGGAGCCGTCTGCTCGTTTACCCCTCCCCCCCAAATTAAGCTTTGTGGACTTTAACATATAAACATTAACTATTCTATTTATAAAGCGAAGACTAAGATTATTTTTCCCTGTTTTGCCACCCTAGTATATTTTTAATACATACTAAAAAATTTAACGATCGCTTTGGTCTCTGTTCGATAGGCCACCTGTCTGAACACATTGGATCTCTATGCCTGTCTTCGGAGTACTCTGACGTGACATTAATAGTGGAGGGGCAGCGGATACCTGCGCACAAGGTTATTTTGGCTGCAAGCAGCGACTACTTCAGGGCATTGCTGTATGGTGGAATGAGGGAAGCTAACCAGGTAAAAAAAATCTTATAGATTGATATTTTTAAATGTTAATTCCTACTGATTCCAATTGGTTTTATCAAGATGCAATTTCGGCAACAGGACAGCGTTCTAAACTTTCAAATTAAAGTTTTGCAATAGGTCGCCTAATTGCTTATGTAAAAGCGGACCCAGTGCATTTTGTTAACAATACTAATACCTATCCAATACATCTAATACCTAAATATCAACGATGAAAAACTATTTCTTCCCTCTTTTTTATTATCTTTTTGTTTTTAGTTTTTTACAACTTTGCCGCAAGTTTTTGTTTCGCTTTAAAATACTTAATACCTACGTAAAATCATGAACTGAACAACTTTTGCATTTAACTGTTTTCGCTACAATGCTTTATTTCCGAGATATTGCAAGATAATTGAAAAAAAAATGGTTTTTAAAGTAAGGTATATTGCAATAAAAAAGTATCTTCCCGACCTCATCCATTATTACTTTTTTGTGGGCAAAATGACCCATTAAAACTTTGACGACTGGATGGCGTAGTAGTTTGTGTAACGGACTGCTATTCCAAAGGTCGCGGTTCGATTCCCGCTCAAGTCAAACATTTGTGTGCATGAACATTTGATGTTTGATTTGGTCTGGGTGTTTCTATGTATAATATGTATGTATTTACAAAAAAAAAAAAAGTATATATGTATTTATATCAGTTGTCTAGTAGCCATAGTACAAGCTTTGCTTTTGTTTGGGACTAGATGGCGTTGTGTGTATGTGGTAGAATATATTATTATATTATATTATAATGACCTTCAGTTTCCTCCAAATTTTATTAAATGCCATCTAGAATCGAAAAGAAAACATTTGACATCCCAACTACTAAATATAGTTATTTTGTGTAGAGATGCAAAAGATACCCGTTTATGTTATGGATATCCGGTATCCGGCCAACCTTGTATATCTTGCCGAATATTGTAGAATTATCACTCGTTGTCGTTTTAAAATATCTCCTAACTTACCCTTCCAACCCAGAGAGTAGTTTGTACTCCTAAAATAGCTTTAACAAATTAAGAACATTTATGACAGTTAAAGGATCTTGACAAAAGAGATTGAGTCCGACAGAATACTTTGACAAGAGTACGAGAGTTTCAATATCAGCTAAAAGAAGTGAGAAGGCAATGACATGCATCTATCTAAAACTTGCTACACGGTTTTGGAAAACATGGTGTACTTAAATAAAATGCGTAAATTTACACAGACGCCGCAGTTTATTGATGACAGATGACGCAGTTTATTTTCGAGTGTTTTAAAAAATACTCTTAGCTGCGCTCCTCTCGGTCTACGCTGACCCCTTAGGTTGTGGTTCGTAGAGGCCCTGATAACCGAATAAGTTTTAAAACTTATAAAAATACGTATTTGACACTCAAATGGCTAACAAATTATAAGTTTGAAGAATATGATGACTCTTATTTTGCAATGCAGCCTGCATTTAGCGGTTCAACGTACATTCAATACCAATCAAGCAGTCAGAAGACAATGGAAGCACTAATTTGATGACACGGCCGATAAACACGATTTCTGTCGGCCTAGTTCAACATCTACTCAATGTTCTCGGTGATCTCGTTCGAAGTTGTGATTGGAACTACACTGAAATCTTCACCAATCGCATCGCCAAACGCGGTCGCTTAAGAGAGCGAGTTAATGTGAAATAAACTAACACTGGGTCTTCTGTACAATAATGCTTCATTATTTGTTTACTCAAGACGCGGCGACGGATTCCTGGACATTGTGTACTGATTAGACGTCAATGAATCTGTGGCGACTCCCACATACATAGAAACAGCCATCTAACGAAGACACACCGAACTACGGAGTTACTCCTGCATGAGAATTGCTAATCCTGTACCGCGATATCAAGAATTTCTCCATCTGGCCAATCTCATCTCATCAATCTGGCCCATTAGAGTATATGCAACTTCCCAACATCAACAGTTGGGCCTCGGCCCGCCAGGAATGATCACCTCGCCTGGTCGGAGGATCCTCCCTTTGTGTTGGAGGGACACGACACCCGTTCCTCCACAGATCTATATAAAAAATAAACCGCAGAAGTCTATTATGTTTTTTTTACAACATTTTCGATGTTTGAACACTGTTACCAGCCATTGATGGAATAGATTCCGTCTGTAACTTGACGTAACTTTTATAGTATAGAGACAGATGTAAGACAGATTTTCTGTAAGTCAAATAAGTGCGTGGCTCTCCCACAGCCTTCTTCTTTTTAAGGTGTTTTTCCATAAAAAGGAGCATGATGTCTTAGACGTAGATGAGGTGAAATCTTAGGAGCGAAGTTTAACTTGAGTACTTATTTATTTCGCAGGCTGAAGTGGAATTACAAGCACCCATTAATGCATTCAAAGCGCTCCTACGATATGTATACTCAGGTAAATATGTAAATGTTAGTTTATATCCATAGTAATATTCTACAGCTGAAGAATTTGGTTGGTTGAAAGCGCTAATCTCAAGAACTACTTTTTTCTTTTTGAAAAAATCTGTTAGTTTTGGATAGCCCATTTATTAAGGAATGCTACATGTTATAAAACATCTCGCTGTGACCAATAGGAGCCGATCAATTATTGTTTTTATAAAAACGGGTATTTTTTTCCTTTTAAGAGTCCCATATGAAGTTGTTATCGCGGGTAAACTAGAAGTGGTTAATATACACTCGGCGTAGTAGGAAGCGGCGTGGCGACCGCTTAAACCACTACGCCATCCGTGCAGTCCAATATATTGATACCATATCTATACCTATCACATCTAATTATAAAAAATATACATTTTTGGTTCACTACAGATTATGATTAATTCCCAATTCATGTCTTTAAAAAATTGGTAATTCATTTTAATTATATGTAAAGGGCCTGGGCCTCGCGCATTTCCTTTTACTCAGCTAGTTATATCATTCTCAGGTCACATGGGCTTGTCCCTACTGCGCGAAGACACAGTGCTGGACATGCTAGGCCTGGCGCACCAGTTCAATTTCCAGGAATTGGAAGCGGCAATATCAGATTATCTGCGCCAAGTGCTAGCTCTCAGGAACGTGTGTGCTGTACTAGATGCTGCCAGGTATATTCTAATGTCAACTTTATGTCAATGTACATAAGAGTGTTCGACGTGTTGATCACTGATGACGAAGTTTTTCAACTATACGTGTACCACCAACAAAGCAAAAATAGAGTAATATTTAAGTTGGTCTAGTGGTTAGTGACCCTGATTGCTAAACCGGAGGTCGTGGGTTCGATCCCCACCCAGGACAAATATTGTGTGATGAACACGGTCATTTGTTCTGTGTCTGGGTGTAATTTAGGTATAATATGTATCTATTTACAAAATATATGTTTATCAGCAGTCTGGTTACCATAGCACAGGCTCTGCCTAGTTTGGGATCAGACGGCCGTGTGTGGGATGTGTGAGATATATTTAAAGATACAAAATCCAGTTTGTAAATAAATAATATTATCTAGTTTTTAGGTTATATTATGTGTGTAGGTATACAATAAAGACAACAATCTTTAATTAACAACTATTATTCATTTTGCTATTGCCTTGTGCTATTCTTCGCATTTGTTTATTCACTGGCAAAACTAGAATACGAGACAGCTTGCGGGTAACATAGCAGTGTAATGAACTTTATTGAAAAATCTCGTAATAACCCGAATGATTCGACACAGCCGACAACTTCAAAAATATCGTAGAACATTCTAGAACGTTTGAACGTTTTCTGGAACATTCTATTATTTTTTAAAGACAACTCCCGCATTAGGAATGTATCCTGTGTCCCGGAAGACTTTACAAACATATATGAAACGGACACAAATAACACCCAGACTTAGAACAACAATTTGTGGATCACACAAAGTGTCGTCTCATGTGGGGATCGAACCAACAACACTAAGCGTAGTAGTAAGCGACGTGGCGACCGCTTAGACCACTACGCCACCCGTGCAGTCTATTAGTTGCATATATCTAAGCTCAAGGTTAAATAAAAATGGATATTTATATTATTGTAGGTTGTACGGCCTAAAGGCGTTAATGGACTATTGCTACAACTTCCTGGATAAGAATGCAATTGAAGTGTTGCAGCACGACTCGTTCCTGCAGCTCTCTGTTGTAAGTACTAACATGTTTTTATGTTACATACATTATTGCTAAATTTACAATATTTTTTAAGCCTATATAATTGTTTGCGGCATCCCCTTGAGCTCTAAACTGCTTAGGAAGCTTGGCACTGTTGCTAAAAGTGGAAACGGATTTTCAACAAGATCCATCACGCTTTTAGAAACAAAACGATTTCTCTTAAATTTTACACATATTTTTTATTTTAATTACGATTCTTATCGTTGGAATTAAATCTGTTGTAAAATAGCAAAGGAATAAATCACACACATCAACAGCCTTTAATAGTTCACTGCTGGACATTGGCCTCTCCATAGAAAGGAGGTTTTGGCCTATTGTAATACCACGCTGGCCAGACGGGTTGGTATAGGGTTGGTGTCAAGATTTCCTTCTCTTGGCAGTGCTGTTGTCCTGCGTAGTTAGCTCCCTCAGTCGACTCTTACGACACCCGCGGAATGAATAGGGGTGGTGACATTCCGCATTCTTAATCCGTCACCACACAGACGAAGGAATAAATATTTCAATACAATTATTATCATAAATTTAAGAATTATATTTATTTGAATATCATTAATTAAATTAATAATATTTATACAGGAAGCTTTGCAAGGACTTCTGGAGCGTGACTCGTTTTTCGCGCCCGAGGCGGACATTTTTAAGGCGGTTTGCAGCTGGTTCAACGCCAACCAGATATGGGTCAAGTCTGAGGGAGGGCAGGATCAGGTTGTGAGTATTGTAAAGTATAAAAGATTCCGACGAATGGACAACCTTCTCTTTTTTTTGCAGTCGGTTATAAAGTAAAGGACACCGACAACTTTGTATGGGACTTGGGCCAAGGGGTGGACATTTTTATATTGAAATAAAAACGTTACTAGCTAGTAGCTGAAACTATGTAGAAACCAATAATATATCTAATTTAGTATCCAGGCCTATAAAATAAAAATACTTTGATTTTTGCAAACATTTAATTTCAATTGTCGTCACCATCACTTTCATACACAATCAAAATATTATCCAGAAACTGAGCTGGAGGAGTAACATTCTCATACCTTGCCCAACTTAGATACCAGATTACGGACATAATGTGAGAGCAACAACCCACAGTTCTTCGACCAACAATGCAGTTACAGTAATACTCTTTAATTGCATTTAAATGCTCTATATTACTGTCAAATAATATATAAATAAAATATGTTTTCCTACTTATGTGTCTGCTTTGTATTTTGGCCCTTAATAATGTGCAATTGTCGGCTGAAGGAAGACTTGGCAAAAGGTTGCTGGCTCTTTCTATACAAACTTCGACTGTATATGAACCATCACTTCTTATGTGTTCTCCAAAATATGATCTAGCCTGTTTTATTTGATAAGTTCGACATGCTAACAAAACAAGTTCATTATATTCTAATCTTGGAAACATCAGATTATCCATAATGACATGAGTTCAGAGACTTCAGAGTTACAGCCAGGGAAAAAACATTGTGATTGGGTATCAGCCGCTCTTCTCAAATCCGGTAAATGGATGGTTCCTTCTGGATTCTGGATTTCACCTTCACCTTCACTAACTCTCTCCACATTTCGAGTAACTTGCCTATTAGCTCTTTGCCAACAAGGATGACAAATTCTGTCAGATGCTCTCAACTAAAACAAAAATAAAATGGTATTGGATTTTTTTCTTAACTTATAGAATGCAATATAATCCTTACTGCATGTCAACTTGTCTTATTTTTGTATAGGTACTCATTTTAATTGAACTAGATAAATAACACTAGCTATTTGCATATCTCACAGTATTATGGGGAGATCATAGGTTCACAGAACTTTACTTTTAAAGAAAACTACTGCATTCTACTGTATTGCAAGAAGTAGTATAATTATGTTACACTTACACTTCATTTATTACTAAACTACCATTTTAAACATAATTATCTGTTATGAGAAATAAGAAAACTTACCTCGAGTGGATCAATCCAATGTACAATAACATTTCTTATGCGTCTCTCCCGCTCTGAGTCAATGTTAAGGTTATGAGACCTATGTCTCTTAAGCGACGATTTGCAGCTTACACATAGTTGTCTCTGACGCCCTGAGTCAGAACTTGATGAGGCTTCATCATTTGGGATTGACACATTAGGAGTGTTCAATGCCACAGTCCAACATGAATGACATATTTGACTGTGACCTTCAATCTGTTGACAAATCAAAAATAAAAGTCAGCATTTATTACTTTTTGTTAAATTATTAGATATATTATGCATTCAAAATAGTATTTAGTGCATTTGCATTCACTATCCATTTAAGTTGAAACATAAAATACTTACCACTTGCGGTGCAATCCATTGAAGAATTACATGTCGCACTTCAACTAAGTTAAGACTATGTCTCCTTCTATGAGTCACATCAGAAGCACAATTGATACAACGTATGGATTCATCATTATTAGGCATATTCAGAAAATCCGTGTTCAGGCATAAGTCGTCATGCAAATCAGGTTCAACATCCAATGAATTGCTAGGGTCAACCAAAAGGTCCAAAAGTAAGCCGGGGTTGTCGTGAGAAGAATTATTAAAATCCATTTTGAATACAATATCCAAAAATAAACAAATAACAAATAGTAATACCGTGCGCGCCTAAGCCAATGCCAGACATGACATTAGTCAAATGTTGTTAGAGTAAGAAAAAAATATACCCATGTGCTGTTTAATATTCTTCATCATAATTTATTTTTAGACATATATTTTGTATTAAAAGGAGATATATATATATAGAAAATATAAATAATTATATCTTGTAGGTATTACAGACTTCAAAGTACTTTTTAAGTGAGACTATAATTTATTAGTGTGTTTTTTTTAATCACTTTTTCCACTACTTATTTTTTGAATGCAACACTTCGACACGTTTCGCGCACAAAATGAATGGATGTACGTCATAAATAATGATAAATATTTTGAAATACTTTTTTTATATATGTTCACTTGATACTACCAAATTGTACTCATAATTATTTTATAATAAAAGAAAATTATGACCATTTTCATTTATTTATAAAACTGCTGTCCGCACCTTGGCCCAAATCGGTCAGCCTCCTTTAAACTCCACTCAAGGTATCTTTATTTCATAAAAAAAAATGTTTGAAATCGCGAGTGTGGTGTAGTAGGCCAAAACCTCCTTTCCAAGGAGAGGCCTATGTATTTTTTTTAATGGTATAAGGGGGCAAACGAGCAGACGGGTCACCTGATGGTAAGCAACTACCGCCGCCCATGGACACCTGCAACTTAAAAGTCACAAGTGTGTTGCCGCCCTTGGAGTCCCGCTGACTCGAGCGGAAGGGGGGATTTGGACTCCGGTAACCTCACTCACTCAGTGAAGGGCAACGAAAGAATCGCTTAACACCGGTTTTCTGTGAGGCCGTGGTATCAGTCCTGTCGAGCCGGCCCATTCGTGCCGAAGCATGGCTCTCCCACAGTGTGCCTATAATAGTCCACAGCTGATATGTAATGTGTGTTTGAAATCGTCTCTTATGTAGACTCCAGTCATAAATAAACACACACAATAGCAGCAATATCAGTTTTGTTAATAAATTTGCAAAATAAATATGCCGATCTACAACCGCCCGTTTCCAAGGGTTTGAGCCTTATGAGAACAAACTCACGGAAAATTAAAATGTAACTGTGGGTGTGTGTGTAACTTTGATGAGGATACACGTTAACTCAAAACTCGTCGCTTAACTTAAAAATAAACACTTTAATTTTACAGGAGAAGATCTTAAAATGCGTACGTCTCACCCTGATGAGTCTGGAGGAACTGCTGACGGTGGTCCGGCCCTTCACCCTGGTGACTCCAGATATGTTGCTGGACGCTATACAAGAGAAGACACAGACCAAGAGCACTGCGTTAAGGCACCGGGGATTACTGCGTAAGTCTTTTTAACGAAGTTTTTAACTTTGATCATTCACCAATATGGTACAAACCGCTGCTACTCTTACCATTATGAACTAACTCTCTCTCTCCCATCCTCACTATTATCTCCATTAATAAGGAGACTTGGTCAATATTGGTATTGACTTTATACACTTGGTCTTTGTATTGAGGTCAGATTTTGCAATAAGAGTCTTGCAACTTGCTGATACTAATTAAACATCTTACTGTGACCAGAGATTAGCAACAGAAAAAGTAAATTTTGAGCTTATCTGGTCAAAATAAAGTACTGTGTGTAAGGGGCCAAACTAAAAAGTTATCTATATCAAGATGTTAGAGTTCATTTTTCCTCTTTTCAAACCAGGCAGGCAAAGAAGGAAGCTAGAAGCAAGTGGTCAAACTAAAATGTTATCTATATCAATATGTTACAGTTCATTGTTCCTCTTTACAAACCAGGCAGGCAAAAAAAGAAGCTAGAAGCAAGTCGCCAAACTAGAAAGTTATCTATATCAATATGTTAGAGTTCATTTTTCCTCTTTTCAAACCAGGCAGGCAAAAAAAGAAGCTAGAAGCAAGTCGCCAAACTAGAAAGTTATCTATATCAATATGTTAGAGTTCATTTTTCCTCTTTTCTAACGAGGCAGGCAAAAAAAGAAGCTAGAAGCAAGTCGCCAAACTAGAAAGTTATCTATATCAATTTGTTAGAGTTCATTTTTCCTCTTTTCAAACCAGACAGGCAAAGAAAGAAGGTAGAATCAAGTGGCCAAACTAAAATGTTATCTATATCAATATGTTAGAGTTCATTTTGCCTCTTTTCAAATCAGGCACTTAAAGAAAGAAGGTAGAATCAAGTGGCCAAACTGAAAACTTATTTATAACAATATGTTAGAGTGCATTTTCCTCTTTTCAAACTAAAGAGTTATCTATAACAATGTGTTCCTCTTTTGAAACCACAGTGCCGGAAGAGAACGTGGCGACACCAGCGCGCGGTGCTCGCGTGATCTCGGGGGACATCCGCTCGGCGCTGCTGGACGGCGACACGGAGAACTACGACATGGAGCGCGGCTACACGCGCCACACCATCAAGGACTCGCCCGACAACCCCGGCATCGTCGTGCGGCTCGCCACCCCCACCATCATCAACCACGTGCGCCTGCTGCTCTGGGACCGGGACAACAGGTATACATGACCCACTACACCGACTAATTGTCTTTTAATACACTATTACTAGAATGAAACTTATGAATCACATCAACAGCCTTAAATAGTCCACGGCTGGACATAGGCCTCTCTTTAGAAAAGAGGTTTTGGCCTACTATACCACACTGGCCAGACGGGTTGGTATAGGGTTTCAGCGGCCAATATTCTAGCAGAAGAGGCAGCCGTTCATCGGCTCTCGGGCAAGGCCTGGTCCAGCAGGGTGGGCGTGTCTGCCGGTTGCCCTGCTGGCTCTTCGCTCTTCGGAGCATGGAGGAGGAAACCTCGGTAAAAAACCTGATGGCGGGGCCCTGTAGGGGCCACAGTTTTCTCCGCTGATAGCGGTGGAGAAAGGAGGACGGGCTCGGCGTGTACTCACACTACCACCGAGCAGGCAGGGGGACGTAGTCTCCCTGTCAACCGTCGGCATATCGTAATCCCGAGAAGAGCGCTGTGGTTAAGTCTCGCGGCTCTGATCGGGGACGAGGGTCTTGGCTTAACCGCCCGGACCTCGAGGAAGATAACCTCTCTAAAAAATTCCCCGAATCCCGTGTTCTGGTGCGTGGCCAGGGGATGCATGGCTGATGGGAAGTTCAGTCGCGAGCGCACTCCAAGCCGAGGTACCTGCGGACCCCTCGGTTGGGTTAAAAACTTACGCTTGCCCGGGTAATGGGGGATCTCTGCCCGGGTGGACCTTTAGTTCTCCCCCACTCGTGGGATTTATTATGGAAGATTTTCAAAAACCTAAAAAACCAACCAAACCGATCGGAACCAAGCAACCAACGAAAAAGGCAAGCCTAACGGAAAAGGAAGCACAGCGAAGGAAGGAAAAGCAGAACAGTGGAGCGGATGGGTCGTCCACTGAGGGCGAGATGGTGTCGGGAACGCCTATCTCGATGGGGCTCCCAGAGGTCAGTCTGACTTTGGTCACTGGGAGCCGAAGAGCATCGGATCGGCTGCGTTCCGGATCCGCCGCTTCATGGGATGGCGCGGAGGCCATGGAAGCGGAGCGGAGCGACAGCCGGAAACGCGGACGCTCAGGGGACGTGGAAACCGACACGTCCGGCGAAATGATGCCACCAAAGGTGGCAAGCAGCCGCCGAGGGAGGGCGCGCAAACCGGCCTCGGTCGCGATCCCGTCAGGCTCCGCGTTCTCCAACGCGGAGTCGTACAGGAACGTACGGGTGGACGGCGAGGCCGTAGCGGAGGAGGAGATCGCGGATCTCCTGCTCAAGGTTCGGGAGCCGGTGGGGGGAAATGCCCCCCAGGCTCCCGTGTCCGTGCAGGAGAGGGCGAAAGCGGCGGTGGCCGTCATCGACAAGGTGGCCACCAAATCCGTGAACCTTAAGGGCTCGTTTGTGAGGGCCCTTAAGGACTCCTCCTCCGCTTTGTCGGAGGTCGTGGAGGGCCTAGCGGGCGACGTCTCTCGCCTGCAGGTGGCCAACGAGAAGCTGACGGAGCGGGTGAACGAGCTGAGCGCTCAGTTCGCCCGCTTCCAGGCGAACCTCCCCGAGCGGGAAGTCCCGTCCGCGTCCCAGCCTGCCCCTACCACCAACTCAGGGGCATTTGACTCCCAACTGCGAGAAATCCTCATCGCTGTTGGGAATATGCTGGACTAGAGGAGGCAGCCATAATTCACTCGTGGCTGTCTCCTCAGGCTCCGACCGAGGAGGTCGACGTGGGGGCTGGCCGCTTTCGCGATGCGATTACGCATGTATGCGATGCGGCCATGCCCCGCGTTCGAGGTCGTCGGCCTCCAAGGAAGGAGGTCTACTGGTGGTCCCAGGAGCTGGCGGACCTCCGTGCGGCCTGTACAAGTGCCCGGAGGTCCTACACGCGCAGTCGGCGGCGTCACCGTGGAGACGGTGAGGAGGACCGGCTTCATGAGGAGTACCGACGGGCGCGGAAAACTCTGAAGCTGGCCATTAGCCGCGCCAAAGAAGAAAAAAGACAGGAGATGCTGGAGGGTCTTAATCGTGACCCCTGGGGTCGCCCTTACCGCGCGGTGCGACAAAAGCTCCGCGCGTCGGGCCCCCCCCTTACGGAGACTCTCCAGCCCAGCTTCCTGCGAGAAGTGGTTGAGGGCCTTTTCCCGCAACGAGCGGAACACACTCCCCCGGCGATGGCCTCCTTGGCCGGAGACGACGGGGAGCACGGGGAGGAAAATGTTCCGCCCGTCCGGGATTCGGAGGTAGGGGCGGCTGTTCTACGGATCCGTTCCAAGAACACCGCCCCTGGGCCAGACGGGGTACCGGCCCGAGTGCTGGCCCTGGCCCTCAACCACTTGGCAGACCGCCTCGGGGAGGTGTTCGACGCTAGCTTGGCGTCGGGACGCTTCCCTGAGTGCTGGAAGAGCGGGAAGCTGGTCCTATTGAGGAAGCCGGGACGGCCTGCCGATTCGGTCGCGGCCTATAGGCCCATCGTGCTGCTGGACGAGGCGGGCAAATTGTTTGAGAGGGTTCTTTCTGCCCGCATCGTCCGGCACCTTTGCGAGGTGGGCCCCGATCTGTCGGACGCCCAATTTGGTTTTCGGGCGGGGCGTTCGACAGTCGACGCCGTGTTGCGCCTGAGGGCCGTGACCGAAGAGGCCGTGAGCTGTGGCGGCGTGCTGTTGGCGGTGTCATTGGACATCGCCAACGCATTCAATAGTCTGCCATTCAGCTGCATCAGGGAAGCACTCCACTATCATGGGGTGCCAAAGTACCTGAGGCGGCTAGTGGCAGACTATTTAGAGGAGCGTACCGTCGTGTACGAGGACCGAGAAGGTAATCTGAGGTGTCGGCCCATGTCGTGCGGTGTTCCACAGGGGTCTGTTCTTGGACCCCTCTTGTGGAACATAGGGTACGACTGGGCCCTTCGCGCCGATTTCCCCCCCGGGCTGGGTGTAATCTGTTACGCAGACGATACCCTCGTGACAGCCCGGGGGGCAAACTTCCAAGAGGCGGCGCGCCTGGCCACAGGGGGAGTCTCCCTGGTGGTCGGGCGCATTGAGGCGCTGGGCCTACGGGTGGCCCTAGATAAGACGGAGGCCCTGTTATTCCATGGGCCCCGTCGTGGTCCACCCCCTGGCGCCTCAATCGTGGTCAACTCGGTCCTCGTACCGGTTCGGGCCCAGATGAAATATCTGGGCCTGATCCTCGACGGGAGGTGGCTCTTCGACGAGCACTTCCGACAGCTTGCTCCAAAGCTGGTCGGCGCTGCGTCTGCCCTAGGGCGACTTTTGCCCAATATGGGTGGACCCAGCGTCGCGACAAGACGGCTGTACACGGGGGTTGTCCGGTCAATGGCACTGTACGGTGCACCGGTGTGGGCGGCGGCTCTGACCGCCCAGAATAGGGTACGCCTCTGGCGCCCTCAGAGGGTAATGGCGGTCAGAGCCATACGCGGTTACCGCACCGTTTCGACGGAGGTGGCATGCGCATTGGCCGGAACTCCCCCGTGGGATTTGGAGGCGGAAGTGCTCGCCGAAGTTTATCGGCGAGTGGCTGACTTCCGGGCGGAGAGCGGATTTCGCCCTCCGCCCGAGGATGTGCGCGAGTGGCGCGAAGCCGCTCGCCGAGCCACGATGGCTCGTTGGTCGTTCCGGCTGGAGACTCCACGCGCTGGCTTCGCCGCCGTGGAGGCTCTCCAGCCGGTCATCGCCGAGTGGGCAGGGCGGCAGCACGGGACCCTTTCCTTCCGACTGACGCAGGTGCTTTCCGGGCACGGTTGCTTCGGAAAGTACCTGCACACGGTCGCTAGGAGGGAACTGAGTCCCGCCTGCCACCACTGCGACTGCAGTGAGGACTCGGCCCAGCACACGCTGGCGGTCTGCCCCGCATGGGCGGCGCAGCGCCGGGCCCTCACTGCAGTCATCGGAGTGGATCTCTCGCTACCGGCCGTAGTACGCTCCATGGCCGGTAGCGACAGTTGTTTTACCGCGGTCGCAACCTTCTGCGAGGTAGTAATCTCGCGGAAGGAGGCGGCGGAGAGGGCCCGGGAGGACGACCTCCACTCGGACCCGATCCGCCGCCGGCGAAGCGGGCGGCGGAGGCCCGCCTACCACAGCCTCATGCCGCCCTGAGTGTGGCCGCGGGTGGACGGGGTGGGTTTCCCCTCCACCCGCATTAGTTGGCCAGCCGCGAGGGGGCGGCGTCCGCGTGTGCCGGACATCGCCTAAAGAGAGGAACATCTACATCGAGACGGAGCCCGCACCAGGAGCGGGCTGGCGCTAGGAGGGGTCCGGATGTCTTAACAACAGCTGTTCCCGGATCCCTCCTGTTACAGGCGCAGAGTGGCACACCGTGTGGTTTTAGTCGGTCCGAGTCCGACACACCACCCCGCCGCAAACCCCGGAGGGGTGACGGTCCGAGGGGATTTCCACACGTTAAAAAAAAAAAAAAAAAAAGGGTTTGTGTCAAGCTTTCCTTCTCTTTGCAGTGTTGTTGTAATTTGCATTTTTTGTAACAGAAACAAAAAACTCACTCACGATCAACTTTCTCGGCACCCACACCGCGACTGATATGGATTTGTTTCTACTCTAGAGGGCACACATTTTTTTTATAAAAGACAACGCCCGCACTAGGAATATATTCTTTACAAACGAAGACCGAACAACAATTTGTGGATCACAAAAAGTGTCGGGGGTTCCATGTGGGGATCGGACCCACAACACTCAGCGCAGTAGTAAGCGGCGAGGTGACTGCTTAAACCACTACGCCATCCATGCAGTCTTAAGTTATTTACAATAACGCTTTGCCTACACAACACGTTTAGTTCCTTTGTAATTAAAATCTCCGTTTACGGTTTTTGAGCTTTACAGATTACAATAAGTGGCTTAAATGTGATTGTCTATTGTTACAGGTCCTACGCATATTATATCGAAGTGTCAGTTGACCAAAAGGACTGGGTGCGTGTGATCGAACACAGCGACTACTTCTGTCGGTCCTGGCAGAACCTCTACTTCGAGTCCAGGGTCGTCCAGTACATCAAACTCGTCGGCACTAGTAATACTGTTAATAAGGTGAGTGAATATTGCAACAGTTGGGGCCTCTTGAGATAACTATTGTAATGATTCCTAATTCTTAGATACAGGGTCTACCAATAGGGATGACCTGGTTTTGACAGCTCATAGCGGCCATATTTGATGATGGATCTTTGACGTCTCTTGACATTTGTGTTCAGTAAGGTTTGTGTGTGTGTTGTGTTTATCATGTCACGTTTCACTTTAAACCAACGCTTGGAAATTGTCCAAAATTATTACGCAAATTCGCGTTCTCCTACCGCTACAGTAAGAGCGCTTCGCGCAAAAAACGGTCGTAATAGTGCTCCTTCTGTGCGCGCTATAAATCGCGTAAGAACAAAATTTGAAAGTGAATTCACTCTCCACGATACTGCTGTGCCTGTGAGACAAAGAAATGCCCGTAGTGAAGAGAATATCGCAGCCGTTCAGGCCAGTGTTGATGCGAATTCAAATCGATCAGTTCAACGCCTTTCACAAGAGTTGGGGCTCTTTCCAATGACCGCCTGGCGTATTTTGCGGTTGGATTTGGGCCTACACCCATACAAAATTGTTTTGGCACAAGAATTGAAGCCATCCGACCATTGTATGCGTCGTGAATTTGCCGATTATGCTGGAAATGATGGAAGCCGATGACGATTTTCATCGTAAAATCATCTTCTCAGATGAGGCCCATGTCTGGCTTATTAAACAAAATTGTCGCTATTGGAGTGAGTCAAATCCACGTGTGGTTCATGAATCACCATTGCATCCGCAAAAAATAACAGTTTGGTGCGGTTTATGGTACGGTGGAATCATTGGTCCGTACTTCTTTGAAAGTGACGAAGGAAACCCTGTTACTGTGAATGGCGAGCGCTATAACTCGATGTTAACCTAATATTTCTTTCCGGAATTTGATGATATTGATGCAGACGACCTTTATTTTCTACAAGCCGGTGCCAGCCTCACATTACTCGAACATGGAATTATTGCGTAGAAAGTTTGGTGTGTCGTTCATTTCGAGAAATGGACCGATCAGTTGGCCACCAAGATCGTGTGATTTAACACCTTTAGACTTTTTTCTTTGGGGTTACGTTAAATCAAAAGTGTATAGCAATAATCCAGCTACAATTCGTGACCTAAAAACCAACATTCGACGAGCCATAGCCGACATACCGGCCGAAATGGTGCACCGCGTCATCGAAAATTGGCGTGAGCGGGTGACCGTCTGCAAAAAGAGCCGCGGCGGTCATTTGGACGATATATTATTAAAAACATAAATTGCATAAAATTATCTATCAAATAAATCAATCGGATGCATTTTACATAAAAAATTGTGTGTTTTATTCAATTTTTAAACCAGGACGTTCTTATTGGTAGACCCCATATATTCTAAATGTGCGTAATCTAAACTCTCACATCGCTACATCCGTGTCCCCTAAGGGGTAGAAAGTACCCACATGTCAATTATAATTTGTTATTACTCATGTAATTTTGCATATTGGGAAGTAAGGAAAATTGAAAATAGACTGTAAAGATAGGAAAATTAAAAATACTAAATACTCCATATTAAAAGGAAGGCAATGAAAGAAAATAATATTATAGAAATAATTATATTTAATATTATTATGGAAGAAGATATTGCTTAAACATTATCTCATAAACGGAATATTTGTAATTTTGCGATAAGGGTCAAGACACAATAATTAAGAACCGTTTTCCCCTATGTTTATCTTTTCTTTTGAATAGTACCTATAAATGAGTTTAAAAATATTGAAAAAAATAAGTTTTTTGATGTGTCATATGTTTTCTTTCGCCTTTTTGAAATGTGTGGGATCATTTTTCTGAAAAAAAGATGGAAATTACACTCTCCTCTCAGGCCATCGGTTCTGCCTCATAATTCGACCAATGAGCATTGGTCGCGGTATTGGTAGACTTCAGATGTTACATATCATGTGCGAATGTTGTACTATCGATCGATTGTTTTTTTTTTACGAAAATAGATAATGAGTGTCCATCCATTGCTGAATGTTTTTTTTTTATTTCCACATTTTATACACGACAATCTAAACAAATTAGACTAGATGGTGAACGGACTGCTGATACACATAATTATATAATAGGTCTTTACCTATGAAATTGCCGTTTTGTATGCAATAAGTGAAAGTATTTTATTTCTGTTATTCGAAGTAATCACCCATGCAATCGACGCATCTTTGCCAACGCATTGGCAGTTTATTGATGCCTTTCTTTTAAAAATCAGCTGGACGGGAGGCAACAAACTCTTCAAAGGCATTTTGTACTGCCTCTCGGGAATTGAATTTTTTGCCCACTAAAAAGTTGTCTAAATTTTGGAAAAAGTAATAGTCGGTAGGTGCAAGGTCTGGTGGTCACATCTGCAACCAGCTTTGGTCAATCGGTCGTCCCCACTGCTCCTTCACGACAACGCGCGACCTCATTCTGCGCAACAGACAGTCTCCAAGCTGCAAGAGCTGGGGTTGGAAGCTCTCCCTCATCCGCCATACTCACCAGACCTTGCACCTACCGACTATTACTTAATACATGCATTACATGCATAATATTTCTAAATACATACATGTTATAGATAAATTACCACCAGGGTCAGAACAAATCAAATCGAACCCACGACATTAAGCTTAGCAGTCAGGGTCAGTAACTCAATTATAAGGTGCGCGTGCGCAGGTGTTCCACGCGGTGGCGCTGGAGGCGCTGCACACGGCGCGCGTGCCGCCGCTGCGCAACGGCCTCATCGAGCCCGTGCACAACGTCGCCACGCTCGACCTCTCCGCCGTCGTCATCGAGGGCATCTGGTACGCACTCGCCTCCTCGCCCCCTCGCCCCCTTACGTACATGTGCTTAGCATATTCTAAATTTAAAAGCCATTTAACTATCTACATAGATACACTTATACACCCCCCACCGCCCCGCCTACTGCCTGCAGGCCTCTGACACGACGTAAAATTAAGAAGTTTTGTAGATAATTAGTCAAATAATTACTTAATCCATTCCATTCACATGAGTTTCTTATTAATATTTTGCTAGAATACGGAGTATCATCACCCCTATTCAGCCCGTCGGTGCCGTAGGAGCCGACTTAAGGAAAAAACTACGCAGCACAAAAGCGCTGCAGAGAGAAGGAAAACTTGACACAAACCCTGTACCAACCCGTTTGGCCAGCGTGGTATAGTAGGCCAAAACCTCCTTTCTAAGAAGAGGCCTATACCCAGCAGTAGACTGTTAAAGGCTGTTGATGTGATAGCAGTATTAAGACAATAAGATTAATTAAATGATTTTTATTCCTGTAAACTAAACAAGAAATATCGTGTCCCCCAGTCGGTCCCGCAACGCTCTCCTGAACGGCGACACGAGCCACTACGACTGGGACCAGGGCTACACGTGCCACCAGCTCGGCTCGGGCGCCATCGTGGTGCAGCTGGCGCAGCCCTACTTGCTCGGCTCCATCCGCATGCTGCTGTGGGACTGCGACTACCGCCACTACTCCTACTACGTAGAAACCTCGCTCAACTACTGGGATTGGGAGATGGTCTGCGACAGGACTAGGGAGGCTTGCAGGTAATCATAGCCGCCATAGACACTTTAATATACCCTTACCGACTGATTCATCAATACCAAGCCTAAATCGCTGGATTAATTAATAATTGAAATTTTACCATGTAATGCTTTTTATGTTGTAAGCACCCACTGAGCAAGAATTTTCAGAAATTTCAGTCCTAAGGTAGTAAAATGAGGGATAAACGGTTGAACGGAATATGGAAGTTTGTCATTACCGAAGTTGGAAACACGAAATAATTAATAATCATGCGAGCTAAATGATTAATAGCCGCTGGGAATAGCTCAAGGATATAATAATCTCACACAGCCCACAGTTGAGTGTTGGTTCGATCCACAATGGTGTGATTCACAAAGTGTTGTTCTAGAGTCTGGGTGTGCTTTGTGTCCGTTTCATGTATGTTTGTAAAGACCCCCGCGACACAGGATACATTCCTAATGCGGGAGTTGTCTTTAATAAAAAAAAAACACATTTCTAAATACATATATACTTTATTTATGAAGAAATGTATGTATGAAAATGACATTTAGTCTGATGTAGGTCATGGCAGGTGATCTACTTCAAGCCTCGGCCGGTTTCCATCATCCGCATCGTTGGCACAAACAACTCTGTTAATGAGGTGATTATTTTTAATAATGTAATTTATAAAATAAAATAAGTAAATAAGTTTAATAATAATAAGGTAATATAAGGATAAAAGGTGAAAAAAAATTGCGTTGAATCACCAGCAATGGACTTCCTAGGACTGAAAGTGGGAGGTGGATTATAATAATTCAACAAACTTGTTTGCAGGTATTCCATTTAGTGCACCTGGAGTGTCCTGCACAGGTGGAGGAGCCACGGGAGGACCCTGCTGCCAAAAAACAGCGACCCTCAATTGAGAACCGACTCAACCCTAGCGGTAAGTTGCCTACTCTACGAACGAAACCGCCATTAATCAATTCTGGTCCACAAATTGTTGTCCTGAGTCTGGGTGTTCTTTGTGCGTGTTTCATATATGTTTGTAAACTCTCTCTCTCGTTTGTCTTTAAAAAAAAACGCAGTCCGCAATTTAGATACGAACAAGGAAACATTGACGTTATATTGAATTGAATTGAAGATGATTTGATGAAAACATTTTTGTAATATTGACTTACTTTATACAATTTATTATTATTAGTATTTATAAGAGAAGAATCCTCAAAAGATTGATTTCAAAATCTTTCGGATAGAACACTTTTTAAATGACAAGGGTCTATCGATGAATTAACAACGCCATTTTTAAATTGTCAGGTTCTAGTTCGACGGATAGTTCCGGATGCGCTCCATCCCCTCCAGCGTTGGAGGGAGCTTCTGCCCCGCCCAGTCCTGGACCTGGAGCCGGAGCCGCTCCCGTCCCCGGCCCTAGTCCCGGTCCGGCCGCACCCGAAATGCTACCCGCCGAGACCGCTACTGAAGCCGAGGAGCGGTACGACGCTTGAAGGGGTACATACACCTTATAATTGTATAACTTGGTACTAATTCATATAAAATGTCTAAAATAATATTAAAATCAACTTTTATAAATGGTTACTACAGGCATGTCTTGGATATCTCGTAGTACTAGGATAATAATGGAATAAAAATGTGTTTCTATCGATTCGAAAGTAATTTGACATATCGCTAACAACCATTTTGTTACTATAATGCTTTCATAGTTTGATTGTATTGAAAACATTACTCGATATTTAATTGATAATCGATATCTAACGATAGACCACTGCTCTTCGCTTTATCTGTGTTTTTTTTTTAAATTTAGAATACAACACCTATCATTGAAACCTTTCATCATATTTGTTAATTATAAAGTGTAACAAATTTGAAAACCTCAAAAAAAAATCTTTCTTCTCATATACATGTAAAAAAATATGTCAATGTACCAAGTTATATATACCTTTTATAAGTATACACCATAATCAATGGGTCTTCTTCGTATCTATAATGTGTACCATTATCGTATCATGTTGTGTCTTTAAGTGTGAATGTATCGCACTTATGCTTAAAAGGTAAACCGCACATCAATTTTTATATAACGCATGATGTGAACGCACTTACGTGCGGCCAGCCGTCTACCGTCACGGTTGGTCTTACATATTTGATGTCTATAGAAAAACGCAATCGATTTTATTGTAGTAAAAGTTTTTTACTTTATAATTAAGCATTTCTACCCTAGGAATATGAATTTCAATTTCTGTCTGTTTACGAAAAAACAATGCAATTTTCAGCTCAATAAAATCAATTGCTAAACATATTTTTACTATCCAAACCGAAATTAACAACATTTGTGTTATTTTTAAGTGGATATTATACAAAGCCATTTAAGAATAGTAATAAGTTATGTTTAAAAATGCCAAGTAGAGTCACCACCTAACTGCTAAAGAATTATCTTGTCTTTTCATTATCATACTAATATATGTTTTAAAAAAATATGGGACTATTTTTGACAAGCATGTGCCATCTCCTCGGAGATAGCACCTTCTCGTCGAAAACGAGGGTCTCATAATTGTTTCTGTACCACGTATCTACTAAAAAAGAACAAACTTACTTTTTAAATTATTTCTACAACGATTAGTTATTTTAATTTATAAGCTCTACAGTGTATAAAATATTTGAACGAATTATTGATACGATTTGTAATTGTAAAACCATTTTAGTGTTATTATTATTAAGTTGATGTAACAATTCAGGCTTCAATCCTTTGTGTGTATTTAAACTAAATATATATACACAGAGGAAGGTGGCACAGCTCTGTACCAAGCAACATACAATCACAGCCAATTATATACAAGGCGTAAGGGACATCCTACCGAATACTGAAATAGTGTATTCAGACCATCATTCTGAGTCGAAAATCAATTGATTTTTTTTTTCATTTTACTGGTTAAAAATGAGCCAAAAAGCCGAAGGGCGCGGGGTCTCCCCTCTGGCCGCCATTTTGTGTTAGTGTGCGTAGACTGTTTGCACATAATACACATGTAGTTATTACTTTTGTGCGATACCTACGGGGACCTTAATGACCTTAACCTTTGTCAGCTGATTGCATAAAATGTTTAATTTTTCGGCAGAAAATTCCAATTTTTTTTCGACTCAGAATGATGGTCTGAATACACTATTTCAGTATTCGTTACGACGTCCATTACACCCTGTATATAGATAGTACTTTTTACTTTAATGTCCTACCAAAAACGACCTACCTATATCTATATCAGGTGTTAGGGTTTGTTGATTTGGAATAATAAACCTTCTTCTGACGACTAAAGAGACTTTATTACTAACACACTTAAAAACGTTTAAACAATACTCAATAATAGTCCGGAATTATTGCAGAGGTCGCTCGGTTACACTTTTATTCGCTTCGATGTTTATCGCACATTGCTTGAACTGAACTGTCCCGTGCCCGTATTAATAATACTCGTCTAGAAAGACCCCAGACGTCTAGTAAGCTCTTTCCAACTTATTCTAATCCCTAGTTAAACAATTTCTGATAAATGCAAATTTATTTCAAATGTAAACAAGAAAATCTATTTTCTATCTTATGTATAACAGTATAGAACTCATTGTTCCGTGCCACTCTGCATTATTATTGGAACTCTGGAATTGCGCAGTTAAATGAATTGTCGTTTTCTTTCTAGAGCCTTCATGATATCTCGTGACAGTATTATTTGAATAAGCGCAGGTTAGGACTAATCCACACTATAGGTGTGAAACTACAAGTATGCGGCTTCGTAGATAGGGCTGACTAACTCAGTAGACATTACTTCAGGCGATCAGATTGCTTAATAAGAAATAAATAATAGGAAAACCAGAGAGAGGCCATGCTTCTGATACTGAATTCTGATACACACACACACACACACACAGGGACATACACACACACACAGGGAACTACACATACACACAACACACAAAGGGTGGTAACGCGCTTGTGTGTTTTAGTTGCAAGTGGCCATAGGTGACGGTACTCACTTGCCATCAGGTGACATGTCAGTTTGATTTGACAGTTTACCAATAGCAACTTTGTATGAAAGTCAACCATGTGTATGGTGAATAACAGATTAGTGTAGGTCGTTTTAGGTTAATTCTTAGACTTGTATTTATTTTTTATACGAACCATGAATTGTAATTAATTAAGGACACTTTTTTTTTTCTTTTTTTTTTTTTTAAAAGCCAACTCCCGCATTAGTAATATATCCTGTGTCGCGGGGGACTTTACAACGGGGGACACAAAACACCCAGACTCAGAACAACAATTTGTGAATCACACAAAGTGGTGTCCCATGTGGGGATCGAACCCACAACACTCAGCGCTGTAGGAAGCGGCGTGACGACCGCTTAAACCACTACGCCATCCGTGCAGTCAACATTGTATCTGTTCACAAACGACCTGGTTAGTTATTTAGTATTTAAGCTAATATTTCTAGTCTGTTCTCTGTCTATGTATCAGATAGTAAAGTAGATGCTAAAAGAATAATCTGTAAACTATTGCCATTTTGTGTACCTTGAAGTAATTTTTTTATTAAAGTGTATGCGCGACAAAATATTTTGAATCAATAATTTTGTTTTCCGCACATATGTGACAATGGCGTAATATACCATACCAATCAGTCCTTTCTACTTTATATGCATCTGCTTTGCTATTTCTTATGTAAGTACGTAGTAATTTTATTTTTGTCATACATAGTTTTACTTTATGTCCTCATAAACACGTTCTAATGTACCACTGATAAGTAACCTATAGTTTATATTCAATTAAAATTGTTCGTGTGGTGACGGATTAAGAATACGCATTGTTACCACCCCCAATCATACCGTGCAAACTACGCAGAACAACATCACAACATCAGAAAAGGAAAACTTGACACAAACCCTATACCAATCCGTCTGGCCAGCGTGGTATAGTAAGCCAAAAACTCAGGCCTATGTCCAGCAGTGGACTGTTAAAGGCTGTTGATGGTGATGATGAAAATTGTTTTAACTATCAACATTTTTACTATATAGATTACATAATGTTATTCTAACTTGCTAATTAATACATACTATATTTCTCAATGAAAATGTACTTTGGGCTGTTGTTCTGCATTGTCATGAGCTCCACTGGCTAAGGTCTGGTTCGTACTATTTTATAATAATGAAACTGCAGCTCGCAAGGTCTAACTACACAGAAATTACCCCTTGAGTTCAAAACTTGAACCGCACCAGCATGGAACGATTAAAATGTGAAATATTTATCTTAACGTTCATATAAACGAGGTAATTTGATTCTTGGTGTATCTCATATTAAGATCGTTATATAAATTCATAATTTCCATTGGGGAAAACAAAATGATGAGACTTTTGCTTTGCTTTTTTGGTAAATATCGTCCCATAGTCGGTACGAAATATAAATTTGGCTGAATACTTACAATTATATTAATGTTTTTTTCGCTACTTTTAGCTCCTGGGTAAAGTAAAATTAATATTGTATAACCTAGAACCATCAATCGTGGTGTGATTTTGTAATTTCTTCATAAAATATTTTTAACATCTTAAAATTTGATGACTTTACATGTGTCATGTATAAATAGTAACGTCTTTGAGTCTGGTCCATTCCTTTAGAGGGTTATACAATGTATTAATACTGCATTCAGAAAAGAAGTTTGCACCCATTTAATACCCACCAGCATAATTGCTTTTACATAAATAAATATTTTGATAAATTCTATCATTTTGGCAATTGTAACTAATTTGAATTGTATTACTAATAAATTATAACAAGGTACTCTAGCCAGTTATTATGTATAAGTACTCTTATATCTGATGGCCTAGTGCTAGTTTATTTCACATCGCTCCTTTAATAATAAACTGAATTAATTCAAAATTTACGTTTTTCGAGTTTTCAACAAATACCAAATCAACTTCATCAGTAGAACACGAACAATCCAACAGCCGACTCGATACCATGAAAATGGCAGAGATAAGAGATCGTCGTTCTCTTTTTGACGAACTCGCACGTACATGAATGTCAAACTTTAAATGCGGTTTCCCACAATATTGAAATTGTAAGTTAATTCAGTTTATGAATAAAGGTGCGACATAGACTCGCTCTCGACGGCGAGCGCGTTCTGTGTTGCGATTGGTTACGATTTCAGTGCGGTCCAATAGTAGCGTCGAACGCGGTCACTGTGACGATCGAGTGGATGTGTAATAAACTCACACTTGGGGCCTCTGGAAGGCACAGTGAGATTAATAACATTTATAGTAAGCACAGGTAATAGAAACATTGATTTTAACCTTAGGGAACGCCTCCTTACCTGACCCGTTCAGGGGGTCGTTTGACCCTGTCAAAGTTGAGCCTAATTCTTTTATATGACTTTCCGTTCGTAAAAAAATAATTTGTGAATTATTACGTGAAAAGTAGGTTTAAAATTGTAAAAAAAGGGTCACATAGTTTGGGTAAGTTCCATTAAAGTAGTTCCCTGTTAGGGTATTAGTAGAACCTTTTATTGTATCACTGATATTCATATATTTCTATACTTAAACATTCAGTGTATTTAATTAAAATGTTACTTGATAGATACATAAGCGACAGTAGTGATTGCATTGTATTGTGTATTTTATAGATCATATCATTTAAGTGCATAATGGCAAATTTCCAGAATTAAAAACTTTTCCATAATACCTAAACTAAATGCTTTTAATGGGAAATAATATTAATTTTTTATTATATAATTCTTTGTTTATTCTGGGAACTTGTCATATTGTACGGCAACTTTTAATATTATTATCAAGTGTTATATGGTTGGATACTGTATGTCGCCGTCAACAAAGTATGAATGTCTATGAAACTCAATACACATAATCTATGGAAAAGTTGGTAAAATTGTATTTATATAAATGGGTAACACCTCTTGTTTTATGTCTAACACATGGCCTCCTTCCTATTTACTGTGCTTATAATCACACAGTACAGTTTATATTCAAATAGGTTTGTTTAATTTAAAAAAAAAACTTGTCTCGGACAGTAGTTGTTCTTGTTATTGAAATTGTTTAACTTGAGAAAAGCTTAGGTTGTTACTTAAACTTTATGTAAAGCGTCTGTCCGAAATACGGCTAACGCTGTAGGTTAGAGTGAGAGGAGGAGCCTGTCTACCGCTGCCGTTTGCGTGAGAGAAAGGGAAGCCAGACAGACTGGCGCCGTAACGCATTACGTAACGAAGCGGTTTACCCTCCCATAAGAAGTTACCACTTTAAAATCACTTATTTCTGAATATTTTTTCATGTTTCCATTTTTCTATAGATTATTGTTAGAAGCTGGTTGTCTTAATACACGATGTTCATATTTAGAAGACGGCTGACTATTTAATCACTGTGATAAAGGGAACCGATTGGTTTGAGAAATTAAAATGTAGGATAAGTTTGACACGCAAGTGAGTGTAATCAATCTTTTTATTTAGTAAGTAAGGCAGAGAACATTATTGGAGCTTTTAATATGTTTTAATAAAACCTTTCAAATGTATTTGTATTTTATTGGATCCTTTTGTTTTCCAAAATGCTATGATAGCAATAAATACAGTTATAATTGTTGCATTTAGATATTGTCGAATTTCAACTAACTTGTGTGATATTGTTGTAAAAATAACATGATGAATAATTATTTATTTACACAATAAATTATGTAACGTTGGGTCCCTTTTCACTTATACCATCTCTGCTTTGTCTAAACAGTTCACTGGGATGCACAATATTAGGATCATTTTCATCAGCATATTGATCTAATCTTTTCCTCAATAAATTCTTTAGTTCATCTACTAATTTGTTTTTTTTTTACTGCCACATTCCCACAACGCCATCAAGGCCCAAACTAAGCAGAGCTAAGATATAAATACTTATATACTTTTTTTTTGTAAATAAAAATAATATATAGATATACCCAGACCAAAGCAAACATTAAATGTTCATGCACACAAATGTTTGACTTGAGGGGGATTCGAACTTGATTCGAAATTTAAAAAATATCATTAGCACCCGCCAGGTCCATTTTATTTACAGCCAGGATTGCAGGTTTTTGTAGTACATCATGCGTAATCATGTATGGTAATCATGCCATCATTCGTACACCACACCATTATAGCGGATAGATTGGATAATCTTTTTGATATTCCCAGAAGGCACGGAGAAAATTCGAATGAGTCGATATTGGGACTGGTATACTAATAAGATTTTCGGACATCTTACACACAACGCCATCTAGTTTCAAACCAAGCAGAGCTCATTTCAGAGAGAGAACAAACATTTGGTCCGACCCGGGCATCGAACCCGAGACCTCAGCACAGCAGTCGCACACGCTACCACTACACCACCGAGTTTGTGTTAACGCCCTCAACACAAACCTCGAGGAAATATTGGAAGAAGAGGAGGACGTTAGAATTTTATAGGGTACGGTAAGCGACGCCAAAACCTCTGTTGTCCAAACGGTCATTGCGGATAAGGACAAAGCCAGTGAGTGGGTAGGTGAGGTTTGAGCCAAGTCTCCAAAATCAAGATGGCATGAACGTCATTGTCTGAAAAAGCTCAGTTAAATCCTTAAAGTGACTAGGGATACTCTGTGCGTTTATATGGCAAACATTTAAGAGAGGACGAGATGGAGTAGAAAATGTTTGCCGTAACTCTGGGTGACCACCAAGAGTCTTTGTCAAGGAAGCATACAGTTCGATCCAAAAGAGAAGAAATTAAATGAGGTCGCCACCGTCGCTCATGTGGCAACCCAGCTAGAATGACTCAAATCATTTTTATACTTGATTTTATTATTTATTAACTTATTTTTTGATTTTTAATACTTATCGATCTCCTAAATTTTGTTATCAACTCATTGGCATTCTGCTGCCAAATAGTAGTATGCATGCAATACATTCAGTTTGAAAAGCAATGTTGTCAGAGACTGTTCTGGACTTAAGGCATTTAAAAGTTTTTATTATTTATGGGATGACGAATTAACGGGCACGCCATCATCGCGGTGGTAAGACCCGTTATTGAGGATTATCTCGAGAGGCATCACGGGATCCTCTCATACCGATTGACGCAGGTGACCACTGGGAAAGGTCGCAGAAAAACCTCCGTCCTGTCGTGCTCTTTCGGGAGTACACAAGGAACATGGGGGTTCCCACACAGGAGGGGTAGATTGAGACCGAACTTTTATTACGAGAATTGGCCTTCTGACAGACACGCTATTAATAAAATTGTACTACAGAGAAGCAACATTCAGAACGCACCCAAAACTGGATAACGAAAATAGATAAAACACCATAAATCTAAGAATGACGAACGAATACACTGTTTTGACAGATACCTATCACCGAAACTGTATTTGTCACAAATAAATCTTCGATTAAATTATGTTCGAAGGTACGTGCATTGTAAACATTGAATGTACTATAAGTGTTTATAATATGTTGTGTATTGAACTGTTAAAACTTATTGGTTTGACGCAACGCAAACGCAATACTGTAAAGTCAACGTCAACTGTCTCTATGACGTTATATTTGTTTCTCTACGTTAGCTGCTACGTTCTATTCTATTGTTCGTTACTTTCTGGCTGTGTAAATACATTGTCACTTAATATAACAACGCTGAATGCATAGAACGACAGTTTCATAACAAAAAACCGAACCACAGTTGATGTAGGCGTTAGTCACACATATTTACGCTCGGTGACACGCACACTAGCGTATAAATAATGTTGCTATCGGAATCAGATTTGCACCAAAAGTAGGGAAATTGGAACAGCTTCTTTTAAGGTCATTAGAGGTCTGCACTTACAAAAAGCATTTCTTTTTTAATTTTATGGGTAAAATTTGAAATGAGTTATATATGTATATACACAACTAGCTGACCAGCGCGGCTTCGCTCGCGTGAAGTTTGTGCAAAACCTAACAGTATAGATGGCGCCACCTATTTTCCACATAGACCTAACCCCTCCCTCCTGGACCTCGGCAACGCCCACTCTATAGAGAAGAGAACATCGCGGCGCGCGCAAACGGTTCATGTATAGCATTTTTATACTCATTACTTCGTAATGAAATGTTCATAATTAAATGATATCTGCTTAACGGATTGAACAATTTTAATGACGAAAAATTATCTACTTGAAATTATCTCGATGATGAAATACTTTAATTTCATAAGGATTCATATAATCACACAGAATAATTTTAAAAATATAAAAACGCTTTTTATAGCTTAGCTGTTACAAATAGATATAACCCTCGCGATTTTTTTGTAGATCTTTTTTAGTCCTACAGTTTATTAGCACATTATTTCGTCTTATCTTTAACCATTTAAGCAGCGCTCACGTAGAAAGGAAGTTTTTGAGACGATTTTTTACACCTTGGTTAACATAACCTGTTTTTTTTGCACATGTATATATATTGAAAAGACATTATGACAATTTTTATGTTGTTATTACATATCATAACTTCAAAACAAATTGACCGATTTGAACAATTCACAAACTAATTTGCATCTAAATATATAGTCTAAACGTCCGTGTGGTAACACGGATTAAGAATACAGAGCGTCACCACCCCTATCATCCCATGGGTGTCGTGTGGAACAACAACAAACTACGCAGGACAGCAGCACTGCAGAGAGAAGGAAAACTTGAAATAAATCCTATACCAACCCGTTTGGCTAGCGTGGTATAGTAGGCCAAAATGTCCTTCCTAAGGAGAGGCCTATGTCCAGCAGTAGCCTAGTAAAGGCTGTTGATGATATAGCCTAAAGTACTATGTGTTTCTTTAGATAAGAATTTATATCATGATACAGATAGAATCACTTTTTGTTTTGATCCATATTTTAGTTAACTAATTTCAACAAAAAAATATTATACTTCCTCGCTGACTTTTTGTGCGCATTGATGAGTACGTTCAAAATGTACCGCTTTTTTTATATAAAAGAAGTTTCAGTAAGAGTGCCCTTTTTCATTTTAAATATAAACATGTGTTTTATGAAAGAGTTGTGATATTTTTATTGGACTGTAAAGAAGACGATGTTGTGATTAAGTATGGAATAAAATATCTGACAAATGGCCGACACGGCTCTGTTGACAGGCCATTACTCTTTTCATGAGATTTTCCATGACTTTTACACGGAGATGTAGCTGAATCTCACCGATGACGCGTTGGATCTCTGATTGGAGCTCAGGAATTGTTTCTGGTTTATTCGCATAAACCCGAGATTTCAAAAAACCCCAAAGAAAAATCTTGGTGGCCAATCAGAATTTCGTGAGATAATGTGTTGTCGTTTACAGCAGCAATGTTTTCAAGAGACCGACCGGTACGTTGACGCAAAGGATTCTTAATATCCATAATCGACCCAGTTTCTTAAAAATTTTTGACCACTTTTCGAATGGTTGACACATTAGGTGCACTTTCTCGACTGAAAATTTGGCGCCAAATTTAATTTATTTATTAACTTCGCCATTTTTGTTTTCACCATTATAACGCGTTGTTCTTTCGAAAAGCGCTCCATTTTTATTAATCGGAATAAACACAGGTGACAGCTGTCAAATTACAGAGTTGCTACTTGCACAAAAAAAATGATTCTAAATTTAAAAAGTGCACTCTTACTGAGACAACCTTTATAACCAATAGTATTTGCTGCTCACGCGAAGAAATATTTTGTGCATTTTTTATACCTGGCTTCAAACTTTCGTTTTTGTTTTATTTTAAATTTTAAGGTAGGTATAAATGATTGAGTATTGAATTATTTACAAACTGCAAGGGTATCTGACATTTTGAATACGAGTACATAATATTTAATTGATATACCAATTAGACACAACAATAGAAATTAACATGAAAATTGATTCTTACAAAACCAAAGTATCGGTTCTCTATGTAAGTAGCGCTTTATCTATGATGGAACGAATTATTCGTGTCTGAACTGTTTACAAATAGCTGTCTCTTTCACTCTTACGCTTTAAACCACAATGCCAGAAGAGAACGTGGCGACACCAGCGCGCGGTGCACGCGTGATCTCGGGGGACATGGCGGTGCTTTACGGTGACACGAAGAACTACGACATAGAACGCGGCTACACGCGCCACACCATCACCGACCCGTCCGACAACCCCGGCATCATCGTGCGGCTCGCCACCCCCACCATCATCAACCACGTGCGCCTGCTGCTCTGGGACCGGGACAACAGGTACCAAGACTAACGATATACCTGTCCACTACTACCAAATACCTCTCTTTTTTATGGCATAGGAGGCAAACGAGCAGACGGTCATCTAATGGTAAGTGACTACCGGCGCCTATGGACACTTGCAAATCAAGAGTCATCTCGAGGTCCTCACACCGCCCCGTAGGAGATGTGTGGATGCTGTATCGGGGCGGTATCTACCGCTACTCCTGGATAGCTGTAGGTCATGGGCTGTTTGAGCTTCGTTTTTGTGGTTTGAAGGGTAGCTTCAGTCTTCACGCCGCCCCGGCAGTTAAGCCCGAGCCAGGTGAGACCCCAGGCGGCACCTGGGAAGGCCCAGCTCCGAGCGACCAGTGACAAAGTCAAGAGTCACGAGTGCGTTGCCAACTTTTTGGCTCCCCACTAATCCATACTAATTTTATAAATGCGAAAATGTGTCTGTCTGTCTGTTACTTCTTCACGCTTAAAGCGCTTAACCGATTTAGATGATACTGACTGATACGAACTATGCATAGAGATAGTTTGAGTCCCAGGAAAGGACATAGGATAGTTTTTATCCCAGAAATCAGTCTTTAAGGGGGGTGGAAGTTTGTATGGGTTATCAGTAACCGTGATGATTGATGATCAGTAACCGCTGAACCGATTCAGATGAAATTTGGTATGGAGATAATTGGATTCTTAACTTTCTTAGTTTATAATATGATTGACTATTATTTTATTGTTTATTATTATAGGTTATGTATAATAGTAATCATAATATTTCGGACATCTGACACACAACGCCATCTAGTTCCGAACTAAGCAGAGCTTGTACTAAGTAAGTTAAGAGTGATAGAATACTTATATACTTTTTTTGTAAATACATACTTAATATACATAGAAAACACAAACTTCCAATTGATTAACCGACCCGGGCATCGAACCCGAGACCTCAGCATAGCAGTGGCATACGCTACCACTGCACCACCGAGGCTGTCTAGCCGAGTATGGGTTTGTCTATTATAACAGGTCCTACGCATATTACATCGAAGTGTCAGTGGACCAAAAGGACTGGGTACGTGTGATCGAACACAGCGACTACTTCTGTCGGTCCTGGCAGAACCTCTACTTCGAGCCCAGGGTCGTCCAGTACATCAAACTCGTTGGCACTAGTAATACTGTTAATAAGGTGAGTGAATATTGCAACAGTTGGGGCCTCTTGAGATAACTATTGTAAATATTCCTTATTCCTAGATATATTCTAAATGTGCGTAATCTAAACTCACACATCCTTACATCCGTATCCCCTAAGAGGTAGTTCAAGTACCCCCATGACAATTATAATTTGTTATCGCTCATGTAATCTATTACTCATAGCTCTCTGGGAGGTAAAGACACTTCTGCAATGTGTCCCACACATTTAAATTAAATGTTAATTAATTAAGACAATTGCCTGAAAAGGGACGGAAATAAGAAACAGGAAGCTGCGTGCCTTTCCGCGCGCGCTTCACCGGCCTCCCTTTCTGTTTCATTAGCCAAACCAAATATGCTCATTTAACATAACAAATGCGACTACTTTACTACTGCGGACTCGTGTTTGTTTTCAAAGAAAGATGGCTGAATGTTAGTTCTTGTTGTAACGTGTGTGTGTGCGCAGGAGTTCCGCGTGGTGTCGCTGGAGGCGCTGCACACGGCGCGCGTGCCGCCGCTGCGCAACGGCCTCATCGAGCCCGTGCACAACGTCGCCACGCTCGACCTCTCCGCCGCCGTCATCGAGGGCATCAGGTACGAGCTGGATGCTTTTGACTTTATGAAAGCTGTTCAACTTTCTAGCTAGCTATATATGTACCAACCTCCCCCCGACCCAATTTAGCATGGATACTTCAAGGCCGGCAACAATCCAATGACTTTAGGACAATCTTCTGATACAGCTTTTTTTTATAAACCTAGTCCGCTCACACGAGTTTCGTGTTAAGATATTTTAAGTCTTTCTTAAGAGTAACCTATACAACAAACATATGTATTACTACTTTTGCTCGCAACTTCACCTATTTTTTTCTATTCCTAAAAAACCTATTCCTAAAAAAAAACCGAGATAAAAAGTAGCACAGCTACGTGACGTTATAGTTTATGTTTGTGCCAAATTTTAACCAGATCCTTTCAGCCGTTCTGGTATGAACAAAAAATTAACAAACATTAATTCAAACTTTCGTAATATATTGTAGAACTAGCTACTTGTAGAATATGAAAAGCGCCGTTTTGAAGATTACCCGATGCAAACAGAAAGACAAAAATATTTAAACTGGTTTTAAGGCATATATTTCGTGCAAATAACCGTGTGAGCATGAAAAAAACTATTGTTTTGACATTTCAAACAGACACTTAAATTTTATTTATTGTATCGATTAAGACAAAGATTAATAGTGTTGATTGGTGTCCGCCAGTCGGTCCCGCAACGCTCTCCTGGATGGTGACACGAGCCACTACGACTGGGAGCAGGGCTTCACGTGCCACCAGATTGGCTCGGGTGCCATCGTGGTGCAGCTGGCGCAGCCCTACTTGCTCGGCTCCATCCGCATGCTGCTGTGGGACTGCGACTATCGCCACTACTCCTACTACGTAGAAACTTCGCTCAACTACCGGGATTGGGAGATGGTCTGCGACAGAACTAGGGAGGCTTGCAGGTATTTATACCTATCTATAACCATAACGAGACACGAATATAAAGGATTTAATAACTTCACGCATCAGTCTGATCCCAAATTATACCTCGTAAAATTTAGCTTGATACGGCAAAAAGATCACAGAGTCTGGTGATACGACATAACTTACTAAATCGATCAATGTTCCATACATTGATCGATTTAGCCGTTAATTTAGCTGTTAATCCATTGCAGATGTTTGTATTAATCTGTAGGCTATATGCCTACAGATTAATACAAACATCTGTTCACATTAAACTAACAATTCATTTTTTTGATGTAAATGAATGAAAACTAAATAAAAAAATATAATTTCTAGCTGAACTAAAAAGTAGAAAATAATTTTCTATAAGTTTAAAAAGAAAAATCATTTTCGTATAGATAGAGGATAATTAGTAATTTAGAATAAAATAGGCTCTACATTTTGTTATCTGTATCTAAATCAGTCATCAGTGTACCGAGTATATCAGGTTGTCCATCATCTGTCGAAATATGTAACAATTATAGTAGGATTGGGTTTAGGAGACCCCTATAAAAATTCGCTATAATCTCAATATTTTTAAAATAAATTTATTAACATATTGTAATAATTACTTAGATTAATCGACTATTATCTTCTTCTTATGATATTTCTATAAAAGTTAACATTTGCCTTGAGCATCTTCCACCCGCCTTTCAGGTTAAGAAAAAAAAGTGAAAAAAAAAGATTAAAGGAAATAAACTTTTTTCTAAATGGAAACTAATACATATGAATGAAATCGATAGTAAGACTCGGAATAATATATAACCTATACTATATCAATCTCATTAGTCAGTCGTATTATAATATATTATTAGTACCTACTATGGGTATACGCTCACTACATCAACACCGGAGCGCCTCGCTAGTGAGTAGACCACGCACGAACGGCGAGTGGACCACTCGGTGACCACCCGTTGCTCACACGTCTATAACGACCGCATAGACAACAATGCTGGATCGAATTATCTAATGGACTCTTTCCATTTGCTTGCGAGCGGTTGTCGAAGACATGGTTTGAGGTGGAACACTGTAGCGCACAATTACTTACGGGTCATGGTAACTGCATTCATTTAAATTATCATCACCATCATCATCAACAGCCTATACTAGTCCACTGCTGGACATAGGCCTCTCCTTGGAAAGGAGGTTTTGGCCTACTATACCACTCTGGCCAGACGGGTTGGTATAGGGTTTGTTTCAAGTTTTCCTTCTCTTTGCAGTGCTGTTGTCCTGCTTAGTTTGCTCCCTTAGTCGGCTCTTACGACACCCACGGGATGAATTGGGGTGGTGACAATTTGTATTCTTAATCCGTCACAATAATGTCAATGCTCAACACCTGGTTCGAACTGTGAACAGTCTGCTCATCATATCCTTTGGCAATGTAGTCTTTTGTACAATGAACGTAATATAATGCTGAATAGCTGACACGTGTTATTGAGTGGTTTCAGGACAATTTATTAACTGTAAATACATCAAAAATAATTTATATAATTATCAGTGAAAAAAACAAAAAAGTAGGGCCTCACCATCCCTTATACAAACTAAACCACTGGATTATATGTGAGATGCCTATCTCATATACAGAGTGTAAGGGACGCCGTAACGAATACTGAAATAGTGTATTCAGACCATCATTCTGAATCAAAAATCATTGGAATTTTCTGCCGGAAAATCAAACTTTTTATGCAGTCAGCTGTCAAAGGTTAAGGCCATTCCCCGTAGGCATCACACAAAAGTAATAACTGTATTTGTATTCCTTGCAAACAGTCTACGTTACACAAGTTGGCGGGCGGAGGGAAGGCCCCGCGCGCTTCGGCTGTTTAATTAATGAAATTGCAGATTTTGACCGTATGCGGTATTTATTAAATTGTTTTCGCTTAGAATGTTATTTACTCATTGTGATATCATTTTTCATTATTTTTAACCAAAAAAAAAACAGAAAACAGAATTTGCCGGTAGAAATACCAATGAATGTTCTGAATACACATTTCAGTATTCTTTACACCCTACGTCCCTTACACACTATATAATACAATGGTTTAGTCTGCGATTATGTTCATCATTTGTATTTTTCAATATAAGTGAATTCTTTGCGTATATAAAAAGGAAAATGAAGCATAGCTACACAACTAGCGGCACATTCATTTCGCTATTAATGAGTTCCAGTTGATCATGCTGCATATACTTATTTATTGCCACCTCCTAGACCTAAAACTCCGACAGTATTTCGACTTCGCTTAGTTGTACATACATTATCAAAAAGTTTTGTATTCTTTGTACTATCAATGGTTCTACCGACACAAGGGCAAGTTTTTGTTTTAAGATAATAAAACAGCGATTTTTCTTTTCTTTTCCTTCACGAATTTTGAGCAAAATGGTTTTTGAAGTGATAACTTCTTATGGGACGGTAAACCGCTTCGTTACGTAACGCGTTACGGCGCCAGTCTGTCTGGCTCCCTTTCTCTCACGCATACGGCAGCGGTAGGCAGGCTCCTCCTCTCTCACTCTAACCCACAGCGCTAGCAGTATTTCGGACAGACGCTTTACATAAAATTTAAGTAATAACCTAAGCTTTTCTCAAGTCAAACAATTTTAATATTAAATAGTTCAACTTAGATTGGTTTAAGTTATCACTTCTGTCGGGCGTTTTTTGTTCTTATATTAAGGAGAAATGTTTAATTATATATTTAATGTAAAACCTATAATCAATTTCTAATGCGTAAGTATTAAAAAAAAGTGCCAGCCATGTCAATGCGCCACCGTGACGATGAATTGTTATAAACCGTGTTATCCCTTCTTTAATTAAAAAGGTCTAACAGTCTTTTGGTCCCTAAGTATGCTATTATTTCTTCAAATTTGAATCAGACCTAACAGCATATATGTACCTACTCCCAAATAAAACGGAATTTTATATATAGTTTTTAAATGAAGAACTTTTTAAAAGCAAAAGAATAGAGATCATACCTATTTTTTCGAACTCGCACAGTGAACGCGAAAATTAAGTATAAAACAACTGTATCAAAGCATTCGGGACTTCATTTTGGTGTTGTAAAAAATACTTTTGCCTTTTTTATGTATTAAATTGCATTTAATCTGATTATAGGTCATGGCAGGTGATCTACTTCAAGCCGCGGCCAGTTTCAATCATCCGCATCGTTGGCACAAACAACTCTGTTAATGAGGTGTTTTTTTTTTTAATTTTTTTTTTTTAGGAATATATTCCTGTGTCGCGGGGGACTTTACAAGCATACATGAAACGGACACAAAGAACACCCAGACTCAGAACAACAATTTGTGGATCACACAAAGTGTCGTCCCATGTGGGGTTTGAACCCACAACACTCGGTGTAGTAGGAAGCGACGTGGCGTCCGCTTAAACCACTACGCCATCCGTGCAGTCAAAATTCTAATATGTAATATGTTAATCCTAATATGTGATATAATTTGTCCGTTACCGTGGGAGAGCCATGCTTCGGCGCGAATGGGCCGGCTCGACCGGAGTGATACCACCGCCTCACAGAAAACCGGTGTTAAGCAATTCTTTCGTTGCCTTTCACTGAGTGAGTGAGGTTACTTTAGCCCAAAGCCCAAATTCCCACTCCCGCTGACTCATGCGGGAGGGACTCCAAGGGCAGCAACGCACTTGTGACTTTTGAGTTGCAGGTGACCATGGGCGACGGTAGTTGCTTACCATCAGGTGACCCGTCTGCTCTTTTGCCCTCTTATACCATAAAAATCTATTATACGGCAATGTCTAAAATACTACTCAATTTAAAAAAAAAATAAGTTATTGAATCTCCAGCTGTGGAATTTTTATGACTGCAAGTAAAAGCTGGATTATGATATTTAAACAATATTGTTTGCAGGTATTCCATTTAGTGCACCTGGAGTGTCCTGCACAGGTGGAGTACCCGCGGGAGGACCTTGCCGCCAAGCAACACCGACCCTCAATTGAGAACAGACTTAACCCTAGCGGTAAGTCAGCTTATTCTACTAATGCGAAAGAAACTGCCATTAACCGCGGCTTAGATAGGAATAACTAAAAATTTATGTTATACTAGCTGACCCGCGCAACTTCGTCTGCGTCTCTCAATAGTAATAAATTTTCTCCGTTTTTGAAACATTCTTCATTGGTGCTCCGCTCCTATTGGTCTTAGCGTGGTGATATATAGCCTATAGCCTTCCTCGATAAATGGGCTATCTAACACTGAAAGAATTTTTCAAATCGGACCAGTAGTTCCTGAGATTAGCGCGTTCAAACAAACAAACAAACAAACAAACTCTTCAGCTTTATAATATTAGTATAGATTTGAATGATGTGTGTCAAGGTCCCGCTCCTGCCCCGGGTCCTGGTCCGGCCGCGGAGCGATACGACGCCTGAAGGGTCTTCTTCGTATGTTTAATGTGTATCATAATGGTATCACGATGTATTTGTCAGTGTGCATGTATCGCATTTACATAATAAATTCATAAATTTGATGTCTACAGAAGTACGCAATCGATTTTATTGCAGTAAAAGCTTTATACTTTATAATTAAGTCTATTGGCATTTCGAAGGCGATCTGATTGTCTCACAGAATTCTGGCGGTTAATAAATTCTACGGCGAACACTTACTCAAAGAGTGTAACGTACTGATGTCTGTTGAGTTGTAAGTGGCAATATGTGTCGGTACTCACTTGCCATCAGGTGACAGGTCCAATGGTTTGCTCGCTATACTATAAGATAAATTCACGTTCTTGGGCAATTCGTCTGGTTTTCTATTTAGGGCGTATAGTCGAGAATGTTCTATTAGTGTCAGGCCCTTTATCAATAGGTCAAGGACGCCATACTATTCTTCGATTTTACAGTTTTCCAATAGCAATTTTTTATGAAATTCAACCATGTATGTGATATATAAAAAAAATTGAGTAAATTGTATCTTACACTTGTATATATTTAAGGTTTGAGACATTTTATTTCTCATAAGAATTAACAATAATTCACTTATATGATAAAGTTTAAACACATACAAAACAAATAATAATCTTATCGTTGGCGCACACTGAGATATTGAATCAAACACTCAACACGTTCCATCACAGTATTAAATATTTTTAAGCTATTTTAGTAAAAAGATAGGTATACGATATACAGGGTATTTGTAAAAAACTTCATAAACAAGGAGCAAACAATGCTTATACATAGATCGATCGTAGCTAGAAGCGACATGTGAAATAATGAACTAAGGTGCGCTCAACTTGGATGTTAAATACCAGTGTTTTTGAAAGTAAGCATTGATTTTTCTTCTTTAATATGCTGCTAATTTGTTATACAATTTCGCACCTTCGTACATTAAATTTGTTATACAAACCTTGAAATTATAAGTAATTAAGGACACATTGTATCTGTTCACAAAGGGCCTCAATTCTGCTATTTTGTGTCAACGCCAAGCCACTGTCATTCCATTGACACGCTATTGAGATTCTATTGAGACGCCATTGGCATCGGTCAAAATATCGGTATTGTACTAACATAAATTCAGTGTCAATGGACTGTCGATATAGTAATATAGGTCATCAATGGTGATATCAACAACATTGCCATACCTGGAAAAATAGATATATCATTTTCTTACAAATTTAAAATGTACCGTTTACCAAACTATTGCAAAGACATCGACGACATTTGTATCAGTGACCAGTCATTCCATTGGTCTTAGTAGTCATAGTTAGTAGACTACGAAAACTATTCCAACGACATTCCATCGACAGTTTATTGATACAATATTAAAATAGCAGAATTGAGGCCCTGGTTAGTTATTTAGTATTTAAGCTAATATTTCTAGTCTGTTCTCTGTCTATGTATTAGATAGTAAGGTAGATGCTAAAGAATAATCTGTAAACTATTGCCATTATTATGTACATTGAAGTAGATCTTTCAATTTTTTATTGAAGTGTCTTCATTTTAAAATATGTTAAACCTTTGAACGCTGTTGTCACGTGTTCGCATAAATAAGGCGGAGAATATTATTGGAGTTTTTAATATGTTTTAATAAAACCTTTTAAATGTATGTGTGTTTAATTGGTTCCTTTTTTTTTGAAAATGCTGTGATAGTGTGTGTTATAATTGTACAGTTATATTGATATTGTTTAGTAGAAAAAAAGATAAGCCATCTGTCACTCTAGCAGAAGCAGGCCGGTATGATGTAGAGACGCGTTGCGGAGCGCGTGCTCCCTTTCGGGAGCACAAAGGAGACATAGGGGTTCCCACACAGGAGGGTGTCATGTACACGCCGTAGATGGCCCGAGGCACGTCGGGGTATCAGGGATTGCCTTCCTAGGGTACACCTGGTTCCCCTGGTTTTTGGTCGGTTCGAGTTCAACATAACCACCGGTGGGTGGTATCCGAGGGGATTTCCACACAGAAAAAAAGTAGAAAAAAAGTTAACATAATGAATAATTATTTATTTACACAATAAATTAGGTAACTTTGGGTCCCTTTTCACTTATACCATCTCTGCTTTGTCTAAACAGTTCACTGGGATGCACAATATTAGGATCATTTTCATCAGCATATTGATCTAATCTCTTCCTCAGTAAATTCTTTAGTTCATCTATTGTGTCATTCTTTTTCAAAGCGGATATTGCAATGATATCCTCAAATTCTATAACATTTTCTGGTCTTATTTCTTCTGGTATTGTATCTAAAACAGTGTGGATGTTTTTATAGGCTTTTTTAATATTATCAAAAATATCATTAGCACCCGGCAGGTCCATTTTATTTACAGCCAGGATTGCAGGTTTTTGTAGTAGATCCTTATTGTACAACTCGAGCTCTTTGTTCAGAAGTAACACAGTTTCTAAACATGACCTCATGGGATATTTAGGGCCGAGCTGGAAGCCTTGTACATCAGCTATAAAAAGTAGTAGCTTTGTCCTCTCTACATGTTTTAAAAAGCTATGGCCTAGTCCCACATTTATGTGTGCACCTTCTATAAGTCCTGGTAGATCAGCAATAGATATTTGTCTATGATCACTGAAGGAAATAACTCCTTTATTGGGTTTTATTGTAGTAAATGGATAATTTGCAACTTTAGGTTTAGCTCTAGATATTGATTTTAGTAATGAACTTTTACCAGCATTTGGGAAGCCTACAAGCCCAATATCTGCGATCAATTTCAAATCCAGTCGTATATGGTGCGTTTGTCCAAATCGCCCAAGAAAATCTGTCTCAGGTGTGCCGCCTGGTCCTCCTCTGGCTATTATTACTGATTGACCTTCTTGGTCTATAGACCCTAACACTTTTCCATCCTCTCTGTACACAGTTACTCCTACAGGCACTTCGAGTTGCACATCAGAACCTGGGTTACCGACTATTTTCGTTTTGCGGCTGTCTTCGCCATGTCCAGCTGCAATGGTTTTACCACGAAACTTACCCATTATTGCCTTGAGCTCTGCTTTCTCCTTACCCACACAATACACGCAACCGCCTTGACCTCCAAGTCCACCATATTTCGGGAGACCTGTCCCCCCCGTACCTCCTTTCACATGAAGTCTAACAGAATCTAAAAATTTACTACGAAGAAAATTCCGTGGTCGTTTTAATTCTTTAATAGCGAACAAAGTTCTAGTTAGAAACACCATGATTGTAATGTGAAATTGAAATTTATTCGTTTAACATTTTTAGGTTAATTCTGTTCATAATAAACATTTAGTGATGTGCCGAGTCAAGCGAACTCTTAGAAATATTACTCGAGGAAATTACACTCTTTAGTAATAAGCTAAATCACAGAACACTCTCACATACTCGGGTACTGGAACGTTTAATAGAAAATTAATTCATATAATATTATTTACAATAAAAAAGTAATGGGAAGTGTACAATAATACACAAATACGAATGCAAGTACAGTCGATGTAACATTGAGTGTATTTCGTATTTGACATTTAAATATTCGTTACATTGACAAAGTGCCTTGTAATTTTCATTACTCCCTGACTGAGGGCAAGTGGAACTAGTTTAACATATATATTTCGTTATTTGCTCGTTAAATGTGCTTCGTTTAATTTGGTTACTTCTGTTAGTTTAAAATTAAGCGAAACGCTATTCAATTGTGTGAAACTGGTAAAGTGCATTTCGTAGCAAAGACACTCTCTTTCTGAGAAAGTTTCACTAGAGCACTATTCAACACACTAAGAAGAAAAAGCTTTGAATTTATTACACTTGGCTACACTGTGAAAGATAACACACAGGCTAACGTTATCTTTATCAGCAAAGAATTTTATCAGTCTCATTGACTGTGTCATTGACTAAGCTTTAAGTTCTGTGGTCTAACTTGTTAGTATTACTGTGCTCTGTGTTGTTAGCTGTCTGTCTGACATTATTTTCTAACTCCATTCTCGAGACTGTAAATAACAACAATACTACAGTGTACTTTTTTAATACTGACCAAAAATGTGGAACTAAATGGGATTTATAAAATAAATATCTATTAATAAACACAGCAAGAAGCGCTCCGTTGCATGTATTGCAAACTTTCTAAGACTTAGAGGACTTCAGAAACAATTTAGGAGTAACATAATTATTTATTAAGTCTGAAATATGAGTAAAACGCTCGTTATTAAATAAGGTTTGCACTATTCTGGCCACAGTAGAAATGAGAACAGTTTTCATCAGTATTATAATTTTATGTGGAATATTTCTTCCTGTTTGGTCTAGTTTAGGAGACCGGTCTACGATATACCAGAGATGTTTAAACAAATGCATACAGGATAACTGTACTGATGGTATGTAATAAATATAGTTTCATATGTCATGACTAAATAAACATTATTTAAAGTAACTTTCAAACTTGTGGTCTTCAGTTTTGATTTTTTTTTAAAGTTTCTCATAACAGCTTTGACCTGTTTGTCTGTATGTATGTAGTCAGGAAAAGCCATCCCACAGTACACACCTTTATCTTTTGCTATTTGTGTCCTACCAGAATATGTGTACTCTTTTGGGAGGGTAGTGCCTTTGTCAGTGTTGTTGAGATGAAGAAATAACTGTAAATACTGCTAATTATTTATTTTTAATTTCTTTTAGTTAATGTGATATTTAACAGTAATGTTAGATATATATCAATTAAGAAATTAAGGTATTTACCTTAATTGAGTGAAGTATCTTCTTTTCAGCTGAAAGACATCTCCTACAGGACATAATCCTCCCATTAGGCTTTAGCATTAATTCCTCCCATGTGCTCATATTTAATATAAAAATCTATCTATCTGATAATATTTGCAAAAAACCTATAATAATTAATATGATGAATAGATACTATTACTGAAATGTCAGGTAATTTATAGATCTCATTAGTATACTTATGTCTTTTATCTTTAAAGAGGTAGAGACATGCTAAACACCCATAACTTCACACATCTCACACACGGCCGTCTAATTCTAAATCAGGCCGAGCCTGTGCTATGGTAACCAGATTGTTGATCAACATACATATATATTTCCAAATACACACATATCATAGATAAATTACTTTCAGACACAGAACAAATGATCCTGCACATCACACAATTATTTATACTGGGTGGGAATCGAACCCACGAGCTCTGTCTTAGCATTTGATTCACTAACAACATAACAAACATTATAATTTCATTCTCATTTATGTAATAGGAGGCAAGCCTATTGCTGTTAATGTTGTTCATTTAATTTAGATCAAATATGCCTTTTATAAGATATTCAATTTAATAATAATTAAACTAAATATCTTACTAGATATCAGACATTCAAAATGCGTGGGGCAAAGCGGCCGTCGCCACGTCGGGCCGATTCCGTACGTCCGTCCCGTGTGGCAGCGGCCAGCAACAGCAGAGCGGGCCTATAAATATTGCATATAAATATATCTTGCAGTATATTTTTATAATATTAATAGTAATTAATTACTTCACTCTAACACCACATTACTAGTACCTACATTGTGCTCATGCGAAGCGGGGTTGGATCACTAGTATATTTTTAATTAAACATACTTATATATTTCTAAATATTATATCATCACTATTTGTGCAGTGCACTAATTAAATTATTTCATTCAAGATTTTTTAACTTTTACAGTATCTGGTGATACATTCAAAAGGTATGCTGCAAAGCAACAAGATTTCTGGTGCATGGTGTTAAGATGGTCTTGCAGAGAGGAATGCTACTACCAATGCATGTGGTACACTGTGAGGACCTTCGAAAGAGCTGGAGAAGGAATACCGAAGTTCTATGGCAAGGTAACAGACATCTTAGATACTTATTATGCGCTTTTCAATACACTTATGCCTCGCCCAATCAATCTGTGTAACAATTAATCGTCTGCAGTACGAGGGGTGATCAATAAGTAATGATAATCAATATGAAACAGAACTATTAGATTAAAAAAAGTATTTTATTTTTCAACATAGTCTCCTTGCAAGTAAATACATTTAGTGTATCTTTTTTCTAAGCCCATGATTCCCTTAGAAAAAAATTATTTGTCTTGACCCTCCCAAAATGCCTCTACTGCGGCCATCACTTCACTATTGTCCTCAAATTTGTTGCCCCGGAGGTGTTATTTGAGCCGAGGAAAGAGGTAGAAGTCACTGGGAGCTAGATCTGGCGAACACCCTGTTCGAGCAGTTCGAACCCCGTTTCTTCAATGGCAACCATCGCAACTGCGGCTTTGTGAGCCGGGGCGTTGTCTTGGTGAAACTATAATTTTCATTCATAAATAAATCAGTAAAACATATACTACATACATACACACAAACATATACATTAAGTGATAATAATATTGATAAAAAATGAAAATGACCTATTAAAAATTCCAGTGGCCATTTGTTCGACTCATGGGTGTGCAGGAGCCAGCATCAGCATTTGCATCGGTCCTCAATTTTGCCGCCAATTATTACATGTTTAAGAAATTACGCAGAGAGTTCCCGTACTCTATGGCACATAGAATGCCTATTATTATATTTTATCAAGTTTATGCAGTGGTGAGTTATATATAACCTTCTTATATTTGTTCTTAGTCGGACACTCTTGCCAGAGTGGTTGTGGGTGTTGATGGGCATGGTTGCGGCTCGCCGTCGCCGTTCTCTTTCTTTCTTTATAAATACATGTCTATTATACAAAGAAATGTCTACACCAATGCATATATGTATATTCATTCAACTATTTACACTGAGTGGGGAATCGAACCTGCGACTTCAGACTATGTGGTGTCACAAATATCGTCTGTTAATAAAAATTATGAATTATACAAGTGTTATCGTTTTTTTCCAGGTGTGCATGAACGCATGGGTTTGGTCGACGATATTCCACATGCGGGACAGTCCCTTCACAGAGTTTATGGACTATGCATGCGCTCTGTCTATGGTCATGGGACTGTTTGTTGCTTCTATTGTCAGGTAAAACTCCTTATATTGCTATCGTCTATGCTAATATAAAAATCTGAAAAATTTGTCTTTTTGTTCAACTATCAGAATTTCGCATTTAATATCCCCATTGCTTGCGATACGCTGCGATTGTTAGTGCTGACGTATATAAAGACTGCAGGAGACGGTTAATAAAGTAAAAAAGTTAACTATTTGTGTACTCTTGTGTTTTGAAATATGTGTTAACATATTATAATTACAACAATATAAAAAAACCTATAGTTCACCTATAGGAACTCTGCTTAGTCAGTAGACAATGTTGAGTCACTATTTTCTAAACTCGAATGGACTATAGTCCCATTGGGGAAAAAGTAATGTTCGCATAATAATATACATGTGTGGGCATTCACGCAATTGACATCTTGTAACCACGGCCAGTGTAACCTGGTCAAAACGTCATGCAACTCAAAAGTATGTGATACTAAGTATGATACTAGGTAAACTGGGTATGGTATTAGATGTACTGTGTATGTAATACTAGGTATAACGTTATGTGATACTGAACCCTATTGTTTACAGGGTTTGCTATAAGAGGACCAAACTGATGATATTCCTGTTACTCATTCCTCTCTTCTACTTCGTGACGCACGTCCGCTATCTGTATTCTGGCTTCATCAATTATGATTATAATATGAAGTTGAACATATTCTTCGGTAAGAAACGATGGTCTAGTAATAATAATAATAAGTATTTTTTATTTTCTCACACAGAATGACATATCTTGACATATTAAAGTAGATACACAGTTATAGGTGAGTTGAATCTGTGTGAGAGACTGGTATCTGCACTAGGTACACCTGTATTACAGATTACCAGCCTCTCCTGACACTAGGTGCGTAAGTGTTATCTGTAGTGTGTAGTGTGAAGAAAAAATGTGTGTGTGTGTGTGTGTGTGTGTGATGCGTGTGAGTATGGTGTGTGTGTGTGTGTGTGTGTGTGTGTGTGTGTGTGTGTGTGTGTGTGTGTGTGTGTGTGTGTGTGTGCGTGCGTGCGTGTGTATGCGTGTGTGTGTGTTGAGTGTGAGTATGGTGTGTGTGTGTGAATAGATGTTATAACTCTACAACGATGAAGATGATGGTGAACGGATGTGCGTGATTGAACGTGATTTATAAAGGAAATACATGGCACTAATATGTGTAGATACGACTATACTTATACAAAAATTAGATCTTAGATAATTGTCTATTGCGGGACATATAACAGGTTTTCCGTTTCCTCATAACTGAGTGTTTTGAGCCAGTCAGCTAGCGGCAAGCGATCATGACTGCTAGGCCGGAGGTCGTGGGTTTGATCCCCACCTTGGACAACTATTTGTGTGATGAGCACAATCATTTGTTCTGTGTCTGGGTGTAATTTATTTATATGTAATTTATTTATTTATATTATCTAATATGTATGTATTTAGAAATATTTAAGTATGCTTATTAGCAAACTCAAACTCAAACTCAAACTTTCTTTATTTCATAAAATTTTCAAAATTGTTTGAAATCGTCTTCCATGTAGACTCTAAAGTCATAGATCAACACACACAAAAGCAACAATCTCTGTTTTGTCAAATAGTAACCAAATAAATTTAACAAAATCAAACCCATACAAAATCTATGCCTGTGCCGATCTACAACCGCCCGTTTCCAAGGGGTTGAGCCTTATGAGAAGAAAGGGCAAACAAACTCATGGCCACTCTTTTGCAATTCACAAGTAGATACAATGGCACTATTAAATATATCACAACATTGTTTTGATGTGTGCTAGTATGTCCGTTATTAAGGACTTAAAGGTGAAAAAACAACGAAGAGAAAACAAGATTAAGAAGAACAAACGAATACAAGAGAAAATGAAGTGAAACATAAAAAATAGAAAAAATAATAAAAAATAATAAAAAACATACTAGATGCTTTGCTAGCACTTTGATTACCATAGTACAGGCCTGCCTAGTTTGGGATCAGACTTTTATTATATTTTGTGATATTTCATTATACTTTGCATTTATATATTTTACTGAACGAGTAAGGATACTGGAGCAATCAAGCCTCGCCTTGACTCTTGGGCATAATAGGCGGAAACGTATTTGTGTTCCTTGAGTGCGCGGCTGTAGTCACTTACTATTGCGAACACAATAAAATAAACATTTTATTTAGGGCAACCCTAATACTAGTTTTGTAGTTGTCAATTTGTCATCCTTGATTAATTTCTTTTAAGAGAAGCCTTTTTATCATGAGTTTTTTATAACGTGTGTAAAGAGAAAAAAGTATTATCGTGCTATTAAGGAAAATAACTGTGAAAACATTTTTATGTAAGAAGAGAATCAATAAAACAAACGATGAGTGAATTAGCTAGGAGTGTTGTGTGTGGTCAGGCGGCGCGGGCGCGGTGGTGTGGGTGTGCGCGGCGGGTGCGCAGGCGCGTGCGGGGCGCGCGTACGCGTGGCGGCTGCTCGCCTTCACGGCGCTGTCGGCGGCGGCGCTGGCGCTCGAGCTCTTCGACTTCCCGCCGCGCGCCCGCGCCTGGGACGCGCACGCGCTCTGGCACCTCGCCACGGCGCCACTGCCGCTGCTCTTCTACAAGTCAGTACATGTATTATACCTTTTTTATTACCGTAATACATTTTCTTCCAAGCGAAACAATATATTTTGCTTGCTTTTCCAACTTCTTTGCGACTTCTTTACTAAAATAAAAGTTGTTTTTCTTCTGTTTTCTTTTGGATCAAAAAATAAGCAATGTTACCGGTGTTTTTGGTAAAAAATAGTGTTTGCCAAATTTCATGATGATAAAATTTAATAATAAGATTAAATTAAGTGTGTAAATCAAATATAATTAATTTTGGATGATCGTTTTAAAAACCTTCATTTCTTAAACTCTTTCTTAAATTCTTAAACTTATTGATTATACATGAAATTTGCTTTTTTTTTCTCTTCAAGCAAAGATTCGCTTTTATTTACACAATAAGAAACATAATGACATAAACCAATAATGACTATTATTAATCACTTATTACACGGTTTAGATGTTATTACTATTATTGTACATAATACATACTCACATTATTTCCTAGAAAGAGATGGCATCAAACGCTCACGCCGTCTTTATTTTATTCTCACTTAAGTAATAACAGGCAAACATGTTGCTGTCAACCGGGCAGTTTATGAAAAAGATGGGCAAATTAAGAATGCAATATGACAGAAGAGTAGGCAACGATAGTAGGGGGATATGGTTCTTACGGATTGAGAAGTGTAAGAGATAGCTCAAGCAGGCCATGATATGGCTGGTATCGGGAAGTCCAGTTTAAAAGAAATCCATTAGTGTCACACAGGTTAGAGATTCTTAAAGACATGGCAGATTCTCCGATCTATGCTTGGATAAAACATTTCAAGATCCCCAGGCCTTTCTGGTGGTGTTTGTTAGGTCCTAGAGCTAAGCTGTCTTGGTATGGTTATCTTATTTAATAAAGGCAGATCGCTTCACCCAAACCAGTCACAAAGTAGGTGACCAGTTCAAGGGGACGACCTGTACCTTTCAAAAAAACGTTCGCCCTAATAGGACATAGCCAAGAGTTACCAAGGCCCAATAATTTCCTTACTCAATAGATTGAGGCACGATTATCTTACGCAAGATGAAAGACCTATATAAACTGTAATAGATGAAACCATAGCGCGAGGTAAATTTTCTGTACAGCGCCATCTATCGAAGTGGGGTGTAAACTTTTAATGTTCTTTTTAAATGAATATGTAGTTGTAGTTTATTTTAAAACTAATTATAAATAAATTTAAACGATAAGCTTGGCTCGACCTCAGTGACTTACAGAAAAACCGGTGTTAGGCAATTAGACAATTTTCTTTGCTTTTCAGTGACTTGAGGCCGAGATCATCAGCAGGAAACACTCCGCAGCTCCGTCACGGCTGGAGTTCAGGCGATATTTCTTTACTATCACATTTCAGAAAAAGACTGCTTAAGGGCCTAATATAAAAATGTGTAATATAGAACTATATGTGCCCGGTTGTTGGCGATTAGGCTTGCCCCTTATATAAGTGGGACTATAATGTGGGTGTTAAAACGCTCCTGCCAACCTCGGATGAAAGACTTGAATACAACTATCACCATCAACAGCCACTCTAACTCTCTTCTTAGAAAGGAGGCTTTGGCCTACTATACCACGCTGGCCAGACGGGTTGGTATAGGGTTTGTTTCAAGTTTTCCTTCTCTGCAGTGCTGTTGTCCTGCGTAGTTTGCTCCCTTAATCGACTCTTACGACACCCAAGGGATGAATAGGGGTGATGACACTCTGTATTCTTAATCCGTCACCACACGGACCATTTTCGGACCATACAACTAAACGGACCATTTTCTTCCAGGTATGTGATAGACGACCTCAGGTACCTGCAGTCTAAAGAACAAGAGAAGTTCCTCCTTAAGCTGACATGAGCTACTGAATACAGATGTAATATTTATCTTCTAGGTTTAAATGTATTTTGTTGTTTTTTTTTTATGTTAGAGGGGCAGACGAGCAGACGGGTCACCTGATGGAAAGTGACCATCGCCGCCCATGAAAAAACAAAAAAAATCTACACATAATGGTGGCAAATAAGCAATGAAGAATGCGGTTTAGTAAACCTCGAAGCGCATTTTAGTCGTTGATACATTTAAGTTGATTATTAGTACACAGTGATTGGCGTACTCACATCGTACCAATTTACGATGTAATCACATTACAGTTAATGTTTGATGTTTGATTTGTTTTAAACTGCGGGTATACATAGCGTAAGACTTACCAGAAGCTCTCACTAAGGCTAGCGGCATATCGATTCAACTTTCTGTCACAAAACGATGTAATCACATGACGAGAATACGTTTAAAGACATTTGTGAGGTCGACAGTAGATCGGAATTGAATTTCGAATGAATTTTTATTACGAGAATTGACCTTCTGGTCTGATAAACAGGAATGGAAACTATTTGCGGGTTAAGTTAAAAAATAATTTAAAAAATATATAAAACAAGTATTGACTTTCTAATTTGAGAACCTATGCCATTGGTACGATGTGAGTACGCCAATCACTGTGTACTAATAATCAAATTAAATGTATCAACGACTAAAATGCGCGTCGAGGTTTACTAAACTGTATTCTTCATTGCTTATTTGCCACAATTATGTGTGGAATTTTTCTCTAAATTTAATTGGGACCAAACGGGAAGTACTCTATCAAATTAAAAAAAAGGATTTCCCAATTCGGTTTTAGTAAATGAAAAGTTCTGAGTTTGATTTCAGTTGGATTCTCACTGCATGCATTATTTATATCCATGAATATTTGTTTTGTATAATATTTAGTAAAAAATATAATCTCTGTTCTATTAATATGTGCTATGGTTAAGTGTTGTGAGTGCTGTGTATGATATGTTAAAGAATTTAATTATTAATATTGATGCTTTTTAGTTCAAAACCTACTGAACTGTCCACTATTGTGTAGTCTTCTCAAATTATGTCCATGATAATCTTTTTATGGACTCCACATTGTATTGTAAAATTCTTCAAACCCTCTGCGTGTTGAGATATAAGAAATAAGAATAGAGCACTGATATAGAGGCAAGATATTTTTTTTTTGTAGAGTAGTATTCCTAAAATACTTTTTTAACATAAAATTGTGATAACTTTATGACAGTGCATGATATAAAAGTCTCTTGGGGTTTTGGGCCTGGGTCATTTGGAAAAGTTATGAAAGAATAGGCTTATGTTCACTTATAACAAATTGCTTGGTTTATAGTTTCAAATTATGAATGAAGAGACATAGATAAGAAAAAATCAGTGTGTTTTTCATAAAAGTTAAAGATTATTAATATTTAAAAAAAAAATCGTTCAAAATAGGCATTTAGTCACGTGACAGCGAACACCAATCAGAAAGTGTTACGTCACACCACAAAAACATCATTGTTGTTATTGACGTTTTCATACAACAGAGCAGGTTACTCCTTATTCCTATTAAATTTTTTGAAAACACTTGACATTGAACACAGATGTAAACAGTTTTATTTCGCAGACTGTGACGTCATTCAAGACGCCATGACATTATTCAGCGTTTTCGTATTAAATTGTTTAAAAAAAATTACTAAATACGTAATGTAAATATTGTTTTTTCTTTAAAATAAAGGTTTTTTTGAGATAAAATAGATATTAAAGTATAAAATTAACAAAGTTTTCCAATTGAGTCAACCGCTTTTAGACAAAATAGCCTATTTTCTAAAAGCGGTGTTCTGTGTAACTGTGGTGGAACATGTCTATCCAAGGGTCTTCAAATTGCTTTAAACTTGTGGCCTTAATAATAAAGATTTATTGAATCACAACACTTAGCAATAGTTAGTTCCAATTTAAATGGCAGACATAAAACCTTACTCTTTCACTTACAAAATAAAGAGGATCACATAGTATTGATGTCTTTGCTTTGGTAGCATCATAGGTAGATCTGACCGAGGGGAAGAGTCTGTCTATCCTACTAGTCCTGTGACATTGTCCTATGATGGGACCACTGACACTGTTTCATCCAAGTAGACCCATGGAACCAGTGACACCAATATTTTAGTCTTAGAAGTTTCATAACCATGGGACTAATGAGATGGTTACGCATAACTGAGCTGGCTTGACCGGAGTGCTGTGATACCTCACACAAAGTCGCTGTTAAGTAATTTTTTCGTTCTCGCCCATAAAAGAGTTTTAATAATAATGGCAATACTGACTATGTAATATATTTAATAAGACTGTAAACCCTCTATTGGAATTCCATGAAAAATGACAAAATAGTTTTTTTTTTAATTAACAATTAATCTGTTATTATTTTAAATGTTATTACTAAATACCAAATATAATATGTTTCAAAATATTATTTATAAAAGATGTTTTTTTTTAATAGACCTATTTAAGCTAAATGTGGCTATGTCGATGTTACCATATTTGTTTAGATGAATTAGTGAAATAACTACAGTACTCTGGTTGGGTGCGTTTCTGCGTTTGTAGACTTTATTAGAAGCTTTGTCGTATATGTCATCATCATCATCATCAACAGCCTTTAATAGTCCACGGCTGGACATAGGCCTCTCCTTAGAATGGAGGTTTTGGCCTACTATACCACGCTGGCCAGACGGGTTGGTATAGGGTTTGTGTCAAGTCTTCCTTCTTTTTTGCAGTGCTGGTGTCCTGCGTTGTTTTGCGCCCTTAGTCCTTACTCCACTGCATAATGTTTATAATCATTGTTTTCTTTGATTCTACTAAATTAATGAGATTTAGTACCTGTATATGTTCAATAACGGAATTGAATGATGGATTAAAAACAGGGAGTGTCACCCCCATTATTCATGCCGTGGGTGTCGTAAGAGCCGACTTAGTAAACATACTGTGCCAGACAACGGCGCCACAAAGAGAAGTAAACTTGACACAAACCCTATACCACCCCGTCTGGCCAGCGTGGTATAGTAGGTCAAAACCTACTTTCTAATGAGAGGCCTATGTCCAGCAGTGGATAAATTAAGGCTGATGATGATGATAGCCTTCAGAATGTACGTTTGTGCCGACCGGTGATCCCAAAAATCAAACACCAAACACGATGTTGAAATTTTTATTTCATAAATTTTCGAAAATAAACAAGTTACACAAACGGACAGTTACTAGTGACGCGACACTCAATTCTCATTTATAAGTTGCCTGAAATGTTCCCCACAACGGATATTACCTACTTTATGCTTTTTAAACCAAGGAACCGCTTTCGAGGCCATCTTTGGCTCTATTTTGTTACTCTGATTCTTTGGTTGTTTTGGAGGCACAAAACTCTTAACGTACACGTTGTCATTTCTGGCCATGACTTTAGGTTCTATGATTGCAGCCCTAGCTTCGTAAGTCTGATAATAGGGGTTGACTTTCCGCGACACCTCACCAGGGTATCGTTGCAAGTAAGGATGTTCAGACGCATGCTTCGGGTACTTGCTTTCGTGGAACATCAGTTTCTCGTTCCAGTGCCTGCGGTACTCCTGTTCCATGTATGGTGTTCTCCTAATAAACTTCTCGGGGCTCTTATCTCTTTGATAAATATGTCTGTATGATATTTTCGAGTGAGTCCTACGCTTAGACAAGTTGTGTACTTTAGGCCTGTGTTTTTGTGGTGCTTCTATTTTCTGACTGTAGATAGTCTGGTAGTCGTCCGAGTCCGTCGATGACTCTTCAGTTGTTGGTGTCTCTGCTTTGGACTCTTTCTTTTCTCTTTTCTTTCGCTCTTTTGGCTTCAAAAATTTAACTGATCTGAACATTTTGCTGAATAACCCCTTTTTCTCTTTTCTTTCTTTTTGTATGACCTATAAGTATTAAAGTTTTAGATTTTAGTTTTTAATTGATAATATGAACGAAAACAATACCCTCCAGATATTTGTCTTTGTTGCATCACACTTAAGAAATTATAAGTTTTGGAAACTCGTAAATCTACTAAATACCCATGTAATAGTTGATGGTATATGGGTAACTGAGTTTATTTGCTACTGTGGCATCTAAAAGCCTAATCAATGCCTAATGTGTTTGTTTGCCCTTTCTTCTCAAAGGCTCAATCTCTTGGAAATGGGCGGTTGTAGATCGGCACACACATATAATGGATTGGATTTATTTTGCTAAATATTTAATTCAATAGATTGTTGCTATTGTCTGTATTGATCTATGACTTGAGTCTGCATAAAAGACGATTTCAAATAATTATAAAAATAAAACGAAATAAAGAGACTTTGAAATAAGAACCGATGGACAGTTGGACCTACTTCTCAATTTCATTAAGTCCTGCAAATAAAGTTACTGATTAATTAGCCAGTAATTTTTGTAATTGACCGATTTAAATAGAACGAAGTCACCCAAAGTGATCATCATCATCATCTGAACCGAAAGACATCCACTGCTGGACATAGACGTCCCTCAAGCTCTCCACAACAACTGGTCCTGTGCTGCACACATCGAACGGCAAAGTAATGTTTGTAAATAATACATAAAGCTATGGTAAGTTTATATGTAAATAGTTTATGTCCTTACTTGTTTAGTTGGTGTTGGCACAAACGTATCGTCAGTTTCAGTTTCACTACTCGAAGTCTCCGAAAGCTCCACATCTGGCTTCGTATTCTGTGTTGCATTATAGAACTTTCGCTTGTCTTGGTGAGTCCCTTCAGATAATCTACGCTTTGTCTGGTCCAAAAACTTTTCCACTCGCTCTTTCCGCAGTTTTATGTCCATATCGGTGTTAGTTGTTGGTGATTGGGAAAGAGTAGTAGCGCCAGTAGATATTTGTTTACTCTCTGTTGTTGTGTTGGTGTTGTTCGAGCCATATTTACTCTCCGGTGACTCTCTGTGAGATCCATACTTACTATCAGTTAGGTTGTGAGAATCTGATGAAACTTGCATATCCCTCTTTCTAAATAGTTCCGAGACAGCTTGCACGACGTTTGTAACCTTTTTAAACTCTTTTACAGGTGTCGGCTTTTCTGTCACTCTTCGATTTATTGTTGATTTTTCTACATGATTACTGAAATCACGCAGAGGTTCATATTCACTAGAATTCTCTTTCTTGACTGCACCCATACTTAATGCCATTGACTTGTATATTTCTTTTATCAGTTTCTCAGTCTCTTTACTGTGCTCAGCTTTCACTGTATCAGTATTAGTAGCAATTGTTGCTGCTTGTCTCCCGTAGTTTGACTTTATACGAGGACCGTTTCGAAAGCAGCTGGCACAAGTAGGCCGCCCTTGATTTTGAACGATAAGTGGAAAATTTTGGTAACACTTTAGTGGAGATTGTGAATAATAGTACTGGTTGGAATTCATTTGTCTTGAACATGATGGCAAGAACGGATTTATGTCGTAAGGGCTATAGGTGAAACTATTTAAAAGTCTCGAGCCTTGCAAATTACCTTGTAAATTAGATTGTAAAGTATCCCCTATATTGTTATGAGGGATACCCAGTAGGGGATCGGGACACCTTGGCATGCTGCCATGTATAAGATTTGATAGGTTGGCTTGTATGGGTCTGCTGTCCTGTAAAGGACCTTCCATATTGATCTGTACTGGTTCTGGCATGTTTCCCTGCGATACACCCTTTTGTACGGTTGCATCTTTCTTTGGATTCTCATTTGTAGTGTTTTTAGACATGCTGCTTACCTTGACCTCGCGTAGGACGGATTGCAAAATGGTTTTTATTTGATTCAATGTTTCTTCTGTTTTATCATCGCTACTTTGTATTGAATCCTTTGTATCCAGCACGCTAGACACAGTTTGACATTCACTGTTATTTGTAATAATGGTCAGACATTCTGCATCAACTTTATGCGGCACTTGAGTAGCTGTTAAACATTTATCAACATGTAAACATCTGTCTACTCTATCGATCCTTTTCTTAACAAATTTAGGATATACGTCGCCGAAATCAATACAACTACTTTTGGACATCTCCATGTTTATTTGTTTACCCATATTATTTCTTTGTCTTGCAATATTATTGACTGTTGGTCTCTCTGGCTCTTTGTTCATTTTTGGCGCTCTTTTTAAATAATTATCTGTTCTTGGCACTACAGCGGTGTAATCAAGATATAATGGATTGTATACCGGACAAGTACGAAGTTTTGTACGCACATCTTCGGGCCAGCACATTATGTCTACCGAAGGTTTCGTTTCTCTTCTCTTCGGTATATCATTCGCTTTCTTAGCCCTTGTGGGCTTTTCTTTAACGGGTACTACATCGTAAAATGTAGAGTCATAATATTCACCTTCACCTGTAAGGTTATGAGCTCTATATATCTGTTGACTGTTATATACTAAAGGCTGGTGGTCGTCAACGTTGTGGTACTTTCCATGGCAACATGAACAAATATCAGATTCATAAGAATAACCTACATTGTAATCAATTGTATCTCTGCATATAGGCGAGGAGAACGTGCTAATGTCGGACAAATTTCCCCCAAGTATTTGAGGTTTATATTGCTTATCTATTAACTTGGCTAAGTACGATCTTGTCCTGGCCCTATTGTTTCTAGAAGTTTCGTCTGCAGCATCAGATTTATTAAACGGATTACTAGTTGTTTGGGCGTAGTAAACATAGTGATTCCTAGTTTTTTTCTGTCTCAAGGCTTTCTTTTTTTTTTTGAAGAGATTTTTTCGTCCTTGGCGTTGCTTTACATCCCCAATTGTAAAAGGTTTCATATCATTCTCGTAACCCATAAAATCGGCATAGCGTTTGTCATCGGTGTAGGGCATATCATAGCGATGCGATGAGGAAGCGTTGACATTGCTGCCGTTATCTGAAGGAATAGCGAAAGATACGTTGGACTTCCTCTTTGCAGACATGTTGCCATCGTACGGATTGGTGCCTCGGTCCATATCTAATGCGTTGCAGGACACTCCGGTATGTGACACGTGAGGATATTTGTTATCGAAAATAACCGTGTTGACAACACGTTTTTGCTTGCCTGTATTGTGCGAGTCATCACAAAGTCTAGCTTCTTCCAACTGTTTTTCCAAATATATTATCTTTTGTTGTAAATCTGACACGTCTATTGGTATGCAAGATATAATTTTAACTTCCGTCCGCGACGGAGTATTGCCTAGAAGTGGATTACATGCATGTGTTTTATAATAATATTCAAGTTATGGTGTTGGGGGGTAGACATTTGGGTAATTGTTCATTCGGGCTTTAGGATATATGGGAGTTCATACTTTCGAGAAATTATACGTTAGGGAAATGGCACATCGAATTCAATATACGTAACTATTGGTAATAAGGAAAGAACAATTTCAGTGAGGTATTCACTCCTTCATAAGTAGTGATTGTAATGACAAAATAGCTTTCAATTGCTAACTACTTAATATAACAGTAATTATCGTCTCCTGACGGCTTTTGGCAGTAGCAACAAACATAACAGACTTTTTATGGGACTAATCCCACCCACACGCCCACCACTGTAACTCCTGTACACCAAGATCCACAGCAGTGACCTACGAACACACCGAGTTATGACACTCGGGAAGTCTCAGGAAGAAATTAAACTGTCTTAAAACCCGCAACGAAATTAATCAGAAGAAAATTGGAGGAGTTGGAAATACAGTAAATCCACTTCCCACCTTAGCAAAGCGGGAGACAAAATGAAGTAAAATAGCCATTCACCCTTTTAAACAAAAATAACAGACTGTCTCACATACATATATGCCGATTTGCTGGCAACACTAAATGTTTTTTTTCGACGGCAACATTTGGAATAGTAATGAAGTAATTCTAGTTTTATTAGTATAGAAAAGTTAACTCTTTTATGCAAGTTTTTATGGATGTTTTCCTTCACCGATAACCCAAGTGATAATTAGTTTATTTTCTGTAAAAAGAGCACAAAGAGGCCTATGTCCAGCAGTGGACTAGTATAGGCTGTTGATGATGATGATTGATGAAAAAGAGCACGGCTAGTGTATGTGAAACGGTCTGTAACAACACGAAGCCAAATATTTTGAGTTCAAATATTTACCCAATTATTATTTTAATAAATAAAACTTTACCTAAGTTAAAAGCTACCCTTTTCAAGAAATTTTCGACACCCTTGAAAGATTTTCCAGTTCCCTTCGGTAGTTTTTCACCTGGACAATCCAGCTCGCTCATGGCGGACTTGGTTTCCTGGAGACAATTATTTGATGAAATAATCGTGGCTAATGATATTAAACCATGACTTTTTTAATTCATATTTCAAAGGGAACGAACTATTATCACTTGTTTAAATGGGAAAGGAAAACATTCTGTGATGTGGTTTCAGGAATAAAACCTATTATTATATCACTTCCTCCATTTTCATACACTGGCCGTTTCAGGATTTATTTTTGCTTTTACGTCGTTTAGAAAGAAATATGTGCAAACTAGCAAACACATCCTTTGACGAATCACCCGTCGATCAAATGACCACGGCCAGAGCCCCCTGGTGGAAACATCAGGCAATCAACCTGTGTATCTGTGTACTTATATTAATGGAACGCGAAATATTCTGTGTATGAATGTATGTTTATGAATAAAAGTGAACGTTTTCGTACCTTTCCTTTACAAATCTTGACGGTTTAATTTGACTTCTTAAAAAATTCACACTTCGTTTTCTTCGTGTTTGTATGTATTAAGTAATTTTCATTTTGAGGGTTCCTGGACTGACTTAAAAATAGACCTATAACAAAAATTATTTAACAAAGACAGTCACATTTGGTTATTCACGTCCTGACGTCCATTGTAGTCTGTTGTCAAACTTCTATGCTTTTAAAATTTGAACCATTTATTTGGTTATATTTGATATAAGAACAGATAAAAACGGTTTTTATTTCTTTTTCGCTTTCCAGTCTATTGTCTATGTCTTACAATGTACAGATACATACATACACATATGAAAGAAATGAAACGCAAAGTTCTTCTAAAGTAGTCGAGCTTTTTTTAAAGTTTTGAATTGTTTACCATTATAACTCGCACTATCGTGTATTTCATAAAAAAAACAAATACTACATCATTTTTCTCGAATCATGGAATCTGCTAACCTCTCAGGAATGCATCGTCTATAGGTCATTGAAGTCGTTAATAGAAAAGCGGCATTTAATTAAATAGCTATTTGGCTGGGGCCTGGGCACAGAGTACATTGTAATATCCTGGGCCTGGGGCACATACAATAGGTTCTAGAACACACACATACATTAATACTTCTTTGTGTGTCATGTTTATACCAATAATATAATTATTATGTACAAAGAATGGTACAAAGTTATTATTTGGTTGACGCCCATGCACGTAATTTTCTGTCAAAACCTGTAATATTGCCTGCCTATAGATTGACGAACGTCCGTGAGGGTCACCTGTTCATCAGATATGTGAAACAGGTAACCCACAAGAATTTCCGTCTTATAATGTGCTCGACAACTACTAATATATTGACTATCGTGTATTGTTCAATACTATATCTCAATTCCGCTAAATTATAATAATAATTTCACACACATTCAATTCACAATTCACACTTTTTAAACAAATCTGAGTCTGTAACGTGGTAACCCGGTAACGCGGTTCCTGATGGCGTTAGCGCATAAATTACATCGACACAAAACAAATGAACTGAGTGCTTTTTATACAATTACTTGTTCTGAAAAGGAATCGAACCCATGATCTCTGGACTTAGTCGTCACGATCGCTAACCACTAGAGCAACAGATCAGTCGAACTGGACATACGGAACTATATCTGATTAGCCCTTAGTAAGTATACAGTATTTCATCTGATTTAATTGTTTCACAAAGTCCTCTTAAAACACTTTTGTACAGCATGGGGCGCATCTTTATAAAGAATATAAAGGCGGTTGGCAATAATACTCAATATTCATTTTAAACACATTCTTAAAACGACAGTATAATACAAAACACAACAATTTCAACTCTCACAAATCACATTGACATCATTCAACAAATACTTAGAAGAACATCCGAGGTCTGAGCACTCCGGTCGCGTCGCCAAAGCTAGACTTATCTTTTCCTAGCAACGTTTTCACAATCAGATTCCGGGGAGAGAAAGGATTTCTTTTATAAAATATTTTTTTCAGCACCGCATTTCTCATCTTTAGATTACCTTGGGCTAATTCTTTTTGAGTTTGATAAGAGTACGCTATAGGATCCAAGTCCGGCGATGGTATAGCTTTCTTGGCTTTCTCCTGGAAACTCTTCCAATTAAACAATGGCTTGGTCATCTTCTGTTGTCTATTCATCTGTAGCGATGTATTAACCGCAGTTTGTGTGGAGAAGCTCCTCTGGTCGCCGGCTGCTGCCATGTGGGTTATGATAACCGGCTGTTGCTTCTTCTTCCCAAACTTTCGGAAAATCGACATTTTCCTTTCACTTTGTGTGCCTGTACTCTTCACTTCTATTTCTTTTAAACAGAGAGGTGGTTGCATCTGGCTGTAACTGGTGTCATAAGAGCTACTAAAGGGTGGAGCCGTGGGCCGTTGTCGTAAATGAGGTGGTGGTATACTGGGGTGGTCATGCTGCTGCGGTTGTTGTTGTTGTCCGTAGGGGTCGTTGAGTCGCGGTGATGTATACCCTCGCTCACCAGGGTTGTACGGTGGATGATAATCAGGTTGATACTCATGCGGTCTATGTTGGTATTCGTTGGCTCTTGGTTGGTATTCATGTCGTCGCGACTGGTAATCCTGTTGCCGTGGTTGAAACTCATGTGGTCGTGGGTGATACTCGTACTGTCTTGTGTCATAACCATGTGGGCCTTGTGGATATTCTAGTTTTCCGTGTCGGTAATCATTTGTCGGTGGCTGGTATTCCTGTCGTCGCTCATAAAGTGGTTTAAGTGGAGGAGAACGAAAGTATTCCTGACCATGCATCATATAATTTGTTACTTGTTGTCTAAATGGGGGTTGTTTTGGCTTTATGTCTTCCTCTGTGACGCTTTCAGTCTCACTTAGCTCTTCTATTACATCTTTTTTCTTCTTTTTGAAAAGTCCAAAAGACCGTAGGACTTTTGATAACTTATTAACCTTGTTCTGTAACAGATATAAACAAATGAAAAGTAACAGATAGTCAAATTTTACTCTTTACGTTGTCTTTAATTTTTTTTTATTTATAGCATGAGCAGAGACACCTATTTTAGAAAATTCAAATCCATTCATCCATCTTACAATGACTATAAAAAAAATATTATTTTACCTTGTTTTGATCGGGTGCTTCCATATCTAGTTCAGTTTCAGATGTAGTACCTGCCTCCAGGCTTAATTTTTCTAATAGAGTATCAGAGTAACTTGCATTTGTGCCACTATAATAGGTGTCTGAAACCATTCTCGTTCCTATAGCCTCACAACTTTTAGAATAACATTTAAGCGGTTGAGTACCGACTTTAACATCATGCTGATAATTCTTGAAACTCCCACCAACACTTCTAGACGTCAAGATTTTGTCTTCGGCTTGACTATCATCACGTTTCCTATCATTAGTATAATCTTGACCGTGTTTCCCAACAGGACCTTGAGCTACGAACTTATAGATTTCTTTAATTAGTTCATCGGTTTCTGTATTTCCTGTTGGTTCTGTGTTTTTGTTACAGCAATGAACACTAACAGACTCTTTAGGGACGGCTACGCAATTTGAACAGGTGTAACTTTGACTGGGCATTAGGTACCCACCGTTCTGTAGTTGCATAGGATAATTAAGAGGACACATTGGCATTACAGGATAACAATATGGGTTAGTTGCAAAGGGTGATATATATGGCGGCATTCCCACCTGGCCTGAGACGTAATTGTTATAACTCCCACTGTTTTGTATATGACTATTTATCTTAGTATTCGGCTCTTGTTTAATGTTGTTCTCGTTATCTTGGGTTTTGTATGTAAAATCAGACTTATCGCATTGTGAAGCAACTGTCTCTTTTTTTATTTCGTGCAAGAAACTTTGTAATATATCTTTAATTTCACATAGTGCTTTGTCTGTTTTATCAACATTTATGTCGGTTTCTTGTGTCTTGTTTAATGATGAATCTACAGCAGTGCTTGTTTGCTCGTTAATGTATTGTGAATGTTGTAAATTGTTTGGAGTGCCGGTTTCTTGTGGGCTCTGATTCTGGAGGTGTTTGTCTTCTATTGGAATATTAACATTTATGAGTTTCTGTTGGTTTGGTGCTTGAGCAATATTTCTTTCTGGGACAAATTCTGAGGCAGTATCAACCTCAAAATGCTCTTGATATTCTGGATACACTTTTTGGTTTCGAGGAAAACGCCTTCTGTGCTTTTGTTTATTATGAGCCATATAATCTTCCAGTTCTGTGTAATATTGGGCTTGTAAATTAAGTCGGGGTCGAAGAGTTCTGGGCGATGGTGGTACTTCTCTGTAGTACTCATATGGAAAGATATTTTCATCAATGAATTTTTTCCGCGTTTTGGGACTCGACCTTTCTTTGACAGGAACCAGATCGTACATGTCAGAGTTGCTGTAAACATCAGCGTGCATCCTACGATGTTTATGTCGTGTATGTCTATTGGAGCTGTAGAGGCGAGTATCACAAACACTTCTCATCCCATTAAGATCTTGACGTTTCATACGTTTCTGACGCCGACCAATCTCGGGATACAAACAAGAGCATAGCTCAGAGCCTTCTTGTATGTTTTCTCTTATAGAAAATTCTTGATCTCGACAAACGGGTGCTGAAAACTGACTAAAGTCCGACTCTTTTCTCCCAAACATTTTAACTGGTTTATACTGCTTCCGTATTATGTCTGCAATGAAATCGGGATCGAGTTCTCGAGAATTCCGCTTTTGTTTTCTAAATTTAGCCGGGGTTTCTTCGTAAGAAACTTTATACTGATCACCCCTATTTTTCTTTATGAATTCTTTATATTTTTTGTCTTTGGGATGTGGGATCGGTTCAATAAAATTTTCCTTCTTAAAACGTTTCTTATCGTAAGAATTATCAGGATAATCTGTATTAATGTCATTGACACGATTATTCGCTAAAGAATGAAAGCTGCTAGTGGAATGAGCAGTCATGCTGTCGTAGACAGATCTCGCTTTGTGTTTATGCAATTTAGAATTAGTGTTAGTATTGTGATGTATTTTACTTTTTTTGTTTTTAACTTTAGTTACGTGTCCACTGTAGTCCATTTGATCGTTAACTAATTTGTTATCAAAATCTGGTTTTGGTAAATGATCACTAACTTCAGACTTTTGGCAGTTGCAGTCTGAAGATTTGTATATAAGTTGCGTTTCAATGCCATTTGACTTTTTCTCAGAAGACCCTTCGGTTAGCTCTTTGATAGTATCTATCTCGTGCCTAAAGTCGTACTGAAAACCACTTTCTCTTGAATCTATCCTGGAGCAATCTTCCAGACAGGCGAAATCACGACAATGTTTATTTACTTCGTCTAACTGTTGTTCTAAGCCCACAATTTTCCTCTTTAAATCTGTTACGTTGACAGCAATACTAGAATTTATTTTAATTTCTTGTTGGGACGTGCTACCTGCAAGACAGATGAATGATCTTAGTACAGTGTATTGTATGCAAGCATATAATAATATTAAGTAAAATTATGTTACCTAGAGCGCGGCGGAAAAATTCTCTGATTGCCCGGTATCTGAGTTTGGTCCGAGGCGAAATTCGACGACGAGGAGTGCGCAAGGTCATCACCAATTTTAACCTCGAGGACGTCTATAAGACAAAACCGATTGGTTGAGGATTATAGATATTAAAAGTCATTTACTTAATAATATGATCAAAACTAACGAAGGTGGACAGATATTACTGTTTACAAATGCGATACCTTTTATTTGGTACAAAAATTTATAAAATTCGGAGTGTTGTTTCATCACAGTTATCACACAAAAATACCATATTGTCTATCCAAAAATATAATTATTACGCTTAATATTAATTTTATTTTATTATAAATAAAAATACGTTTGACTTTTGAATTTCATCTGACTTTTACGCTTGTCATTAAAAAGGTCAAATGGCCAGGACAATAATTATTCAAATGTTCAAGGAAACTCTTTTGGATTCATACAAACGTCACAAAAGATTATTATATTTTCGAGTAAAGAATGCAAGTGACGTTTTATACAAAATTGGTTTCTAATTAAATAAAGATTATTTAGGCTTACAAGTGTATTTTACAATGCTTTCAAAATTTTTACAACCTGCATATAGAAATACAACGAAGCAATTACTAGTGAGGAAACTTCCGCCCAGATTCATCCTAGGCCGACATATGGACTTTATACCAGCTACCCAATATGACACACCCTACCCGAAGAAATTTGCCTTCCCCTATAATATAAAAACATATTATGAGATTACACCACTTCTGTTTTGTACGTGGGTCGGAATGGTTTTTATAGTTTTATCAACTATTTGGGCCGTTCAAACCAAGGTAAGTTTCACTATTTACACTAATATTATATAGAGGTAAAGTCTTTTATCATTCATATTTTTAGATGTAGGGTCACACTACAGAACAAACAGGATTACTTTATTATACTAGTGTGTGTGTGTGTGTGTGTGTGTGTGTGTGTGTGTGTGTGTGCAAATTAAGCGTTTATAGTATCAGTGATATCACACGTATCACACAGGCAGCGGTAAGGAACTTAAGTGTGACAGGCCTGCTCGTGTAGTGGTTAGATTCCAATCCAGGACAAAATATAATAATTGTGTAATGAGCACGATCAATTGTTGTGTCTGGGTGGAATTCATCTATAATATGTATTTCGAAATATTTAGGTATGTTTATCAGGAATCTGTTTACCATAGTACAGGCTCTGTCTAGTTTGGGATCAGACTGTTGTACGTAAGGTGTGTCAAGTTATTATCATTTCTTTGACGCGTTCACAGCTTTAACAGTTTATCTAGCCTAGACACAAACCACTACCACAAGATTAATAAAGATTTCGATGCCCACATTGATATATCTATATTGATATAGTGTCCGGGATAAGCAGAGACGATAGAACGCCAGTTCCCACTATTCCCTGAAGCCTTATGAACTGTTCTAGTAATTTGCTCTTCCTTCCTCCTTTCTCCTTTCAAAACGTTTTTTTTTGTCCAAATTCTTTTCGTTAAATGTTTTTTTTATTACCTGATGGTAAGTGATTACCGCCGCTCATAGTCACCTGCAACTTAAGTCACAAGTGCGTTGCCGTTCTTGAATGTCATGCCCCAGAGGATCGGTGGAAGGAGGTGTTTGCTCCGGTGACCTCATTCACTCAGTGAATAGCTACGTAAGAATTGCTCAACAGAGGTTTTCTGTGAGGTCGTGCTATCACTCTCGGGGTGTAGTGACGTGCAGCCATGTACTATTCAAGACAATAAAACATGGAATGCGATTTTTTTGATAAAATTTGCGATAAAATTACAAGATTGCTTCAACAGCAGACCGATGTCTACGAGTATAATGACCTCATAGATGGCAACAACAAATCATCTAAGGGTCGTCACGTTTACCAGTTCTTTCCATCTGATCGCAAACGGTTGTCGAGGATATGGCCTGAGATGGATCATTGTGTCGCTCAATTTCTTACAGGTCATGGTAACTTTAAGAGCAAACTGAATTACTACTACTGTAGTACTTAATTTAAATTTGTCGAGTCACCATTGTGTCAGTGCTCAACACCTAACTCTAACTGTGAACAGTCTGCTCATCATATCCTCTGGGAATGTAGTCTTTGGTATAACGAACGTAATATAATGCTAAATAGCTTGCAGGTGACATCTGGGGCGGTATACTATGGGGATCTTGTGTCAACTAGGGTGAATTTTCGTGCGTTTAGGCGATTCTGCCATACATATTATAGAAATCAAATATAGCTCACTATTTTGTGGCCGTGGTGCTTCCCTGTTTAAAAGGATGTATGCCTATTTTACTTCATTTTGTCGCGCGATATCCATATAGAAATGAATTTGCTAATTTTGTCCAAGAACTGTCTTGGACAAAATTAGCAAATCCACTTCTAATTACGTATTACATATTACGTAATTTTTTTCCTGGGACTTCCCGAGTGTCATAACTCGGTGTGTTCAGTGGTAGGCGTGTGGGAGTGATTAGTATCACTCCGGTCGAGCCGGCCGATATGTGCCGTAGCATAGCTCTCCCACGGCTCAAACTGAATCTTCAACTGTTTTTCAGCCCCACTGTCTTCCAACCCTAACATATTAAAATTTTAATCCTATTCCAATTTAATTACAGGTTGACGTAGTATATTCCGTAAACAGTCGAAGATATCTCTGTCGTACAATGGATTTGCGTAACCCCCCCATCCTTAAGTTAGTGCTCATCAACCAGCGTTACGATCCTTGGCCTGAAATGCAGGATGTGTTGGACAAGATGAAGGCTGCGGAGAAGAGAGCCCTGGTGCGAGTGCAATCGTGCAGTTTGGTTTGAGCAAAAATCAAATCCTATTCTTCACATAAATCACTTGGCATATATTACGAGTAAAATGAATTATTGGCGGAGTTGAAACTAACAAAATTTATCCGTGAACTTGGTTTTGTTTTATACTTTTTTTTAAATATTTTTTACATTTTTTAGTGCGTGTACGAAATGAATTTTTACTACTCGCTTTTACGGCAGTAGTTAAATATATATTTTGTAAACTCTAAGCTCGATTTTTCTTTACCTAGTTTTTGTGTAATTTTTCATGGGCCTCACAAGAAGGCTCAAAGTGGGTGACTTTGAGCCTTCTCAAAAAGAGCAAAGGAGAGAGCAAAGCCCGGAGTTTCTCTGCGTGAACGATTTTGTGGTGAACCACGAAGGAGATCTGTATCCAGCAGTGGACGTCTTTTGACTGAGATGATGATGTTAATGAATTGTAGCTCAGAAACGAATGAACCGAACTTCAAAGATGAGTAAATTAATATCCTAGTTTTTTTTAATGGTATAGGGGCAAAAGCGCAGATAGTGACGTCATTGATAGCGTTCATCATCAGAAGCATCTAATAGTCCACTGCTAAACATGGGCCTAGGGTCTTAGAAAGGAGGTTTAAGTGTGGTGCTGCCCTAGAAGTAGCCGCCCCCCTCCAACAAATAGAGGGGGGCGGGCGGGAATGATCTCCGGTAAACCTGACTCACTCAGTGAAAAGCAGAAAAAGAAATACTTTTTCCTGTGAGGAGACCGTAGTAATGTTAAGGTGCTTGACGTACGAAAGTGATATTGTGTTGTGAAGTTATTACGTCCTTGATACATAATTGTATTTATGAGAACTAGTAATAGTTGAGCGGTTGACCTTATAATTAATGAAAAATAGGATATTTATTTTTATATTCCGTTCATAATTCGTAATTATGTTGCGGTCTTGGCATCTGGCAATTATGGCCATACTAACTAAAGTGCAGGTAGAGCTTCAGCTTGAAGCAATAATGCAACTGCAAAAGAAAAAAAGCGCTGTCGCTTTCGTTGGATCATACGTATTATAGTAGGGGAGCCCATGATGCTAAATGGGCTCGAATGTCATGGGGGCCTATTGCATTTGAAAGATTACGTAATAGAATTAATAAAAGTTTTAAAATGTTTCCACTTTCAGCGGTGGGAAAAGCTTCTACAGGTTTTCAAAAATATAAGGTAAGGAAATCTAAAAAAAATGTTATTTGGATGCCAAAAATGCTTCCATTGAAAAGTATGACGATTTTAAAGTGACACAAGCTCGTAGCGAATTATCGAAAATGCAAACTGCAAATTCGAAAAATCGCCATTTCGAAATTCCCGAGCGTGTTAGATTTTATACCGAAGGTTCACCTTGATGACGACAACGATTACGAGCAAGAAGTTTTTTGAGAAAACTTACTGCTTTCGATTTTTTATTTTTGCATCTCTATTTAATTAGGTTGAAATTTTTATTAAGGTAATACTTAATTATTGAAATTAATTTAATTTATTACATATATTTGAGAATTTACTACTAGACTGCTTGGTAGTACTACGGGAAGAAAATTTTGGCCATAGTACTACTGGTAGTTGTGGTAGTACCAGTAGTACCATGGCCAAAATTTTCTACCAACAATATTTATTGGATACACTTGTTTATTTTCTGGATATTATTCCAAAAACATAACCTGTATAAGTAAATAATCAATCGAGGGACACGATATGGCTCTTTTTGTATTATAGTATGCACCCATACTTTATTTGATCGAAGCCCTTATTTGACTTTTTTTGATGAACATTCGTTCACGTTTAGAAAATGTCGTATAAATGAGGGTTTTCTGAAATGTTCGTGAGATGGCAGCACTGTAGCGTCAGGTCCAACCACCTGTCAAAACACATACACGATTTGTATTTTTAAATCATTTTTTTGGTTTATTCATTCTTAAAAACGTTACAAAAGGAATACTGATTTCTAAAATTCCACAGTGTTGTGCAGTGACTATGTGTGCAAATAAAACTTTTGCGCCTCTCTTTTTGAGCTCAATCTTCAGTTCGACAACCTTTCTCTGGCCGTAATCTATAATAAACTCAATAACACTTCCAAATTCATAGAATTTCACTAAAATATTATACGTTCGGTAAGAATCTGTGCTATCTGACAGCTGTTTGGACCTGACGCATACGAAGCGCCGTCTGGTGGCAGAAAAAGTATCGAAGACCCTCATTGCTCAAAAACGTCAATGTACAGATTGTTGCGTCTCTCGCGGTACGTACCTGCTTGGTACGTATTCTATGCCCTAAGGTTATGGGAAACTTGTGGAGTCAACATGTATCTAAATATTTTTCTTAATAATGAATAGTTGAGTTCCATACCCAAAGACTGCAAACGAAACCCTATTACTAAGACTCTTCTGTTCGTACATCTGTCTCTCGTCGTTCGCAAAATGCAGCCTTGTTTCGGAAACCTTAATTACATAGGTGTTTTTTTTTAGATTGAATATTTCTATTGCCGCCATAACAACATATGATAAAGATCGGTTAAACGCGAAACTTACTCGTACACAGGAAAGACAGGGTACGGGTAGTGCACCAGGGACTTCCTTCCTAGGGTATACCTGGTTCCCCGGCTATTAGTACCCGAGACGGCGTGCGGTTTTAGTTGGTTCGAGTCCGACACGCCACCGATAGGTGGTATTCGAGGGGATTTCCGCACGAAAAAAAAAGGGTACGGGTAGTATTTTATTTGATCAAAGAACGAGGGCAATAAAGATCGGGACAGTTTGAGCTCATTGAAAGACTGGGGAGGCTTTCATTCAACAGTAGACGATGGGTTGATGATAGGGCAATAAAATAAAACTATGTATCGTTTCCAATATTTTTATTTTTAAATTAGTGGCAGTGAAGTTTTGTCGGGTAAGTATCGATTACGAACAAAAGCCAGTTCCTGCCTCTCCACCAGAATTAATACAAAAATAAATATTCTCGGGTGTCGTACAGGATGGTTGTCTTTATGGGATAAATTAACTGTATTTTGAAGTCTATATTTTATTAAGAAAGATAAATAGCTTTTTTTATGAACTGCCAGTAATTTTGTGACAGCTTAAGCCACCAAGATTTTATTCCTTTCCTCCGATGTTTGAATCTACATAAAAACTTGTTTTTTGTTTATTAATTCAGAATTATATGTAGGTATATGTTACCGGTATTTCTTATGAATAGGTAACATCATTTAATATTTATGATAATTGTTTTAAAATTAATTCATCTCTTCAGTCAATTTTCATTTCAATTCCAATTTGACTTGCAAATGCAATGTATGCTTTTTTTGTTAAAATATTATTAATATTATTATACATACTTCAAAATACAGTATAAAAATGACTAAAATATCGTACGTGCCATATCTAAAACTAATTTGACTAACTCATAAATTGGCACTTTTTTAAATAAATTACGTCAAAACACAGGCATCGATTCGTTTAGCCACTCTTGTTACTTTTTAACTTTCCAAAGTTCTTTTTTTACAATTCAATGGAACTTTTTACTGATTTGATGACGTCATATTAACAGTGGCGACGCAGTTCTTTTTTTTAAATATTATCTAAGGGACCTTTCGGGAGATTCTTCATTGCGATTTTGTGTCGTATTTGTCTTACAATACAAAATGATAATTTGGAACGAGTCACCTAAGTGCTATGGTGTATGAATAGCTAATCAGTGATTTACGTATTTGATTTTGCACGAATGCTCAGTTTTGAGATGTGTACTGATTTGTAGCAACATGTTACTAAAATAATAACGAATTAAACCAAACGAATTACTTTCAATTCCATAATTTAAAATTAGAATAAATCGTAATTATTTCTTGACGATACATTTATTTAAAATATAAAATAAAGAAGAGACGTTCAGTTGGCTTCTGATTTAAAACACTTCATTTTACAACAAAGTTTGTATCATCTGGGTGTGTTATTCTATTACCAGTTTTTAACTAAAAGGTAAAAATTGAATTAGTTATATACTACACTACTAGACTAGAAGAAATAATTATTATAAAGTACTCAAGTGTAGGTTATTTGCTGTCTCATGAGTTATAACCGATCTTGATTTAAGGTCGTTTTTCTAAATTATAAACTTAGCGACCGTTATTTAGCAATTTTACGGATTGCAACTAAAATGTTACAAATCAGTACCATCTTAAAATATGATGCATCAAAAATTGATAACGTCACATTAACTCCGCCTATATAAAACGACCTTCAAAAACGAATTTTTTTCGACACTTTTTATCGTTTCTATAATATTATTATTTATCTAATCGTTATGTAGGTATGTAGGTATGTGAATCAAATACAATTTGGGTAATTATTGTGGGCAAAAACGGACTGACACCTGCTCTATAAAAAAACCCTCCGGATAAAAATTCTCACAAATGTAAATCATTTTCAGGTTATTGGTTAGTGATAATACTAAATAGTAAAGTGTGGTCGTTGTCACCTCCTATATCCCCTTATTTAAAAAAGTAACACCGCCATTTTGACCATAAACACAAAAATATGGCGTTAATTCATAAACATCAAGTGTCAGCCTCGTCATTCCCCATTTAGAATATTGTTACGCCTGTGTCCAACAGTTAGATCGCATACACATCTGCGACTTAACGCACTACTAACCTGTCGTGCGATTAAGTCGCAACAGCGAAACTACAGAGAGATGACACCTTAATATAATTTCAGTCATGGAAATATTATGTACGCCACGAGGCCACGAGTGCTTCACAGCAAATAAAGCTTACAATTTAAATACTACCATCACTTGAGCAAAAAGAAAGAAAAAGATATATTTCACTCAGTTCACTTTTATAATTCAAGGTCTGATAAGTAGAGCTAAAGAGAGGGATAGAACGATAGTGAAAGAGATAGAAAAGATCTTTTGTCAACGCTTGACGCTGTTTATGAGCGACTTCCCAATTGTTGGTTATATTGTTGTAACTACTACTGAAAAAGTTTATTGAAGGCTTGCTTGAATATTAACAGATACCTAAATGAATTTATTATTAAATATAATTATCAAAAAATAAGTTTATATAGGCCATGGTGAACTTGACAACAGATCTACGGTCGACTGTTATGGGATTATGTCGCCAGGAGGTAATCCAGGGTGTACAACTTTATACTCTGGAGAATAGGATCAAATTATTTGAATTCAGCAATTTTAATTATTATGTTCAATTCAGATTTGATGACACAAACTAACAAACATTGCTAGTTAAAAGAAGCTCGCGGGAATACCCCTCTTCCTAATTTTTACGATGCCGATTTGTCTACTTAAACCACCTAGTTGCAAAACAGCCGGCCATAAAATAACAAGTTTAAAGTAGTTTAAATGTTGTACTACATTACCTACAGATCTGAAGATAACTGATCGCCATGATGATAGTATTTATTTTGTAAACGTTTAATGCCACTGTTGACCGGACATGCAACAATATCATTTTACACAGCCGCAGTCTAAGCAACACATCTGTTTTTGCCAAAAAATCCTTTATTAAAAAACCTACCACATATTGAAAAATTCCTCCAAGAAACAATCACTTGCGTTGTTTAAACCGCGGCTCCCAAATGTCAACCGCAAATCGAACGCGTCACAAACCATTTCTTTTACAATTTATATTTAATCTATACACATAAAAATATTAAAAACGGAAATTTTTGACTAGATATAATACTGTGCGTAACTGACCGTAACCATAGACCTACCATCGGCTGTACAAAAACAAAATTACAAGAAAATACAGGAAAATTGGCACAAACGTGCTATTTAAAGCTTTAGACAGGCTACACGCAGTATAACTCTGAGCATTTGACACTCGACAATGTCTTGAATATCGGCTTTCTTTTAAAAACCGGCTTTCTTTTAAAAATATATATATAAAAGTTATAATAGTACTGAACGCCAACTTGAGCTCCACTAAAAGACTTCGTTAAGGTAAAATGAGTTTTAAACCATTGTAATTTAACACATAATAAATTGTTACAATAGTTACAAAACCTCTCTTCTGCAATTAAGCAGTAGCGTTCTCCTTTAATGAACTATGAATTAAATGTACCTGCGTGTATGCATACGTATTTGTATGTGTGTAAAGAGAATGTGTATAGCAATGCTAATATTTAAAAAATTGTTCATGACTAAATCACATCATAATTTTGGCACATATTTTACAATAAATATAGTACAAATTTGTGATTTTTTCTTACTCAATGGTTTGTACTAAGATGATTATTGTTGTGTACAACAATTAACAACGAATTGAAAGTAATACTTCGGTACCTATTTGTTTTGTGACCATTTTAGCGTGTAACCTGCCTATAATTTACCAATTGGCACGTCAGACAAAGCCAATGTAAGAAAATTGCAGTTATTCAACATCGAAGATTTAACTCTCAGTATTACTTTATAAAAACTTCAAGAGATTTACAATCAGAACTTGGATTCTCGGCGCCACACCAAGCCATGCCTCAAATCACGACAAATCGACGTCGCGTTCCTTCCATATAATGACATCGAGAATACGCATAAATTGCAGAATTAGACTTGCATCTTCCTTCTCTATCATTCTCATACAGACGCAAAAGGCGACAGAGAAAGAATGCGATGAACATTGAAGAAATTTGCCACCTCCTTGCCGGCCACTTATTTACGAAACCTTTTTTTAACGAAACTTACAGCTTCCCCTAATCTTTATTAGCGATAGTAAATTGGAAATTAGGTAACTTTAGGACAAGTCACAATATCAAACCTTAAAATCAAATACTATCCAATAATGTATCAAAACATCAAAACGTTTATGTGGTTCATGAGAAAGGATATTTCAATACATATACAATCATTATATAGCACAGTTAGCTAGTCCGTTTGATAACAAAACTCTCACGAACCCTTTACAAAAGACAATGTCTCGAGTATACAAATCCCGCTTTGGAGGTAGTGTGCGGGAGCAGCGTGTACCGCGCATAACACTATGATCTCACAACAATTATTGAAACGTTATTGTATCAGTCTAGTTACGATAATATGAATACTATAGTGCCATCTTCCTTTGAAGTCGAGCGCTGTTCCCGCACACACCTTCCGTTAGTACAAAAACGAAACACATACTGACGTTCAAACTGAACAGTACCTTATCACAAAAAAGTGCAGGTAATCATGTATTGTTCAATAATATTTAATAATAATACATCTTAAATAACTATACAATTTATGGGACCTCGCAGGGCTGTAAAACTTATTAAACCTTCTATTTGTTTTGTTTTTATCATACATTAATGCGTGATCCTCACGTTCTCCGTACTATACAAAAATTAAAAACATTATACAGTAAGACTACGATACCATATAGCTAATAAATACAAGAATCAACTTACGGACTACCAATACCCAATGTTGCATGATGTCGTGTTGCGTCATGGTATATTAATATTTTTAGTTACAACCTTTTCATAACATTCAATTTTATTAAGTATAATAATTTTATTATATCTATATTATATACGTGCTCTCTCTGAAACATCGTCATAGCTATGTTTTGGAACTATCGCTCTCTCGACGAGCGTGACGCGGCCGCCGGAGCTGTCGTGACGTCGCCGCTACACACGGCGGCCGGCGCGAGGTCACAGTGAGCCTAGCATCTCCACAGTTGAGCAGGCGAGCGACACCTATCGTCGCTGTGTCGCCGTCATTCTCTCGCCACACATACACATATGAACTGAGTACTGATTACATGAGCAAACGTTACATGTCTCGTCAGACAGTTCTACATCGCTATATTTTATTGTTTTTGAGTCTTATACACTGTGGTGTTACAAATTTAGACTTCGTCGACTACGAGATGCATCGGTGATGATGATGACAGCAGAAACTTATTCCCCAATATTAGGCCAACTTTGAATGAACGTGTGTGCAACCGAACGCGGTACAAACTGAGAGCGGGCGGCGGCGAGCGCGCACCTGCAGTTTATTATTTACCTAAGAACATTGACAGTGATCTCGATGATGAATATTTGTGCTGATGGTGTGTTCCGGTGACGCATATGTGTAACATGTAATGCGATGTATCGGCGAGGTAACCTCGCCGTCACACGACCGGCATACACTTAAGTAATCACCTTAGAAATCGATAGGAAGTCAGTTTTACTTACAATAATTTCGCTATTTATTAACTAGGGTACGGCACCCCGCAGGGACGCATCGGGTCCACGGAGCGGGGCAACCACGAATTTCATATATAAGTCTCTAATTATTCACTGCGGACGAACCGTTCTGGATCGTATCGGACGATCTCTGCCGTTATAGGCTTCGTACTCGCCGCGGTATCGTCTCGTCCGGGTGTGTGGCGAGACCTAGATAATTAATGAATATTGCTTAGCTTGCGCTGGGCATGTCGTGTAATGTGCGGCGCGGGTGCCGGGGCCCGGGCCGCTCAACGCGCGGCCACGCGGCACAGCACGTGGCGCACGGCGGCCGCGGCGGCCGGCACAGCGGCGCCGCACAGGCCCGATCAGAGTCTGTCTTCCTCTTCTTCCTCCTCCCCCTCGTCCCCGGCCTCCTCGTTCTCCTCCCGGTAACCGGGATGCTCGCTAATTGCATAGTAGTTCCCGTTGTATATGACACCTAATTCCCGCAGCGCGTCACCTCTGATCGTGGCCTTGATCGTCCAGTTGTAGCAGTCGTCGGATTCTGATTCTCGATCTAGTCTTTCGACATCCAGGATTTTAGAACTTAGTCGCTCGAGAATAATACCGATATCTTTGATGGTCAGATGACGTTTTTGGTCAACACTGAGCTGGTCTATGAGTAATAGAAACTTCTCCGAAGTGACTGCCTCGTCCTCCACTAGAGTGTTCTCTGTTTCACTTTCCGAGGAGTCGCGATCGCCACGGCGGGCTGATTCTGCGTCGAGAAATCTCACGTGTCCTTTGGGTCTACCCTGCGGTGAGGCACGGGGTTGCGCGTCCTGTATTGGCGAGGTGGCGACGCTCTTGTGTACAGCGATACGTCGACCTTCCTCATGGAGTGCACAGCAATGGAAGTCGCACTCGTCTGGGGGAGGACGCGCGAGGGGCGCGGGGGATGTGCTGGTGGCCCGGCACTCGGCCGTGTGTACGTGCACGCTACCGGCTGGCTGCTCGAGCGAGCCAGGCGCTCGCGACAATCGGCGTGTCGCTGGGCCGGGTTCGTCGTGGTTAACGACGGTGATGTGCGGTGGCGGCGGCTGCGGCCTGTCCAGTGACGTCTGTATCACCAACGACGGCCGCCGGTCCGGCTTGGCTTGGCGCGAGGGAGAGCGAGCGGCCGGTGACGACTGCGGTCGCTGGTCCCAGTGCAACACCACCGTGACGCGCCCCTTGTTGTCCATGATCTTCCATGAAGGCGTCTCATCGTGCAACTCGAGGGCGTGGATTGTCTCGCATACTATTTTTGGTATTGCTGATATAGCTGGAACGAAATATGAACACTTTTAAAGAACGATTTTAATACAAGATTGTTGATATATAGTATATATAAGATAAGTTGATATGTAAGGTAACGTCACTAAGTGCAACAGTCTGTTCTTGTAATGAGGACATAAGACTATATGACTCACCAGCCTTGATGACGTCGACTCCAGTGGGATACCATCGCTCGCCCTGCCGCAGTAGCAGTAGGACTGTATTAGGGGGAAGGGTGCGCCAGTACTCGCCGTCCTCTACCTGTGTACCGTCGCTCTCGAGCACCAGCCGCACCGGCTCGCTCGCCGCTACTGATAACTTCTCCTTGCCTAGTAAACAAGACACCATTATAAATATATGGTACTGGTTCACGTGGGAGTGGCATGCTACGACATGTATAATCCGGCTCGACCCGAGTAATACCAACACGTCACAAAGAACAGTGTTAACAAACGAGCACGACTGCTTGTAAATATTACATGGATAATGCATAGAAAAGATAATCTAAATCTATAGAAGAAGAAACTGTCAGATTGTTTTGAGTTCCTACACACCACACATTGCAGGGACCTGAGGTCATCGGAGAATTTAAAACTAAAAATGCCAAAACATTCCACCCAGTTTGCAGATAAATCTTTCACTCTGCAAGCAGTAAGACTCTGGAACAACTTGCCTGAAACAATCCGTCAAGCTAAAACTTTGCCTGTTTTTTAAAAAATATTAAAAGATTTTTATCTGTCATTATAAATACTGTTCTGATTCCCTATTTAATATATTATATATTCCAAATATGTATGGGTATATGTGTATGTATGTATGTGTATTTGTATGTGTGTAATGTCCATAGATGTATATTTGTGTATGAATGTGTTTGTTTATGTTTGTAAATATTTTTAAATATTCACGTGATATTGTGTTACGTGTATGTATACTAAGCTAAATTGTTAAATACCTAAAATCCATGATAAGGTTGTCTGGAAGAGATCGCTGTGAGCGATAAGACCGCCGATTGTTACTTTTACCTATTTGTAACTCATCTTTTGTTTTTTTTTTTTTTCTATTAGTGTATACAATAAAGATATAATAAAATAATAAATAATAAATTGATTCACTGATTGATCGATGAAACAGCTGAAACCACTGGATCTAGAAGCTTGAATTTTGCACAAATGTTACTTAGGTGACGTAGGTCTGTACTAAGAAAGGATTTTTTTTATTCTTACCCTAACGGTGCAAAAGGGGATTTGGAAATTAATCCTAAACTTCATTATTTTTAGTAGTAGCGTTTTCAAACTTATAGTAAATATTCTTTATTAAAAGTAAAAAAAAAGTTGTTACAATTTTTTTTAATTACCCTTACAAAAGGATGCAAGTTAGTATGGGGAGCTATTGTTCTTAACTTATCGATTGCAAACTCTCAGTAAAATTATAAGACAATTAAGACAATATAATAATAAGACACAATTCATCATCATCAGCCTATCGCAGTCCACTGCTGGACATAGGCCTCTCCCATTGCACGCCACTTTGATCGATTTTGCATCGCATCTCAAGAGAATTAGACACCTATTTTGTAACTTTTCAAAACTATCCCTATAAGTAACTAAATGCATATTATCGTAGAGAAAATCCGAGAACTTTAAAGATTTGTGATATGATATCATACATTGCACCCGTGCGAAGCCGGGACGGGTTATATTATGTTTATATATATTTAATATATCTTCCATATGTCACTTTCCATCAGGTGACCCGTCTGCTCTTCTGCCCCCTCTAACAAAAGAAACGTGAAATAGGCTAACTCTATCTACACCCTGCCAATATAAACGACGTGATGTCATGTTAGACATTGTGCTGATAATAACCTACGGAGTGGACCTGGCAGCTCTGACCGGTGAAATGTGAATTATTTATTTATTTAACTAGTTGTACAAAGGCGGACTTAATTATCCTTGTAACATATTTCTTAAAGGTTTGTTCGAAGCGTCTATGTGTGTGTGTCACATCACATAATCATCCGATCATTGTTCAAATTATGCTGGTTATTGAAATAATCAAAAAAAATTTGCGATAAAAAATCGATCACTATAGATTTCCAGTATATATATATAAAAGTGTAAATATCTATATATTATTTACTAAATAGATGCATATAATATATTTCAGCACCTTCTTGGTCTCTGTTTATCTATGATTATCTTTTTTCTAGTACCTAATATTGAATGTTCGTGTTAACAATAAAAGAAAATATCCTACCTTTGAATGAATTTTGTTGTAAATTTCGAACTTGGATTAACACCAAAAATATTAACTAGAAAGTAAACATATTTATTTAAATATCTGCGATGTTAGAGACACGAAGGTCGTACGGACGAGCTACCCGCTACCCGGTTGGATGACACTAACCCCAGCTAGCCTGCAGCCTGAACCAGGTCAGGCGAGTGCGGCCGGTTGACCCGAACACGCGTTACTGGGCCACCGATGTTAACCTCGCTTGTAATCATTACCTTATTTCTGAATGCACTAATATTTATTTTATACATACATATAGCCGCCCAGAGCTTGAAATACCACATATCTTACACGCGACTATCTGATTTGAAACTAACCAGAACTTGTACTATGGTAACCAGACTGCTGATCAACATACTTATAAATTTCTAAATACATACAAATCCATACTAATTTTATAAATACGAAAGTGTGTCTGTCGAGTAACAGACAGACAGATATGTCTGTCTGTTAACTCTTCACGCTTAAGCCCCCCTTTTTTTTTTCCGTGCGGAAATCCCGTCGGATACCACCTGTCGGTGGCATGTCGGACTCGAACCGACTAAAACCGCACGCCGTCTCGGGTACTAATAACCGGGGAACCAGGTATACCCTAGAAAGGAAGTCCCTGGTGCCCCGACATACCTCGGGTCATCTACAGACGAGTAGACGACCTCCCCCTGCTTAAGCCCCCCTGAACCGATGCAATTTACTATAGAGATAGTTTGAGTCCCGGGAAAGGACATAGGATAGTTTTTATTCCAGAAATAATTCTTTAAGCGGGTGAAAATTGGAGTGGAAATTGGTATGGGGAATCAATAACTGCTCAACCGATTTAGATGAAATTTGGTATGGAGAAAGTTTGATTCTTGAGGAAGGACGTAGTCTATATAGGATAACCGACATACACCGAATCGAACCGACGACTTCTGGCTTAGTAATCAAGATTACTAACCAATAGGCCAACAGGCCCGCCAATACTTAATTATATATTAGACGCATGCCAGTAAAATTTTACACTTGGTTGAATAAAAAAAAAATTTAAAACTATTTCACTGCGTCTTAATCTGTAAGAAATAAGAGGGCGTAGTCTTCATGTTTAAATATTTGACCGTAAGAGGGAGAATAGATTCTTCAAATTCAAATGAGATTTTTCACTTTTAAGTCTGTTAAAGAGTACAAGTTAAAAAAAGTATTGGATACATCACGCTGGCATGTATTATTACATCGACCCAGATTTCGGTCCCAGTATCTCAGACCCAGATCTAATGAAGTTGTAATTAAGTTCAATTCCTATGTAATGTCAAATACACAGTGTGAAGACAAGCATAATTTTGTAGAATAATTATAGAGACAAAGCTTAGGAGAATCTGTGAGAGTAAGGGTGAGTTTCGAAAGGTTCTATTTATAATACCAAGGTTGAATTATTAGTTAGTAGGCAGTTAGGTTTTAATAAGCGTGTCGGTTTGAATAAATACTCTTGAGAACAAGTTTTCGAATTACAAGCACTGTAAAATTTCATCACATCATCATCACATCAACAGCCTTTACTAGTCCACTGCTGGACATAGGCCTCTCCTTAGAAAGGAGGTTTTGGCCTACTATACCACGCTGGCCAGACGGGTTGGTATAGGGTTTGTTTCAAGTTTTCCTTCTCTCTGCAGTGCTGTTGTCCTGCGTAGTTTGCTTCCTTAGTCGGCTCTTACGACACCCACGGGATGAATAGGGGTGGTGACACTCTGTATTCTTAAACCGCCACCACAAATTTATATCGGATATTTTAGAATTAATTTTGAAGAGTTCGATTTTATTCCACGTTATCTGATGGTTGTTGGTCCAAAAAATTAAGTAAATGCTAACAGTGATTTTGCATCAACCACCTGTTGTTGTTCCTGTAGCTTGGAGTTACTTCTATTGGGCAGAATAAGAAACAGACCATGCTAATGCCATGCATGACCTTAGAGAAATGAACTGTTCTTTAAGTAAGACATTTAATATTAAAATAATATAGTGACTAATAAATTCATTGTTCACAAATATGAAATTTCTAAAAAAGAAATTTCATCAATGTTAATAAGTGAAACACATTCCTTGTACTATATTTAAAACCAATATAATACTATTCGTATTCCATTTTCAAATCCAGATCCAAAAGTCATTTCCAGACATCTTCTGTTAGTATTGATAAGGAATTAATAATGTCATTGGGAGCATGCTTTGCGATTAATTGCATAATAATTGATAACAAGACCCTGATAAGACGCTGCATGATTTTTTAATTTACTTTTTTCAATTATTTTTACTTTTTACAATTTGACATTTAGCAAATTCTGCCATGTTCCATGGCTTGCCAGTGAGTAAACTAATTGGCACCTTTGGATAGATACAGGCGTCAGTGTATACATGGCGTTTGTGTTATTAAACAAAACTCATCTATGTGCGCATTCTACTTAATTTTGTATCTACATAATAATAATACTTCAGATCATTTTACGTAAATCAGCTTAAAACTTCTATTTCTATATATGTAAATATTGTTTAATAATACTTACTTCATCTACATCACAATTATTAAAATAACTGCTTATTTAGCTTTAATATCTATAATTTGATTATTTATTTTAAGCAAGTCAACAATCTGTTTTATATTAATAACTATTTTATGTAGGGCCTTAGAAGAAAACAAATGACTGCACGAACGGCGTAGTGGTTTAAGCGGTCGCCACGCCGCTTCCTACTGCGCCGAGTGTTGTGGGTTCAAACCCCACATGGGACGACACTTTGTGTGATCCACAAATTGTTGTTCTAAGTCTGGGTGTTTCTTGTGTCCGTTTCATGTATGTTTGTAAAGTCCCCCGCGACACAGGAATGTATTCCTAATGCGGGCGTTGTCTTATAAAAAAAAAAAAGCTCTGTTGAGTTTTTAGCGATATTGTCAATATAAACTAGCAATACCAACGGACCAAGTGCGTTCCCCTGTGGTACGCCTTATCATACTTATCTAAGGTTGGACAAAAACGAATTCAATTCAGGTTATTACTATACGCACGGATGTCTAGCTACAGTATGATAAGTAAGACTATTTCTTTATTGCCATAGTTGAGTAATTTACGTAAGAAGATGTTAAAACTACACTCAAACGGTTTCGCCAAAACAAGTGACAACAAAACAAGTGACTACCGCCACCCATGCAACACCTTTTTTTTTGCAACACAATTAAAGAGATACAACTGCGTTTTCGCCCTTGGAATGCCCTTCCTGATTTAGAGACGAGTAGATCTTTGGTAAACTTCATGAAAGAATTGCCTAATATTAGTTTCCTGTAAGACAATATCACTCTGATCGAGCCTGCCCATGTGTCTCGTAGCATGGTTCTCCCATAATTAAAATAAACGAAATAAAATTACTCCATCGTTATTTCGTCTATGTACTTTTAAATTTGACTGCACGGATGGCGTAGTGATTTAGCCGCTCCCTATTGCGCTGAGTGTTGTGAGTTTGATCCCCACATGGGACATAACTTTGTATGATCCACAAATTGTTGTTCTGGGTCTGGGTGTTCTTTGCGTCCGTTTCATGTATGTTTGTAAAGCCCCCCGCGACACAGGATATATTCCTTAAGCGGCAGTTGCCTCTTTAAAAGACAAGAATGGAACTATGAATTATAATTTTATATTTATGAATATTTAGTTCATAGCTTCTTTTCATTGTACATATGCACCTGCCATGTCCCTTACTGAACCATCTAAAGATTGACTGGTAGATAATGCCATGTGGCATTAAGTTCGCCTCGTGTAAATTGTAATGCTGTGTGTGTGTGTGTGTGTAATTCGGTGTTGTGAGAAATAAATAAATAATAAAATTTATTTTATCAGTTCTTTGCAAATCGGGACGTTTTAAATGTGTATGTATTATAGGTATGTTGGGTATATGAGAAAAACAATTCCCACACTCGGTTACTAGTTCTAGTACTGATATTAGTAGTATTTGCCGACACATAACAAACATTATCCGACACGAAGAAAGATTTCGTCTTGTCAATTAGACTAAATTTGCTTTTTTTTATTAAAAATTGAACCACCAGCCTACACTTTGGTAGTTTCTACTATTAGGTTTTTTTTTAATTTCCTTTGAGATGTTTTAAGTAAATAAAATGCTGATGAATGTTAAAGAAATTGATAAGCACAGATTATAAAGATATAAGATCGACTTAAAGTACATTGTAATCTGTCAAGAACAACTTAAAAATACGGTATATGTCAAAGTACCAAAATGTCCACTTACCTCTGTGTATAAGCTCCTCGAAACTAGTGACCACCAAACCTTTTCTCACGTTCCGAGAACTGTCCCATATCTTGAAAGGCCTCTTTCCTCTAACCTCCTGAAATTATAAATTCATTTAAGTATACAATTCGCTAGTATACTGTTCAACAAATTTGACAGCGTTGCATGTAGAACTGTAAAGTCAATTATTAATTAAAAGCATGTTTAATTCTGTTTTATTATCTTCTTATTCTTCACTTTTCATGTAAATTAAAATTGTATTCATTATTTGTTTATATTTTACATACCATATATTGCTAATTATATATTTTTCAACTATAAGTCATGATAGCTGTGGTCGATTTAATATTTTATAATTTAAGGGTGTTTTGTTGTAATTTAAATACCATGTTATTCACTGAGCAAGAGTTAAGCATATCATACAAATTATAAAGTTCAAATCGCAATGCTACGCCCTTCAGGGTCTACGGTGTAGCACATCTACGCTTTCGTAGTGCGTAGTGGCCATCCGTAGAGCCTGCACTGGCTGCAGCGGTGCAACGCCCGCGCGACCTCCACCCCACCTCCCGCTACCCCGCAGCTCACTTGTGCCGCACGCTGACACGCCCCGCGCCCCGCTCAACCCTGCACGCACTGTGCGTTGACCCACTGACATCGCCGCCCTGCACGATCTTTAATCTAGACTGGGACTTCTCAACTAGGTAATAAAAAGTTTCATTTCAACTATCTAACTCATATTAACTCCCACTGCTTCTTCAGTCTCTCGAAAAGGTACACTCACATTCAAAGGAATTTCATCATTCAAAAGAGTCTCCTATTATCAAAATGTGACTGGTGATAAATTGGCGATCGTTCGAAACGACCGCTGCGTCCGGTGCAACGTCCTATCGATATATTTCGGGACATAAAAAATCCATTACGAGTTGTATAAGTAGGCGGTACGGCCCGATATCATCTCCAATTTACGCGACGCGATGTAAGACTTCCGCCGATAGCTTCAGTAAATACGAACGGAACGTACCTCCTGTATCTCGACTATCATTTTTCTTGTCACTCACACACAACCAGTAAAAGATAAAAAGTTTATTTCTCAAATTGTGACTAAACACACGCGTCTCACAGCACAAGGAATATGAATATTAAAAATAAAATAATATATGTTTTATGTAATCACTGGTAAGTGTTGTAGAAGATATCGCACGGTGCAAATAGAGGTTATATTGAATATAAGAGGGTGGCGGGCGGCGCAGTGCGCGCCGGCGGAGCGCCGCGGCCGCACTGGGCGCGAGTCGTGACCGGGTCGCACGGCTCCGCCCCCGGCCCCCGGCCCACCGCCCCCCTCGCATCTCCCGGGCCCCGCACTGCAGCGCGAGTCCGTAATCTCTTGATGCCGTAAGATCTTGAAATTACTGATACCGACGATGCACTTTTGGTAAAGTCCTACATGAAAACCTTTTTAAGACCCAATTTAGTTCAGAAACCGATGTTCGGATATGAGTTGGGTGTATTGGAAAATCTGTGGACGATGTCGAATGGAATGTCAGATTATATCTACGAGTCGTTTTATCATTAAATTGTATCCTGTATATTTTAATGTAGTAGACATTAACTGAAATAGATGACATATTAGCAATATATCCTAGCACAGACATCATGTCTATTGCCTACGTTGTGCAGATCGCTTACAAGCGTAAGTGCAACTTTGCTGTTTTACGAGTAGTTTGTGTTTAAGAAATATGAAATTCCATACACTGAAACCAGGCCAATCCTTACTATCATGAATACATTTATAAACTTATTTTATAGTATCTTTTCTGGATAAATGCAGCTTAGAACCTCATTTGAATCTGTTCAGTGGTTCTTGAGATAAGCACGAACAACTGCAGGCTCTCAACAATATTTCTAATATTTATTGTCTCAGTCTACGCGTCTACGAAACCTCTACGACATTTGTAGTGCAACGTATTTTCGTAGATTTAATTACATTCGTATTTTTTTTTTTCTAGATTTAAAAAGTTGCAAATTTAAATACCGAGATTTTGATTTTCATATTATTTTCATGTTCTTTTTTTGTTTGACCCTGACAATTAATTAGTCAAAGTGACTAAAATTGTTTTCTTGTTCTTTATTTCTTCAAACTACCGCCAGATAAGTAATCTTTCTGTTCATGATTCTCCTTTTGCGAGCTAATTATCATCTGACCTTTGCAGAAGCTGCGTGGGCGTGATCTCTAAGACAGAGTTTACCAGAGATGTTTTGTTTTAATGAAATAATTTAACTTAACAATAATGCTTCCAATAATAACTTGATAAATCTTACACACAGCCATCTAATTTAAAACTAGGCAGAACCTGTATTATGGTTATCAGACTGCTGATAAACAAACTAATGTATTTCTAAATAAATTCATATTATAGATAAATTACACCTAAACACGGAATAAATAATGGTGTTCATTATATTGATTGAAAATCGAACTTACGACCCCTGGATTAGCATTCTAGTGGTAAGTCAACCTGCACTTACGACTGGACCAACTTCAACAGTCTTCAACACTCCACAGCTGGATATAGGCCTCTCCTTGGAAAGGATGTTTTGGCCTACTATACCACGCTGGTCAGACGGGTTGGTATAAGGTTTGTTTTAAGTTTTCCTTCTCTTAGCAGTGCTATTGTCCCGCATAGCGTGCCTAGTAGTAGTATTTTAGTCGGCTCTGTATGAATGTTTGTATATGGTGCCTATAAAGTACACAACCGCGAGTGCGTCTCATACAGGCGGTTGCTGAAAAAGAATCTAAAAAGTTATTAAAGGCTGAAAATGTTTCATGTAAATATTTTATGAGCATAATTAATCGTTCTAGAATGCTTAATTATCAAACATTCATCCATCCAAACGTTTGGATTTATAATAGTAGTAAGATGCATAGAGACACAAAGGTAAAAAAGAAAGAAAAAGCCTTGGACAAGAAGCATTGGCGTAAACTTTCTCTCCTCCAAATTTTTTTCCCAAACTAGGTTGGGGTCGGCTTTAAATTTACTACGATACGGCTAAACTGCATTTTTTACGCAAAGCGACGGCCACACAGTCTTTCTAAAGAACCTTGGTATCACCTCCAAAACCCAAGTAGGCGATACCGGAGTTTTGTAGAAAGACTATTGTCGGACTTTTAAGGGGTTCCAACTACCTGTAACGATGGCCACAGATGTTCATACCAGGATCGACAGCTTAACGTGCTCTCCAAGGCTCGGAGGAGTCACAATATATTAAGGAATGGTAACCTATCCATCCTGATTGCTTAAATTTGCAATGCGTTAACTTACTCGATTACGATCTTGGCGTAAACTTTGTACGATTCAAATTAATTGAAAAGTTTGTGCCATCCCTATGTCACTCTAGAAGATGCAAAAATAGACTTAAAACCTTCGTCAATGGTGTTCTGACTTATTACTTCGAGAATATAAATGAGTCCAATCTGTAGGCGATGGTAGAAAATGTACAAATTACGCGTGGAAAAAAAAAATTTGCTATACCAAACACCATACTAGAAGTTTTAACCTAACACCATTAACAATAATTTATAAGTAAATATGATTCAGTTTTATTCATAACTAGCTGTACCCTGCTGTGTTTCGCTGTGGCACTAAGGAATAAGAACAATCTAGGAAGCGGATTACATATCATGTCAAAATTTCAGCTTAATCGGTGTACAACTTTTTGAATTTTTAAAGCGTACACAGATCAACTTAACATTTAAATATATTTTCCACGGCCGCGTCTTACATGAGCGTTGATTACTGAACAGGTTGCTTCACGGGGCTCGTTCAAATTTGAAGGAGCGTTATTTATAGCCGAAAAGTGTTGATTGAAGCTTGAAGAAAATGGATTTAAAAATAAATCTATGGTTAAAGCTTTTCCTAGTGTAGGTGTACATTTTAAACAACATATTATAAGTTCTCAGGTTAATTTAAATATTGGATTACGCAGATATTTTCAGAAAAATCTAGGCATTTCATCGATATCCTAGCCGTTAAATGCTTACACCAATTACATTTCATCAGGCAAGTCCAAAAGAAATAATTTCTTAAAACATGACTACACCCTTTTTGTGGCACATTGTATAGCAACTATATATAGAGTATAGGTGAGGTGGACCATCTTGGAGGTAAAACAGAAAAACTATTCAGCCGAAAACACTTGAACGAGGTCAAGACACAAAGAGGATTGAGCCATTGTAGACTTGACAGTTTCAAGTTTATTTTTGTTGATAAATCGGTGATAATGATGATAAGGGATACAGGAGGATAGCAAATTGGAACGGAGCTAGCAAGCATAGGTCTTGGACTCCACAAACTGGATTCAGACTTTAGTAACTCGTAAAGTCCGAAATCGCGCGGCTGTATGATTATCATGTTATTGGAAAGACCACCACGATTCGATTGGAATGAAAAACTAAAATTTTGTCAGATATATTGCTTAGACTTAGTGTTTTATCTAAAGTCTAACTTAAAACATCCTTATCCTGAATAAGGAAGTTTTACTTTAGACTTTAAATAATGAATACACCTTTTTTTTTTTTTTTTTTCCGTGCGGAAATCCCCTCGGATACCACCTGTCGGTGGCATGTCGGACTCGAACCGACTAAAACCGCACTCCTTCGCCGGGTACTAATAGCCGGGGAACCAGGTATACCCTAGAAAGGAAGGCCCTGGTGCCCCGACATACCTCGGGTCATCTACAGACGAGTAGACGACCCCCGCCCCGTGTGGGAACCCCATGTTCCCTGTGCTCCCTGGAAGCGAGCGCGCTTCGCAACGCGCTCGCCGCCACCCCGGCCTGAAATAATGAATACACCTAATAACTTTTCCGGTAATTTTAATCAATTGTTTTGACAGTGACATTTGACAGTTTTGCCATTCTGATTTTAAAGTGCAGCTATGTGAGTCAATGTTTTTTTTATTTTATTTTTAAATATAATTTAAATATCTACCATTTGGATTTTTTTTATGTAGGTGTCAAATACAAAAACATTTATAGCTTAGATAAACAATTTTGAATTGTAATAACATTAAGCGAACTGAACATCAATTGTGGGTGTGTTGAGTAAGCTACCTACAGATTACATGGTATTTTATTTGAGAGGTGTAGGCGTTGGAATGGCTTTGATATTTGAAACAATTTCGATGTTACCTTCTAGAAACGAATATTGTTAAGAATTTCGTATACAAATATCTTATTTACATACACATGCCTATAAACAGGGGGAAGGAGGTATGGTAAATATATTTTTGGTCTAGTTAAGACCTCTTTTTGAGAAGTACCACTTACTAAAAAATGGTTGTGACTCTGATGGTAAATAATGCCGCCAGATTATCGTTAGAAAAGAAAAATACAAAGGTTGTTAACGCCCTGGTATCCGTATGTTGTGTCACCAGAAATTACTTACTTACTACAAGCGACAAAGGGAGAGAAATAAAATTTTTATTTTGTAATTATTTTAAAATTAAAAATAAATAGATTTAATTAGGGAAGAGATAGATGAGATTTATATAAGCGACTGATGGATTGTAATAATAATAAAATCGTATTAGCTAACCTGGATTATATTAAGATCAATATATAAAATATTTTATTATCATAAATTAATTGTTAATAATA